GGAAAAAAAAAAAAACCGTACAAATCCACACAGCGCAAAGTAATCGTCCCAAGATAGTGGTATGTGTTTAAGGCGGCGACTTAGCAGTCGCATTGCTGTGATGATGGTGGCTGCGGCGAATGTGATGAAGACCACGGCCCAGAGGTCGGTTTGTTTGGACTCCATGGTGAATCGTGCACCAACCAACAGGATGCAAGTAATAAATCAGAAACAAAGACCCAATGGTCCGGTAAGACGAGGCGAAAAGGAACGAGAAAAGCAGAGAACCAACAGGAGAGAAAAGCTGGGATCAAAAACCCAGGAGGATGGAACGGGAATATGTACAATCCCACAGGGGGGTTTGTTCCTTGCAGATGGATTGTTCTTCACTCAATTAGGTATTCTTTTCGTTCCGGGTTCTTTGAAACGAACACCCAGTGGAACTAAACCCAAGCGAACAATCAATTAATTATTACTCGGACTAAGCGACGATCTTTCCGTAGAGTGAATTTCTTGGAACAGAAAAGACACAAAACCAGGCCCCGTCTTGGCGAGCGTCACTGGGCTTCAGGTGCCGAGTTCCCACTCCCAAGCCGGGCCATCCCCTGAAGGATGCCCAAAGCTAAGACTGATTAGGGTCCTAGTCTGCGAAGCCCCCGTTGGAACTTGGTAGTCGTATTGGAAGGCAGAAAATTGTCAGAGCTTAAACTCAATTTTGTGGCTCTTTTTTAATGACAAAAAGAAGGAAAGTGGGCGAGACGGGAGTAGCCAGAGAGGGGAGAAAGATTTAAGCATGAATCAATGCCCTATAGCAGGACAATTATCTCACTGTGAGAGATTGACCGGAAATAGCCAATTCTCGGATTGACGTGAAGGAATTAGTTTTCTGCCTCAGGATTCGGTCAAAAGGATCATAGTGCAACAGGTCAGTATGAATACGGTAATGATTTGGTCAAGCGACAAACGAAGGATGGGCTACCAATCGAACCCGGATATTGCAGAGGGGAATAACACTGTCATGTCATGTCTCGGCACACAAACAGACGAATCAAGAGCAAATCAAAGTTTCTTTTCATCTCTTGGCGTAAGCAGTGTTTTCGAGAATTGTTTTCCATCTCAGATTTTATCACTTCTCATTCCGGTGCATCTTTTCTACGACAACCGCGACAACCACACTTAGTGGCGAACTCCCCTGTAAATATGAGGCGGCGCTAGGAGGAGGATCACGGTTACGCGGATTCTTCCACTTAACCAAAACGGAGTCAACCGTCCGGAACAAAAGACCGCCGACTAGCGGCCGCATGATGTTTTCCCGTTGCAATCAGCCTTGCTGAAGAAGAGTCTAGAGCAAAGAAGGATGGTGTTGAGGAAACTAGTGGCAGGTAAAACGAGGCGAGAGTGATTGTCGATTTCGCTAAACAGCGTTAGCATCAACGCAGTAGACAGAAGGGTCTAACCGGTGTCTAGTTTATACACCGGCCCAACGTTAATTCTGACAATCTCCTTGACAGCGCGGAGGTGTGTTCAGCCTCTCTTTTTTTCGCATGAACATCAACGTGAACCCAAACGCCACTTCTACCAGCAAAACGGTTGTCACATACTTAGCATGAAACTGCTTGCATTATCTCATTCCACGTGAAGAGTCTCAGCGGAACCGTTATGTCGCATTCAATCTGGGGTCCCTCCTTTTGTCGGCATAGCGGCTGAGCGGGTCATGAGCTTTCCAGGCCGCTTCCCCGTCTTTAGTCTTCTCTTGTGGAGTCGAAGAGCAATCCTTCGTCTGGTTCCTGAGGTTTCTGTCCTTTTTTTGTACAGGGATTCGTTGGTCTGTGCAGATATTGACAAGAAGCAATTCTCAAAGATAGGCAGATAGACAGAAGTCTGGAAGGGCGGCTGCTGAATAGTCTTGTCGATCACCCATCAGTCAGAACTTACATATCAATATTATGTCTTTGGACCCCTAACCGTTATGACTGTCAGAGCGGTAGAGCTATGGTGGGCTATTAGGCGGTATCCCGTACGGATAGTGGATCAGACACCAAATGCCGGGGTATCTCTCGAAGCGAAGTCGAGTCTAAGCCTAGAAATGGCGGTATGCCCGAGACTAACTATTATCCAATGCGGCGATCGCGCCTCACCCCGACCAATCGTTTCATCATGAAATGTAATTCCCCCCCGCCACAGGGTCTTTTAATATTCAGCTTGCTTGCACAGCATAAAGTTGACTTTCTCTAGCTTGGCAACTTAACTTTTCTTTTTCCTCTTCAAGATCTACACTACCACTTCAACTGAGACTCACATACATACATACACCTGCACATCATGGCTCCTTCTACCACCCAGGATCTCGTCCCCGAGCCCGTCTCCGCCAAGGAGACTACCCTTCCCTCGCATCCCAAGGATGGCTCAGTCCTCAACGCCGCCGAACGTGAGGAGCTTGCCTTCACCGACAAGTACAGCGCCCCCGACGTCTACATCAGCGAGAAGAAGGATACGCTCTGGTTTCCCTGGATTGGACCTATTGAGCTGAAGCCCATGCGCATGGACAACCGAACCGGTACTTTCGTCGTCGGTCTGCGATCGCCAGTTGCTGCGAGCCTGGGCAAGCACCGACACCGTGGTACCGTTACAGCCATTACCATGTCTGGAGAATGGGGCTACAAGGAGTGAGTACCCTCTGCATACCATGCATACCACGTTGCTAATCTTTTAGGTACGACTGGGTTGCTCGTCCTGGTGACTGGGTTTGCGAGAACCCTGGTGTCATCCACACCCTGTCCGTCCAGGATAACACGGATATTGTCTTCACTGTTTCCGGTAGCATTGAGTTCCTGAACGATGATGATAGCTTGAAGTTTACTCTTGACATCTTTAGCTTTGCTAAGATGTACTACGATTACTGCAAGGAGAAGGGTATCAAGCCCAACGATGCCCTTTGGCACTAAATTACGAATATGAAACGGACGGAGGCAAATTGACGACAGGCGGGATGGGCTCGTACTAGTCACAAAATGATATACGCAATACCCTTACAAATAAATAAAATATTTGAACACTACTTCTCTATCTACTGTTATCTTTCATTGACCAAAGTCAATTATTGACTCGTAGTTTCCCATGCATGTCAAAGCGTTGCATTCGCCAGCCTCACCTCAACCCACGGTCGCCAGTACCCGAGCGATCATCTCGTCAAAGCCCTCACCCTCTTGAAGCCCAAGCACCTTGTTCCAATGCTCCGCCTTATCCGGAAAATAAGTAACTGGGGCATCACTGTACGTAGTCGAAGCAGCAAGCTCGTAATACCCAGTGGTCCATTCGCCTTCCTCGACGTGCTTTGTAGCTCGCGCATAGAGTTCCGTCTGGCTCAAAATCTTCATGGCAAATTTGGTTCCAGAGATACGTTCCAGAGCCTCAAGAACTTGATTTTGAGTAGTGTTGTACGAGGAGATGTGTACATACTGATTCTTGGTTTTCTCGGAGTGGAGCAACGCAGCGGCAGTGGCTTCGCCGACTTGAGATACGGTTGTGGTGGTAAACTTGGGTTCACCTGCGTCTACAAGTTCGCCGGTTTTGGCCTTGACGTCTAGACAAAGCAGGCCTTGCCCCTCGATTAACATCTAAAATCGCCCACAGTTAGCGTTTCAAATGAATGATAACGGTTTGTATGGAAGACTCACCCAGTCAATCCAAGGTCCAGAGAAAATAGCAGTCCAAGTCAATCCCTCAACTACCTTACTCTTGACATAATCCATGACATCCTGTTTGCCCTTGAGGAATGGGGCCATATCCTCAAGACCCTCGACTGAAGTGTCACTGCCAAACTCGCTTGGCATGAAGCGCTTGACCTTTGCAGCTACAACGGCATCGATGACGGTCTTTTGCTCCGCGATGTTGACTGTTGACAGTGTGGAGATGACGGCATCTTGACCAGTGAAGACTTCAACAAGGGATGGGAAGGTGTAGTCGGATTTGACAATAGTGGCGCCGTGGAAGCTTGCGTCTGCGGTGGTTGACGAAGCACGGCTTAGGACCGAAACGTTGAAGCCGGTCTTGACTAGAGCAGCAATAAGATGCGGTCCCAAGTTTCCACGACCCTGGCAAATGTATTAGAACTATTCGCATGAAAGGCTCAAAGCACTCGAACTTACTCCAAGGATCATGACATCCTTAATTTCGCCGGACATGTTGAAGACAGCAAGAGTTTGGTGTTGTGGATAGGGTAGGTGATGCTTTTCTGGTGAAGACACAATGGATTGCTGTCAGAACAAAACACAGTAAAACAGTGGTATAGTCCCAGCTACTTATAGACTTCTCACTCCAACATCCCCTTCATACAACCAGCGTATTTCGTGGATTTATCAGCATCATGGCCTCTATTTCGCCATGTCAACTCACGTCTCACGAGCATGATGGTTTCACGAACAGGTGGAGACTAAACCTCTTTGAACGAGACAGTGGAGACTAAGCCTTTCTAGGCATTAGTGTTTAGTCAAGCTGAGTGGTGGGAACTAGTGAACTGATAAGATAAGAGCAGACAGTTGAAGGACTAACGAGATCCAACCATGGTAGCCCGTGTGCTTGTTAGTGCACTATTGCCTGAGAACAGCCAATTTGTCATCGCTCAAGCGCTGGGGGTCCTTATCTCCGGCTTCAACATCCCCATGACCTCACCTCTAAAAACTCCCCTTCATTTCCTCAATGCTTTGAGAATCCCCTCAATTAACAATGACTTTTCTCCGAAGATCCTGTCAGGCATGTGTCAAAGCGAGACGTCGCTGCAATCTGGCCACTCCCTGCTGCGAAAGATGCTCCACCAAACGCATAAAATGCTGCTACATCAATCAACCGGCCCCTGCAACTGCTAATAGCCATTCCGCAAGCATGATAAGAATGGTCAAAAAGTCACAGAGCTTGGATAGCGTGACAGATAGCCACACGCTCTCATTACTTGTGGTCCGTGGGGACCTGGATACTGGCTTACAAATCTACATTCGACAAGTTCTTCGGGATGGACCTCCACTGGCAACACTAGATGTCGCGTGGCAGAAAGAGTCGAGTGTCGTGAGTAGGTTAGTTGATTCCGGCTTGAGGGTCTTCAACCCTTTACATCTTGAGATCGTGAGGGTGTTTAATCAGAAGACGCTTCATCGCCTATCCTCCATCCTGCAAAGTTTCCCAGGCGAGTTCGCAGAGGACAACACAACTGCCTTTATCCACCCCGGCATATACAAAACGGACCTGCCGTCTCAACTCCGAGAGGTTAAAGACATATGCTACAGCTTCCAAGTCGGCGGTAACTACCTCGCCGACCACCGTCTCCATACACTCCGATCCACAATCCGTCGTCTGCTCCGTTCATCAACACAAGCCTCTTCATTCCCAGAAACACTAGCCCACGCACAATCAATAATCTTTGCCCAAATAATTCGTCTCCTCAGCTGCAGCGACACAGACTTAGATCAAATAGAACGCGACAACGAATCCATGTGGGCTCTAACCCACACCCTCTGGCAAAACGCACCTACTCAACTCCCAAGCACTCTAAGTCCCTGGCAAGCTTGGCTTTTCTCCGAAAGCGTTCGTCGGACGATATTGGTGTGTAATATCCTGCTCGCGGTGTACAGTTCGTTGAAAAGAGGGTATACCATTCACTCACTTTGTATCGAGGCATTGCCATTTGATCTGCGGACTCAACTATGGGATGCGCGGACAGAACAAGAGTGGGATATCGCTGCGGCAAGGACGAAAAGTCCGGCTTTGGTTACTTTAAGTCAGTTTACGGCGCTGAGTTGGGGTGTTAATGGTGGTTCGAGATTTGAGGATCTTTTGGTATTGGCGTTCGGAAAATAATCAGAAGGACTTTGATGAGATTGTGATCATGATATGACATGTACTGCATTGAGTGTGGTTATTTGCGTATTGCATATATAGTGATGTCATCTGCGCCCTTCAGGTGACAGTGACCTTGGCATGCGGCGGTGCGCCATAATGTCAATCCTTCAGGAATAGCGTTACGCGTCTCAATTAATGATATATAAGAACGCTTTATTCCTCGAGTTAAGAAAGCTTAAGAAAGTCATTGCAAGTATACATCATCAGCAGCAGTATAATTTATACACGGTCAGAATGGCAACTCCAAGTTCGAATCTCTCCACCAGAGGCCAGGTCTTCGCCTCGCCAGAGTATAGGATGCCTCTGCTAGATATCCTCTGTGACTCGTGGCACCCCGAGACGAACCCAGATGGATATGTCAGTCTGGGTATAGCCGAGAACGTAACTACAAGTTTGGGAAAGCTAAGACAGTTCATGAACTGATGATTCGCAGACGCTGATGCACGAAGAATTGATGCAGCATATGACGGACAATGTAATACACACTACCTAAAGCCAAATTCATACTGACTTCCTGTAGTTCAGCATAAATAGCCACTCTCTCACTTGCGGAGATGGCTTCTCCGGCTCTCACCGTCTACGAAACGTTCTCGCTAGATTCATCAACCAGAACTTCATTCCTCACGAAGCTGTGACAAAAGACCAACTAATCGTCACTTCAGGCGTGGGTCAGGCGATCGAGCTTAGTGGCTTCTCGCTCTGTGATAAGGGCGATGGTGTCTTACTTGGAAAGCCGTATTACGGGAATTTTCCTATTGACTTTGGCTATCGAGCTGAGTAAGTATCTCTGGCCGATTGAGTGGCCTATTATTTATCTGGAGTACAGGGCGAAGATTGTTAGTGTATCTTTCGGGGAGGTTGACCCTTTCAGTCTTGAGACTGTGAATATATACGAAAAGGCTCTGCTCGAGGCCCAACAAAAGGGAGTACGTGTTAAGGTGTTCCTCCTGTGCAACCCACACAATCCTCTAGGTATGTCCGCTTGCCCAGACTCCTCCGATCAGTCTCTAAATCAATAGGTCGTTGCTATACACCCGAGGTCATAAAAGCCTACATGAAACTCTGCCAAAAGCATAACCTCCATCTTCTCTGCGACGAAATCTACGCTCTATCAGTCTGGAAGAACCCCGCCGTTCCTAATGCACCTGAGTTCACTTCAGCGCTTTCTATTGATACGGAGGGCTTGATTGATAAAAGTCTCGTACACTGCATGTGGGGAATGAGCAAGGTCCGATATAGAACCCGAATTGATGATGAAGAATACTGACGGTTTTATAGGACTTTGGCGCAAACGGTATTCGAGTCGGTTGTTTGATCACCCGTAATGAAGACTTTATGCGCGCTTGTGTCGCAAACTCAGAGTTCTCAGGTCCCTCGTCCCTCTCCGACCTAGCAGCCTCAAGCACCCTATCCGACGAAATCTTTCTAAAAGGTTACATGGAAACAAACAGACAACGCCTAGCGGCGAACTACCAACTGGCCACTAAGTTCCTGAGAAAGCACAATATTCCATACAAAGAAGGTTCCAATGCTGGATTATTTGTTTGGGCTGATCTGTTTGCACCTAATCAAGCATCAATAGACTCTCTGGTTAACAAAGAAGAGGAGGGTCTCAAGAGAATGGAAGCAAAGATGACGGATGTTTTGCTGAAGAACAAGATCTTTGTTGCGGCTGGGAATGACTTTGGTACTGATGTTTCTGGCTGGTTCCGTGTTGTATTTGCTCATCGGCAGGATTATCTACTTGAGGGGCTTGAACGAATGAATCGGGCTATTCAGATGTTTGGTGTCGAGCTAATGGAAGAAACATCTGCTTGAGCGCCATAAGGGACATATTAGTTGGATACAGCATCTTCACTAGCAAGGCAAAGTTATCAAATTGTATCTAACCAAGATATTCCCAGCGCATTGATTATGTGTACGTATTTGGATCTTCAAACCTTTAACCCATGATTTTCCAACACACAGCTTATCAAGGCTATATCCGCTCTTTTCACCATTCAACCAAGCGGGAATCACTCATCCTTGGCCATCACAAGTGGAAGCAACGTGCGCATAATCTTTCCTCTCGTCTTATACTTCTTCCCAACCTCCCCATCACGCCAGAATCCAGACTCAGTAATCGACCCGCCCAGATTATAATGAGGCAGATGTGGTAAATCCTCATGAAAGATACCCGATTGTCGAACGACGTTGCCTTTCTTATCCATGAACACCAGGAGTAACTCCCCATCTTTGAAAGCCTCTTCATCAACGACGACCAACCAAAATCGAATCTTGGCTACATCGCAGATAACGTCTTCAAAGTCGTCCTCTACCAGGTCTCGGGACTCGCCCATGACTGATATCAGGTCTTTGACATACCCGATGTCGCTTTCATTGAAATCGCGTCCAAGCTCTGGGGCTGCTAGTTCAGGAAAGACCTTGAATACGCTTTGCCAGCTTTCAGAGCTTGTGTTAAAAAGTGAAGGGTCATCGAGGATACGCCACCATCGATCTTCAGGCTCACCAAATAAACCACCAAACGGATCCATTTCTTCGAAGGCGTCGGTCGCATCTTTCATCCAGCGATTGAATTCGTCATCACTGTCACCACTGTAGTAAGTGCGGAGCACGATGATCTTTTCGAAAAGAGGATTCCGAGGGTCGTATTTTTGCGCTATTTTGCGAAGTTTCTCTGGACGCCATGGGGCGAGCACTGTTTGGATAAATTCTGTGGATGGTGTGTCATCGGTTGAAGAAGCGAAAGGCGAGATATCATCTTCTTGTAGGAAGGATTTCACGAGTTCTTCTCGCTGCTGTTCAATCGTCAGAGTTGAAGATGGGTCCCATTTGCTCTGTACAAGTGTGTCAGCAATAGTCCAAAGAGGTTGTGTCACCACTTACAACTAAGTAGCGCTCAACTGGCAAAGATCCCCAAGGAGGTGACTCAGCTCCTTCAACTTGGCTCATCCTTTCCTTCTGTAAGAGGTTGAAGATGGAGGAATAGTAATTGAGTGAGACTCTCCAATTGAGGTGAGAATTCAGTCTTTAGTCCATCATGCCCATTGGCTCACTAACCACTAGTCTGGAATATAACGGACCGTCCGTTTGATTAATTCTTGGCGGTGATATGTCACTGGAGATGGAGCGTGATAGCTGTAGCCTCACTACCTCGGCAGATTTGGAGGCGCATGTAAAACACAGCCGCAGCATCAGGGAGATAGCGCTTACGCCAAGTTATCGTAGGATTTCCATTTTCACCGAATGCTAGACGGTTGCCTAGTCGGATAATGACTTTTCCAGCTCCGGGCTGTAGCATACCATCTGTCCCTTCGCTCAAGTGAGCTATTAATATCTTCTTATCCTCTAAACCAACATGGGTATAGAACATAAGTTACTCAACTCTACATTGATATAACCTTCTTCGCATGCATTGCAGTAACTTCCATATCAACAATGACGGACCCAATCACCCCACAAAAAGATGAAGATCCTCCTCCTGTCACAGCTAGTCCAACAACATTCGATTATTTCTCAAAACTTCCCACAGAGCTCCGACTTAAGATCTGGGAGTATACCTACCCAGAATTTCAGATCCATTATATCATCCCCGGCCCTGATGAAAGACATCCTTGTGGCCGACCAGAAGGATGCCAAGTTATCAACTTCCCAAACATCGCATCGCCACCTCTACCAGCCGCGTTGCTCGTCAACCGCGACTCTCGGAGTCTTGCCCTTGGGCAATTCAAGTCTTTTCCAAGATTTCCTTCGGAAGCCTTTGCGCCCGAGGAAATGCCTCATGGGTACTTTAACCCCAGAACTGATTATTTGCACATCCCGAACAAAATGCGCAATGGGAATTGGAACTTCGCAAACGCGCCATTCCCTCAGCTCATCTTTTGCATCAGTAAACAAGACGCCGCCTACCCAGTTCCTGGGCCTCGGTCTTTGTACCCCGAAGCGAAGGAGCAAGGAACGGGAATAATCAAGCTGTCTCAACAGCGATTATCCCTCGGCTTGTGGACGCCCTTGTCGCCAACAATAACGCTCGTCATTGTTAATAGAAGCGAGAAAACGGGGCGACGCTGTTATCACATATGGCCTGCCGGCGAGCCACCGAGGATCATAAAAAATGACGTTATCGAGGCTTTCAATAGTGAGGGAGAGCGCCGATCAAAAGGACCAGCCTTGACGTGGGCAAAAGAATTGCGTGAAGCGATAATGGATGAACTTGGTGAAGAGGAGGATAACGATAGGTTTATCCCCCGGGTTCATTTTGGACGGATGCGCTTATTTTGCAAGTGTCCAAATGCTAAAAGGGAGATTGGAGACAATGGAGGCTGGGGACCTATTTAAGGTTTCTGAAGGGCAGTCATCAAGTCGTACAGTTCAAATCAACACAATTGAGGCTGGGGACCGCTCTATGGCGAGGATCTTTACAGCCTCGACGAGACATTGATAAATGGTTGATAGAAAAGAGAAAAGAGAAATGCTTCAAATAGACTTTTATCAAGACCAAGATCAGAAAGTGGTCTTTACTCTTTAGCGGTGGCATTTGCCTTGGCCGATACGCAACCAGATTAAAACTGACGTGTTGAACGAGAGACGGCTATGCCGCCTTCAAGTGTACATCAAAACATGTTCCTGCTGGGCAACGTACCCTTAATCGGTGTCCAAAGACAAGGGTCAAAAAGATCGAGATGTGAAGGATTTTGAACAACGTTCTGCAGTGACAAAAACCACTTTTGTTTGAACCCACCTTCGAACAAAGTTTGCTACGTTGGGAATGCAAATCCTGTTCTTTGATGTCACGAGAACAGAGCAACATCTACCGAGACAAAGCTCAAACGGGCATGTTCAAACAACTATAACTTGCAACAACAAGCAAGCTTTACGTACGCTTATTCCATTCTTCACGATTTAAAGACTTTTGAGAGACGAGGTCGAAGCAGAAACACCAAATAAGACATTGCTTCCGACCTTTTCCAATATGCCTCTACAAAAAAAGCCCATCATGAAGGAAACAAAGCCAGAGGGAACTCGTCGAGGACAAAAGCCCGCCATGAAGAAATCAAAGTCAAACGAAACGTCTTCAGGCGACGTCTGGACCGAAGCCGAGAACGCAGAGCTCTTACAATACTACACCTACTGTCTCGCCCAGCACAACGAATGTGTCAAGAACCTCGAGGTTCTCCACCAAAAGGAACAAGAAATGAAACTGCTCCTCCCGCAGAAGGAGGGCAACAAGAAATTCCAGGCGCAGTACGACGAACTTAGACGCAGAGCCACCAAGGAAGTAGCTTTGATGGGAGAGTACTTTGATCTTCTGAGTTTTATTGAAGGGGAGATGGATGCTTGTGGGTTGACAGACTTTTGAGTTGAGGCGGCAGATGAAGAGCGTGCGTGAAAGAAAGTGTAAACTTGGTTCATGAGAACTTACTAAACGAAGGAAGTAGACCAATGTCTGTAGTAAACGAAGAAGAGGTGTACACCAAAGTCTATAGACTGGGCCCATAAGAGAGTTTCCATCATGCACTGAGAGTAGTTATATACAATGGATGAATTCCCATCCTTTGCAATCTTCTTATCCTTCATTCACATTGACAATAAAAGTTAAAGATGACGGACAAACGATACTCTATGACGCCAATACGGTCATCTACTGCCCAGCCATATCTGCCGACAGAAAATATGCCCAACAACCAACGCTCCCTAACGCCAGTACCGTTGCTTGAAGACACAGACTTTCTGCGCAAGGCGTGGCGATACCCTCCAATGGCACCACGGCCTGTTCCTCCACCCTCCGTCGCCCCCAGATCCCTCTTGCCCTACCCAGGCTACTGCACATCCCCCCGCCCAACAACACCCAGTGGCTCAACTTGTCCCGCCCCCAGGGCACCTCTCCAAGAGCTCCCTCTCCCCACCCGTTCACCATCCCCCACCTTCGTAACGGATGCAGTCGAAGCCTTCGAAGACATCGCCGACATGGCAAAAGCCTATGGCGAAAAATTCGTCGAGCGCGCCGAGTCCGATGCGAAATGTATTAGAGAGCGGATCCAGAAGCTTCGAGATGAAACTGACGCTCGGATTAAAGAGCTGGAGGAGGAGTTTTATAGAAAGACTAGAGAGCCACAGGAGAGTTTGGAGAGACTTCGTGCTCTTGTGGCGGCGCAGAAGACGAGTCTTGGCTTGATCGAGCGGTGGAAAGAAATGGATAGAGGATCTACGGGAATGAATGGCCTCTAGTTTGCATTCACTACTGTTTGGGATCTGGCGTCTGGAGCTGATGTCTTGGGCTTGCAGACGATGTTTAAAACGGGTTATATCTGTCTTGGAATAGGTACTTTAGAGCCCTGGAGTTATTGGGCTTATAGAATCAATCGACTTCTGATCAATAGCATTAAGAAATCAGAACGTTCAAACATGGGACTGATGTAATCGTGATGTTTAGGTCAAGGCTGCGATGGTGTCCCCGGTGTGCTCTCACAGAGTCAAACATAACGAATTGCAGGTTTCACATGTAAGTGCACCTATAGTCACGATATAAAGTCTTTGACGAATGCTTCTCCGGTACTTTTACCATTGCCCTGTGCTCTCATGATTCTGGCCCATGCCTTACGTCTCCATATAGAACACAATGTCCACAGGGGCGACAAGATTCTCAAAAGAACATCATAGAGCCGAACTAACACCATGTTCTGTGGCATAGTCACCGTTCATGACCTTTATGGTCACTGTTCGGAAGTCATTGCTATAGCGATGCTCGTGGTTTTTGTTCGCCAGTACAAGCCCCATTGTCATTGTCCAAGTATAGGCACTGACTTGAACACCGAGCAGGTTCCACCTATGCTGTTCATAGCCGTGCCTGTTCATTTCCCTATGACTTCGATCGATGTCCCACTGCATTCAGCAATCCTTTTCTCTATCTTCATTCCTCCTCACACCCCCATCCAGACCTCATCACTCACCACTTACAGTTCTACCTCCATCTAATAATCATCATGCCTAGCAACAAAGCTCCCTCTGGCTCCCGTCGCCAGGAACGCGAAGACTCTTTCGTCCACGTCAACACCCCTTCAGGTTCCCGTCGCGAGGACTCCTTCGTCGTCATCCACTCCAGCGACAACGTTCCGTCAGACAATCATCGCCAGAACCAGGGCATTGCCCAGCTCGGCAACTCTTTCAACCAACTCAACATCGACCAGACTTACAACACTCCTCTCTACATGACCGCCGCCGGCAACCGGTAGCTCGCTGGCAAGGTAAACTCTCTGAGCGATACAATGAAGGCGCACATTGCCAAGATGTTCATGGAGCGGCCACACCAAGAGACCAAGGAATATCTGATCAAGCAGGGATTTTTTAAGAGTACTCTCTGCGATGAGGATTTTGGTGCTTTTATCAAGTGTCTTCTTCCAGATAGCTATGGATTTAACCAGCACATCTAAGGAATGGACATGATAGTGAGTCGCCGGTACGTGTTTGTGAGTTCTGCTATTTGGCAAGGTAAGTATTGGCAATCGTGAATCAAGGCGCCTATAGAAGGAAGCCTACAGAAGGAGGAGACATTGAAGAAGAACCTGGTAGCCCTGGTGGCCTCTAGCTAGTAGATAGTAGATGGGTATACTTGATTGATAGATGTAAGCAACACAGCCACTTGTAGTTGAGTACTATTTCGATCTAGTCAATAAAGAGTAAGTGTCCCCCAATTCAAGTTTCGCATAGTGACTATTATTCATGACAAGGTATCCACTACAGGGATGCTCCTTCAAATATTTGCCACCAATATTAAATTTCATCATGACTTTTTCAAACCTTCCTTTTGCTTCGCCTATTATTCCTTCCGTTGGTTGTGTCGGAAAGCCACTCTGTTAACCGAGTAACACACGCCCAATCAATCATCCAACGCGTTTTTCTGTCACTTTTCTGCGACCGCCCGAGCGCGTCAGACATTTCTTCAACACCCCCTCATTTTTGGGCCACGTACGATTTTCAGCCTCGCTTTCACCATCACGCAACACAACACCAAAACACTGCGGTCGGATATGGAAGATGGTCGGAGTCATCCATCGTCGAAATGACGGTCCAAGTCCGAAGCGAAAACGCAATAAACTCATCGTCCGATTAAAACTTCGTCCTTCTATCCTCGCTCAATTCCCCCAACCATCCACACGCCCCGCGCCCAAACCTCTCATCAAAGAACACAACACGCATCAACTACATTTTCTCGATCAACTTATCACCGAACAATACGCCGAGTTGGAACGCCTGAGTCAGGAGCGAGCAGAGACGATGGCGAATATCGCAAATTACGAACGGGTGTGCAATATACATCTCGATACGCTGCATAAGAACCTAGCGGATGCGTGTGATATTGGTATCAAGAGCAGTGTTGTCAATGAAAGCGATGGGGAAAAAGTTCGGTTGCTGAAGGAGGAAATCGAGACTATGAGGGTCGGTGTCCAGAATTGGAGTCGGATCTTGATGGAGGCGAAGCAGGATGCTCTGACAAAGAAGCAGCAGATTGCTATGATTGCGGGGAATGTCAAAAACCTGGAGGAGGAGAGACGGCAGTTGGGGCAGTGGACTTGAGTGTCATGAAATAGCATATTATGGGCGTTTTATCAGGTTATCGGGAGTCTATTTGGGTTTCTACTACTGGGGTATCAAGATCAATGATGGAGTTTTCTCCAATAGTGTTTTTTTCTTTCTGCAGACGATGGTCTTCTTCTTTGCATCTTTGCATCCTCAACGAGTCGCCATGTCTTTCTCCAGAACCTCATTCCACCTAGCATACCCAGTCTCATTCAAATGAACATTATCCTCACTCATGATCCCATCCTGCTCATCCCCAAATGGCAAAAACGCAGCACCATTGCGATCCGCAATATCCTTCAGTATACGATTCGCCTCGTCAATGATCTCATCCACCAAACCACGCTGTTTAAAAAGGGCCGTCATCACAATCTCAACATCAGGAAGCGCCTCTCGAATAGTCGCGATCAAAGCCGCATACGCATCCGCATCATTCTTTCGCAAGCCGTTCTTCTTGAGATTATTGCTTCCCATGTGGACGTACATCAGCTTTAGATTTGGCTGGTGGGTCTTGATGTCGTCGAAAAGACCTTGGTCGATGCGGTACTGCACATTGAGGACCTTATCGCCGCCGACACCGAGGTTCAGAATGCAAGGATTGTTGTTGATGGAGAGCGCGCAGCCAGTGGTCTTGAAGCGCTCGAAGAGGCTGTCGCCGAGAAGAGCGATCGTGTATTGGTTTGGGTTCGAGGTTATTTGCAGTCGGTGCGTATCGTGGTGGGTCTCGTGGGAGCGTTGCTTGAACATCTTAACTGTATCGTGTCAGTATCGCTTATGTAGCTTGGAGGATGAGAGGTTGATGTACCGGAATGACTGCGATGAGTTGGGGTTGGAAGATGTTGGTGCGGAAGGGAAGGTGCGACGAAGGAGCGAGGGCGCGCAGCTATATGCTACCGCACAAGAGTTGGAAGAAGGTTTGGCAGCTGGTGGACAGAACAGCGATTGAAGTTTCCAATAGCTATCGAATTCTCGACAATGAGTCCTCTGCAAAGAAGATATTTGTAAAGCCAAGCAGCGATGTTAAAATTGCTTATATACTGAATCTCATGAGATTGGGAACGCCCTGTGGATACAAACTGCTTATAATATAACGGTAGATCACCTTTGTTACTTCCTCCAAAATCATTATTTTACTTGCATTACAAGTGGCTGAGGGTTTCTCGGCGTGATGATTTTACTTTGCGCTGAAAGCCTTGTTCTGTCCGATGACTCACTTCCCGAGCGAGCTTCACAAGGCTGTGCAACATAACACAGCAAATCGTCCCACAGCCACTAATCTCCACCGTATCCAAGTTACTGGTCTCGCGTTTGCGCATTTGCTCAAAATCAGGAACTGCGTTCTTTGTTATATTATCTATACACTGAGATGAGAAGGGTATCTACTTTTACATGCAATGGCTCAATCCAGCCATCAATCCGTGACTACCTCTACCTAACTCCAGTCTCCTGAATCTCCCGAATCCACTGAATCATTCTGATTCAGCCATGGGTCCTCAAGCAACTCGCTCGCGGTAGCACGTTCATCAGGATCCCATTTCAGCATCCTCTTGATGAATCGAATGAACTTCCCCTTCTCCTCACCTTCCATACAAGTAATGTTGTCCTCAAAACTGAAATCAACGGGGGTCCAACCAGGATCCTTCAATTGACCTGTATAACGGCCTGCTCGTTTATCTTTCTTTTCATTCTCTGGTGTACCGTCGGAATCTTGTGTCAAATCGTCGGACTCGTAGAACTTGGATGTCCGTTCGCCTTCTTCAAGAAGATCCTGTGGGGGAGGTCCAAGCAAGGCGGTGATCTGGCCAAGATGCGCTCCCTCTTCATATTCTGCGGCGCCATGTGTGCTGGGATCGAAAAGGTCTTTGTCCTCGAGCAAGTACCAGAGCTGCAATGTCAGCTTCGCCTCATGAGAATGATGGACTGGTCTTACCATGGTCCCGAGACTCCAGATATCAGCAGGGTATGTGTAGCCTGCGTTGAGGATAATCTCCGGCGGTCGAAAGATCATCGCACCTACGGGACCCATGTTCAATTTGTCTGGTTCAGTGCGAGAGGACGAATCAAAGTCTGAAATTTGAACAATCCCCGGGTTGACGAGTGGTCCAGGGATTCTTCTGGACTGGTAAATGGTCCGTGAATTCAGCTGTTTGGCTCCAATAGGGTTTTCGAATTCATCCTTGGCGCTTTGTTCGAGCATTTCAGCGTCCGTGATTGTCATCATGAGGTTGCCTGGCTTGATGTCTAAGAAATGTTAGCAAGTGAAGAAATGTGCTCGATTTGTAACTTGCCTCCGTGGACGACGCGACACTCGGTATGGAGATAGTCGAGCCCCGACAAGGTCATTTGCAATATAGGTTTGAGAACATTCGGAGGTATGACACCATCCCAGTATCGTCTCCAGAGCCATAGCGGTTCACGCATCGCTTCCATGACGAGACACTCATGGGTTCCATATCGGCCTTCCAGCGTGAATGAATCCAGGAGCTTCCTCACTTAATGCCAACCTTGATGTCGAGGGTTCGCATGCAAGGTGTGTTCCATGATATCGAGTTCGCCTTTGTTGGTGCGGTTGGCACCAGGGCAGTGGAGCGCGTTAACCTTGACAGCGACATATCTCTCCCTCGACCAGCACCAATTCCAAAGGTCCTTGGGAATATCTTTGACGAATACGATAGGAGGTATCGGGAATCGGTTGAGGTCTCTGCACAGCCAAACGGTCGAGTTGCCTCCGTAGCCTAGCTTAGTGGTGACTTGGTATCTTTCGTTCAAGACCTGTCCGAGGGTAATCGGGTAGAAGCGATGAGGATGGTAGAGTGGTGTGTCTTCTTCTTCTATCGGGATGGAGCGATCGATCGACGGCGAGACGGCGGAGGATACGGGCCATGGGCGGCGGTAGAGGCGCTTGGAAAGCCAAGAGCGGATCATGCTGGGCATGAACAGGATGGCCTGTCTCGCAGCGTAGATTGAACTGCGTTGTTTTGTCAGATGCGCCTTGGAGAATCTGCATCTCAGGCATGCAAGATAGCGGAGGAGATTGACTCACCTAAATCACTCCTGCGGCAGGTGCACGTATGCTGGTCGGTGGTTCTTGCCGCTGGACAATTGAGTTGGGACAAATATCAACGCGGTCGGGTCAATGCGGAACCGTGCACAAAGACAATTGGGTAAAATCTTAAAATCAGTAGAGAACATATCTCATTTGTTTACGGGTTGGGCGTTCTTACAATAAGGTTGCCCTCTTCCGACAGGCCAGTGGCATCGCAGTGCAAGTCACCTAGCAACTGAACTCTAACACAGTCACTTGCACAAAAGGCTTACGCAAAAGACGCATGAATCTTTGTAAGGTCAACTAACCAATAACACATCAAGTCGTATCATTAATCATTTCTATATCCATTATTTCTTTCTATTTATTAGACCCAGATTAAGCCAATTACATTGCCTGCCACACTCGCTCCAGAAACGGGGAACTCGCGGTAGTTTCTTGCACTTTTCTTCAGCCCTTCTACTGATACACCTTCACCTTTCCAAAAAGACTTTGGAATCTTACTGTTCTGGCATGAAGCTAAAGCACCTCTCATTCATACATCTTCATTCTTTCTATAAAGAATTAAGATTTATACTGTTCTGGCATGAAGCCATCATGCCTCACCTTAGAATGAAGTGAAGGACTCCATCAGTCCGTCAGACCGCCAGGACGGCCGGAGCAGCCAGGATACTGCTATAACAGAAACATCCCGTCACACCTCAAAACGGAAGCAAAGGATACCACCAGTCCGTCAGATCGCCAAGGCGACCGGGGCGGCCGGGGTGGCCAGGATGCTGATGTGGCAGGAAGACCACACCTGACCTCAAAATAGAAACGAAGGATTCCATCATTCCATAGAATCGCAAAAGGGGCCAGGATACGGGGTAAGATCAATACAACTGTTCCACGATAAATTGTATCAACCCGACCATATCGAATTCCCCCCACATGGTTGGATCCATCCATCCTCCGGCAGTTCTTCTTGCCGGCGACCCGCCATCCTCTCACCACAGCTAATATACGCCAGCGTATCATCCAGCTACTTTATAGTCACGACCCTGCTGGTAGAAACCTCCTCGAGGTCCGCATGCACCGTGACTATTTCGAGCAGTACCCCAGTAGGTTCAGCAAACTGAAAATGCGATAGAAGTCGTGATGCAAAATAATCAAGACACTCATAAAACATCAAGTCGTTATCATTAATCATTTCTATGTCCATTATTTCTTGCCATTCATTCCCTTCATTATGCGACAAAGAAGAACATGCGAAGTCTTTGCACCCTGTGAAATCCTACCTAATCGCTCAAGCGTCCGCCTCGCCTTTTCAACAGCATCTCCATCGCTGACCAATGATGTGCTCAAAAATGCAGCTGTGTCGAATAAACACAAAACAATGATGTGGAATTGATCGTTCCCTTCCATGGCTCGTGACGACCAGCGCGTTGCTATGTCAAGTGCCTTCACGGAGTAATGCACGGCTTCTTCTCTCATCTTTGGCGTTGATTCATTTGCGGGGTTGGAGAGGTAGGTTTTGTATGGTTGGAGGATGATGAAGTAGGCCATCGCTTGGATGTAGTAGCGATGCGATACGAGCCAGGGCCATTTTTTATCGTTGGATGTATCCGTGTTGGTGAGGTTGAATACTGGTGGCAGAGAAGAGATGTACTCCTCAACTATTTTCGTATGCGCGCGAATCTCAGCTGGTGAGTCGACACGATGTGGTGTATGCCACTTCTTCGAAAGCGACGACACAAGATGATACTGCAACCTTGTCGAAAGCGTAGGCGAGGGCGGTGCAGTGCTCAAATCATCCGCATCAGCCTCGGAGTCAATGTCATTCATAATCATTGGCCTCCCAAGGATAAGCGACAACTCCCAATTCCAACATTGCAGAACTCTCCAAATCTGCCTCCCCGTTCTTGAATTTGTTTTCGCTTCATGATACCCCAACTCATACGCTTCCTGAATCGCTAGCCCGATGGTATGCCACGCCTCAACGAACCGAGCTTCACCTTGTAACCAGCATATACTCGAAATCTTCCATTGAAGACTTGTCAGGCTATATGAACCTGCTGGTATCGAGACGGCGACTCGGTGAGCGGCTGCGTGGTAGTCGGGTGATTGTGGGGCCACGCATGCGCACATCATTAAAACGAGAGTGGTAAATTGCGCATCCTGATATTTTTCTGTATCTGATGAGGCTGACCATTGGATGTAATGTGAGATAAAGGTTGTGGGCTGAATTATGCTGCGGTGATGGTTTATGTCGCTAAAGAATGCTTCAATGAGACCATCTGGATTGTTAGAATAAATAAATATGAGCGCAGTTAAAACCACATACCGAGTATTGGTTTGGTTGGTAAAATGTCAAGAACATTTTGTGATTGAGAATTGACGATGCAAACATCTTTTGGTGTTTCCAGGTGATGCTGTAGACGGTTAGTGTACTGCCCTACAAATTCAGCACTGACTGTCCGGACTGGACTTACCAGGGACCAGGGCGAGGAATCACCCCAATTGAGATCCTGGTACATTTTGACTTTCGGCGCTTCCCGCTAGTTGACCTTGATAAACAAGACGTCAATAGATTAAACTATCAAGTTCAAGGAAATAAGAAATAGTAGAAAAGGAAAAATATGGCGCATCCCTTTACGGAGTACCGCCTTTATCTTTGCCATTGCTGACGGTCGAAAAGTCGGTGTTGGCCGAAATAGTTCGGGCAGAAGACATGGCCGAAAGCTTTCGGATCGGGGACCCCCCGAAACATTACTGGTCCTGCCAGGTGCGAGGTGCGAGGTACATAAGGTGTCATCGCTTACTTGTGCGACATTTTTACTCCACCACCGACAAAAGGATTCGGTACTGACAAAGCGCAGAGACATGAGAAATGATCACGAGACTTTTATCATGTCGGTAGTTATTAATTGACGCTCAGACTGGTCTTTATTTCTGGTGAGGTGAGAGGGAAGTGTCTTCTGAAAGACGGCTTGGAGCAGGGTTATCCCCGCAGGATGCAAGGGTAGCGATGATCTTACCTGATAAATCATCGGGACAAGTGGAGATTCACAACATCGCTCAACAATGATTGCATCGGGTATAACATATTCCTGTCTCACTATTACTATTTCTATCCCTGTGTTGATCCTCCCAAGATAATCAATCATGCCCTAAGTCTAACCAAAAAGAATAACAAAAAAGTAAATAATAACCACAAGACTGAACACAAATGATCCAGAGAAATGATCCCCCATTGACCACAAAGTCTTTGTCCAAGCTGAATGCATGTTGGTGCTTCCGGCATACTGCTGCAGATACGGCGGATTGACCATCACTTCTACCTGCCTTGTCCGACGGATTTCTTGGGCTTGTGAACCAAAGTACCTGCCGGATTGAAAACTGTCACATGTTAACACCACTCAATACCTGGAAAGAATACGCTTACCTCCATGTGACATTTGCTTGGACGACATTTTGAATGCCCTCAACGTAGCGCGCGACCTGAGCGTCGACTTTGGGTCCCCAGGTAGGCAGTTGGGTGATCACGGCAGCCCATTCTTTGTAACGCTCTTCTAGGAGGGCGCCTACGGTGTCGAAGGCTTGCTGGGGGGATTGGCCGGCCATGCGACACGATGCGACCATGCTGAAGGGGCAGTCGTCATTCTATAGTGGTCAGAATAGAATTATGTGTGGATAAAGTTGTACTTACTTCTTCTTTGCGATAGGATAAGATATCATTTGATCTGGAAAGTATTGTTAGTCCAACATCTTGAAGGAATCTTAAGGGAACGTACAGGAGAACGAAGTCGACACCAAGACGCTCTAATGTCTGTATCACAGGGTCTTGGAATACCTCATCAGGTAATCTGATGTCATGGGCATACTCAATAAGATGATACAGCGGTGTGACACCAGACGACAGACGCCTCGTGTGAAGCATCTCCTCAATACTCGGTATACTGTTTGATGAGAAGTGTTTAACATGATGAATCACACCGTCTGTGTAGTCCTTCATCGTAAGAGCGAATCTTCTTCTAGCACCAGTAGTAGAGCCCTTGATTGAAGGTTAGCAGAGGAGATAAGCTAGAGTAGGGTGGACTTACTTGTGATACCCTTCGAAAAATATCATCGTGAGCTTGTACCACCCGAATCTTCTTCTTAGTAAAGGTCTTGCCGAGCATGTCTGCCATGAGACTATCGACGACATGCTGAGCTTTTGTCTGAGCATTCTTCAATGACCCTTCATCAAACACTGTTATTGTTAGAGATTTGTCTCACCCATCTCATAATGTCAAGACTCACAGTCATCAAAAGGGAAGACCTGGAGGCAAATGATTAGTAAGGCATAATGATGCGTGACATAATTGACTTACCCAATTTCCCCAATCACACATCGTCTTGAGCTTCTCATACGGCGCATCAGGAGCAGCAATAGAAATGAAAAGAGCAAAGTCGCAGAACTCGACTCTCTTCTTCATCCGAGGTGAGAACTGGCATTTTCTAACACCTGTCAGTATAGTCTCAGTGTACCTGAGTGAACAACATACTCTGAGAGCCATTGTTCCGAGATAGGCTTGACTGCACTGTAGTCCTTGTTGACGCGAGGACTCTGAACAACAAAGCCCTTGAACAAGTCCGGTAGTATGACCGTAGTCTTGTTCTGCTTGGTGGCTGTCACGTGCATGATGAATAATAGACAACGAAGGGCACCTCGGTAAGACAGGTTCCGAAGGACACAACAGGTAAGACTCTGAATATTCAGGAGTGAGATGAAGAAATGCATTTTGGCTTCTGCAGCGTCATTATATGTTGCAGTCAACACACCAAGACACAAGGGTGTCATCATCCCCCGTCAAGGAACGGGGAGGTTCTCATCACATCAGACAGAACTTTTGCAAGACTATTGGAGGAGATATCACAAACATACTAGAGAGTAGTTTCTCTTAGTTTATGAAGATCAAAGGCCAAGAAATTTAAGTTCGTGATAAGGGAGCTGGGTGTTTTGGTGGGTTCGAACCCGCGGATTGACCCGCGGATTGACCCCTGTAGGAAGGGAGAGGGGAGTGTACGACCACACTCCTCGACATGAGCTTCAGAATGCATGTGAGACTTATTTTGGTCCTGTGAGAAGGTTGCTCGGAGGGATTAGATAATTGTGCGTGATGGTTGTTAAGTGGTAGATAAAAGGCTGGTATACGGCGCAGTCATATCCAAGTCAGAATAAAGAAATCACTACATCATCTACACTCCTGAATTTTCCCATATCTCCTTCATTATCATGGATTACTTCAAAGAACCTGTCCCAGGTGACAAAGTCCGCACCATCGGAAATCACACTTTCACCTGGACAGACCAACACATTCCCAAATCCCAAACAGATCCTCTACGCTTCGAGTGTGATGAACTTGGCGCAGCAGCAGTCAAGAAGATCCAGGCTATTCACGAACAACTCAGAAGTGAAGGCCATCAAGTCAACAGAGGAGATCTCTTCGAAACACTAAGTCAATACCATGACACAGATGCCGATCTTTCTCAGCTCTGGCAAGAAACGCATCATGTTCCTGAGTGGGTAGACTGGGAACAAATCGCTCGTGGCCAACGATTCTTTTATCGCTACGCACTAGCAAACCTCATTGGTTTTGCGTTCCAAGGTTTCGTGGGAGAGAACTCCGCTTCTACAAGCGTTGTAGAAGTTCTTGCTCGCACAGGCGGTTTTAGCACCCGTGTGCTAAGAAGACGCCTCCTTGAAACTTTCCAACTCGTTCTCCAAGTCACACACTCCCTTGAGTACATCAAACCAGGTGGCTCAGGCCACAGATCCATCATAAGGGTTAGACTCCTGCACTCCATGGTCAGACAGCAGATCCTCAAGGTAGCCGCGTCCAAGTGTCGCTTCTTCGACCAAGACACCCACGGCATACCTATCAACACCCTGGATTCCATCCACGCTATAGCTACTTTCAGCTGCAACCATGCTTGGCTGCAACTCCCCTGCATGGGCATCACGCCTGACCCACAGGAGGTAGAAGACTACATTGCGCTCTGGAGGTACGTGGCCCATGTGGTTGGGTCACCGCAGGAGTACTACACCAACGCTGCACAAGCCAAGGCTGTGATGGAGAGCTTAGCTTACAACGAGCTCTTCGTGACGCCTACGTCAGTGGTGATTGGACATAACTTTGTCGAGGCGCTCAAGGATCTTCCGCCGATTAACATCTCGGATGGGTTCATCCAGGCTGCAAGCCGTCAGCTGAACGGACATAAGATCTGCGATCAGCTCGGGATGGGAAGACCGGGATTGTACGCGTATGCGTGCTTTACCGGGCATTGTTGGTTCGTCAGCGTCTTGGCGATGATGCAGCGATGGATCCCTTCCTTTGACGAACGGATGGTTCAGTTGTGCAGGGAGGGATTGCATGGTGCTATCATCCATAGCTCCCAAGGACTCGGGGGTGGGTCTATTCTCGATTTCAAGTATGTGCCTGATGGACGGATACAGGGGAAGGAGAAGAGTGGGCGTCTGGAGGGGATGTTGTGGTTCTTTGAACGCCCTCTTGAGCTGATTTACTTTGTGGTGTTTGTCATTGGATGCCTTGTTGTTCTAGGGGGGTCACTAGGGGTGGCTTATTTGGTGACCAGTGGCATATCAGGGTCACCGCGATTGTTTGTATAGGTAGTATTGTTGGTTCGTTATCCACTTAGAGTTTATGCCGTCGGCAATAGTTTGTTTGCCTTGTCGCATTAACCGCGGGATATACCGTTGTCAGCCTTGAATGTAAGAGTGCACGGACAGTATCAATAACTTCAGGCAAACGCGCCATCAAAGGGATTTCTCATGAGGCAATAGTTACGCCAACTGACATAGCATCCACTGACTCCGTAGTCTCAACTGAGACATCATGACTCTCCCAAGATCTGACAGATCACTCACGATCTTACGTGGCACGATCGATTCAGCACGAATGCCATATTTCTTTGTTTGTTACCCAGGGAGAGTAACCAACTTGGCGCCACTGGGTTGAAAGAATGGTCTGTTGGTGGGTGATTCGTTGGGGTGCGAAGTGACAGGTGGGTCAAAGTGCAGGATCTGCAATCACTTACAAGGGTTCTACACGCCATCAACTGAACAACCCCTGTTGAACACCAGCACTTTCAGCTGCTCCACCTGCTAGAGATAGTTAAGAGGATGTCTCACAGGTCATCAGCCAACGAAAAAGAGATATCGTCACCCGAAGCTTGATGTTCTCACACTAAAAGTTCACGATCTTCCCCACCAGCTCCCTTTCACCACAACCGAGCGATCCGCGCCTGCCAAGTGTGAGTCTCAGCTGCGAACTACACAATCTGTCTCTGACTAACTTTAGCTTTTTGCAGATCACCAGTATGAGTGAATTAAGGCTTGCATGTTAGGGTACCATTTACTCGGTTCCATGCAAGGGATGTCGCCTGTCACTTTGAGGGCCGTGCCGCGAACCATTGTGACGTATCTGTTAGTGTCAACGTGATAGATCAGACAAGGGTGATGATTTGTAATTGTTGACAGATGAGCATGAGATCTGGTGTGTGAGACAATCCGGACAGCCGGATCAGTGAGAGGCAGCCAAGCTGTCTTGTGTCCCAGTACGGAGCGAGGCCGCACTGCGTGATTCGAGATCACCCGAACTGGCATTTTGATGGATATGAGTGTCTTCAAAGGGGTGAGATGGGATGTGTGATTAGTGCTCTTATTGTACTGCCATTCTTCCTCATCGCGCTATCTCGTGAAGAAATGCAAAAGTAGATCCCAGGCTACCACCGTGAAAGACTAGTACTTGCACTCACTGGTCATGAGAGGCTATGTGATGCTTTGGTCAGATTGAGATGACTAATATGACTTTGCCCTTCCAGTATTGACAGAAATCATCATGAGCCTTAGCAACAAACCGACCACCATATTTCACATGAAGTGGAAATACACAACGTGTTGTTGCAACGAAAGGTGGTCGATTTTGGATTCGTTCCCCGTTTCTTATGTCAAGTCAGTATATGTCTAAGAATCGACACTAGGGTGCCTAGGTAATAACAATAGTCCGCATTGAAAAAAGAACTCATTTCCCTGTTTGTTTCCTGTTGTGAGATCGCATTTCACTTCAATCAGGTATAAATGCAGGGTAAGTTGCGTGGTTGTTATCTCGTCTAATCCCAGGTATCGATAAGCCAATAAGCTGAGATAAGATAAGAACGATAAGACGGAGCTCAAATACGCGGATAAGTGTGGCGCAGAGGCTGTGCTCAAGTTGAAGCCCTGGAGATAATCCGAATTTCCCGTTCTGGTAAAGTCGATGATATCGCGAATCGGCTGGTGTTGATTTATCCTGTCAGCTTACTGACATTAAACTTGAGGATGGCTTATATAACCTTTATGCATAACTCTGACGTAGTTTTCTAGCTAGTGAGCTTTGCTATCGTTTTTTGCAGGCTTTAAATGCGACTCCAGCTTATTTTAGTAATCCATCTCTGCCTGCTCCTTGGCCTTGAAAGCGAGCCATTGGCCCAGGGCATATTTAGATAATCTATACAGCTGCAACTATCATTCCAGGTATCTATCATTCACTAATCATAATCACGGCAAAGGTAAAAAGTAAGCAAGCAAATACATCTGCAGTCAGCGGGAAATTCACTAGATGGCTGTATCCGGCAGATTGGCGCGAGGTACCGACTCCCAGTAGTCAGCGCTAAGCCTTGTGTACTAGCCCGGTATGGTAATCTTGATTATACAATGGCTGATATTGTGTATCATTTCATCTCTGCCCTCGATGCAGTGGCTTTCAGCAATAGCCTATCGCTTGGAAGATCAACTCAATTGAGGAAATTGTCGCGCTGGATCAATGGGCTATGTCAGACTGCACCGCCATCTGATTATGGAATCAACTATAAACCTGGAATGTAGATGGTGATGAAGATGTCTATATAACTCCTTGACTTGACGTCTTCGTCTTGGCTCAATCATAAACATTGCTTTCTCATCTCAGTCTTTCGCTACCAGACTCTCGATTCACGACTAATTGTCTTCTTGCACCATGGAACAACAAATGCACTCCAATATGGACACTTCCTATATGGGTCAACAAATACACGCAAACATGAACCATTCGAACATGGAACAAATGCATTCCCACATGGATCGTTCACACGTGGACGGTCGCATGACTCCAGATGACGAACACGCACCATGCCTACGTACTAACAACGGAGGAGGCCATAACCTCTCTCCAACAGACCCAGACAGTCCCATGTCCTGGCCCTTTCTCCAGAAAGCATACGTCTCAGCAGTAGCCTTCTTCTTCGTCTTTACCATGTTCGTTCCTCCTCCCCCTCCCCCAAGACTACATATTGACATTCCCAGCATGTACGGAACAACAACATACACAGCCGCCATATCCGCCATCCCCACTGCATACAATGTCTCCCAACGCACAGCAATTCTGGGGTTTACACTCCCCTTCTTCGGCGTCTTCTTCGCACCAATCTACACGCCACATTTAGCAGAGCGTTATGGCCGACGACCAATCTATTTCATCAGCTTTCCACTTTTTCTAATGTGTGTTATTGTTATCGGTCTTGCGACGAAGGCTTCTACGTTGCTCGCCTTTCGGTTCTTGGCGGGGTATTTTGGTGGGCCTTGTGTTGTGCTTATTGAGGGGACGTTCGCGGATGTTTGGGACGGGAGGAGGACTGTTACTTATTATTCGTTTTTGACGTTGGCTTCGTACCTTGGTGCTGCTGCTGGTATGTATCCACCTTTCCACTGACCTTGCATCGCTGACAATCGCTGCAGGACCTATCATTGGTGGTTTCGTCTTTGAGTCGAAGGGACCCGCCTGGCTCTCATGGGTAACCCTCATGTTCGGATGCGCAGCCTTGGCTTTTGGATCCTTCATGCCAGAAACATACGGTCGCGAAATTCTGAGAACGCGCATTCGCTTTAACAGAAGTGGCATCAAGCTTCCTTGCGCTCAAAGCGGCGTCACACAGGCGGAGATGGCACGAATCACCTTCCTGACACCGGTCAAGATGCTCTTCTTCGAACCTCTCGTCACGCTCATCTCACTCTATCTCGGCCTTAACTTTGCCGTCGTTTTCCAATGGTTCATTTCTGTTCCTATTGCTCTGGCTGGAAACTACAACTTTGATGTGAGCGACTCTGGGCTTGCCTTTATCTCAGCTGTGGTCGGCGTTATCCTCGCAGCTCTGTCCTGTATCCTCATCGAAGCACTTCTCTCAAGTTCAGCAAAGAAGAACATGGATCACATTGAGAAACGTCTCATCCCCGCCATGTTCGGCGCGATCCTCGCGACAGGCTCTCTCTTCTGGGTAGCTTACACAGCCAAACCCTCAATCCACCACCTAGCCCCCATCTCAGGCACAGGCGTTTACGTCTGGGGCAATGCTATGATTCTCATTTCATTCATCTCATACCTTTTCGATGCTTATCCACCTGCTGGAACTTTGTCAGGCCTTACTACGGCTGCGTGTTTCCGATTGGCTTGTGCAGGAGTCGTCCCCATCTTTCTCCCTGATATGCTGACGAATTTGATGGGAGACTGGACATTTAGCCTTTTTGGAATCATTTCTGGTGTTATGGGAATTTTTCCTTTTGTATTGTATTGGTTTGGACCGGGTTGGAGGAAGGGGAGTAGGTATGCTGCTAAGTGGAAATCTATTCCTTCCGAAGCGCATGGGATGGAGTAATGGTTGCTCGGTCGCGACTGTGTCTATGTTTTGACCTGTCACCTGGCTTCGCCTGTTGATCCTCCGTCGTTTTGCTCTTTTCTTTGTTATATTCCTTTTGTGTTTCTACTATAGACTTGTTGTTGATAGTTTTTATCTGTATCTTAGATCGCGATATAAGAATTAATTGTTGAGCTTTTATTCCCAACCATCACGATGTCAAAGACTTAGCCACCTTCAACATAAGATACGGAATGATTTAGCTACCTCATGCAGGCTTAGGCCGGCATCTAGTCTACTTTTATTTTGGCGCCCTAAGCCTTAGTGGACAATTCTTCTGGCACCGGGACACCATGATCTCCAGTAGACAACAACAAGTCCTTCTTAAACCTGGAATAGTTACCCTAGAACGCTCTTCGCTTCTAGAACTCCATGTAATAAGCTGTCATTGAAGTTTAGTTCTCAGCCACTCTTCCCTTCCGGATGACATGGACAAGGTGATGAGAAATACGACGACCGCAAATTACCAGAGTCTCAATAACGGATCTAACTACCTCAATTGACTCAAATAAACTCAAACATATTCTTCAGCATAAGATATCCGACCATCCCGCCACGGGCCCAGGGACTTCCCGAAACTTTATGTGCATATTTGATCTGTTAGTCATGCTGCATCATCAATTCCCAAGGGTTGCATTTATCTTTCCAGAATAGAGTTCGCGAGAACCCTCGCTTATAACCCGACCCTTACCTAGAACAGCTACTGTTTCCACGCGCTAAACCACAGATGGGATTTGCACATGGTCTATGCTTGATTCAAGGGCTTTGCATGTCATTACGTTGTGAGAGAGGCTGGGTGCTCTGTTTACGGTCCGATCAATCGTCTTGGCAGATTCATGCCGGGGTGGTGATCTCTTACTCCTTATGGCAGTTGTTATACCATTGCTCGACCGTTGACCTGGACGATCCCGCGTAACTGACCTCGGGCATGGAGCGACGGCATTCATTAGCGGGGCGGGACGACGATCATGTTTATTATTTATACAACTTTATTTCTCCTTCAAACATCATCATCCACCATCATCCTCTCAACTCTTCAACATGCTGTCCAAGTACCTCATCACCGCACTTATCCCCAGCGCTCTCGCTGCAGCTCTTCCCTTCGCAGACGAACCCAACCGCTGCGATGCGGCCTGCCAACTCACCTATCGCCAAGCTCTAGCTGGAGAATCCGCCAAATGGGTTAACCAGAACATCACCACGGACCCATTCTACTCCAACCCCGCCAACGTCTCTGATCACTCGGCTGGTGATCTTGTCAAGTGGGAGGAAATTCCCGCTGCCCAAGCTGCGCGACGATGGACTGTCCCTGCTGGTGTTAGCCTGACGCGCTTCTTCTACATGACTGAGGATATCGATGGAAAGGCTATTCCTGCTACTGGCTTTGTGCTTACTCCTTATTCGAACCCTCTTGGAGAGGATAAGCCTTTCCGTACTGTTGTCTGGACTCACGGTACTGCTGGTATTGGCAGGAACTGCGCCCCTTCAAACCATCGTGGTTTGTACTACGAGTGGCAGGGTCCCTTTGCCCTTGTTCAGCAGGGTTACATTGTTATCGCTCCTGATTACGCTGGTCAGGGAAGTGACATCCCCCAGGGTTTCATGTACGAGTCCGGTGCCCTTCACGCTGCAGATGTCAGCTTTGGTCTTCAAGCCGCTCGTTCCGCTCTCGGCAAGAGCATCACCAAGGAATGGGTCGTCGTCGGTCACAGTGAAGGTGGAATGACCGCCTGGCGAACTGATGAGCGTGAGGCCATGGAGGGCAAGGCCACTGGTGGCTTCCTCGGCGCTGTTGCTCTCGCTCCCGCTCTCCAGCCCATCAAGCTCATCCCCGAGTCTTTCCGCCGCGCCAAGGACGGTCCCGCCGGCGATGTCGTCTCCATCTTTCTCCTCGAGTCCTTCTCCAAGCTGTACCCCTCCATCAAGGTCGAAGACTACGTAACCGACATCGTCGCCGAGCGAATGCAACTCGCCAACCAAGGCTGCCTCGACACCGGTGCATCTCTTTACAGCAACCTCACCGTGGAGCAAATCTACAAGAACACCAGCTGGGTCGAGCACCCCGATTTCAAGGACTGGCAGAAGCGCTACAACGGCTATGGCTCTCACAAGCTTGCTGCTCCTATGCTTGTTATACAGGGAGAAGCTGATATTCTCACTTATCCCGAGTATGCTGTGGAGGACTTTGATGAGAAGTGCAAGGAGTTTCCTGAGTCTACTGCTGAGTACAGGTCTTATCCTGATCTTGACCATGGGGCCGTTCTCTATGCTTCTACCGTGGATTACATGCCTTGGATTGCTGATCGATTCGATGGTGTCAAGTTGGAGAAGGGTTGCAAGAAGGTCAAGGTTAACCCGGCTACTGATAAGTTCTCTGTTGTTGCTCTTTCTTGGTCTGCTGATCTGCGATAAGATATTAGACGACGGGTGACGATTATATTACTTTGTACTTCTTTGTAAACAATTATTCTTTCCGGTATTTTATTGTAGCGCACCTATAGATAGAACCAAGCAAACAAATTCGGCGTCTCAAGCCTCAGCTCCGCCGTGACTCCATGCAAACAATTTAATCGGAATTTCCCATCATACAGGCTATGTCTTGCTTTTCCATTGTTTGTTGTTGTCTCTTAACATAACTCATCGGACGTTTCCTAGTCCATTGCGGCTCTAGATTTCAATAGCGCGGAACGCTACAGCTAAGGACCTGCTTAGCAGCCATTCACAACCAGTCAATCCGATAAATATTTCCCCACACGGACAATGCTTTCGATAGTGTCTAACACCCAGTCGATTACTTCCGGCCCCTATTTGTGACCTCCTTACCAATTCGTATCTGATATTCCATGTCACTGAATGTAGGAACTCATCATCTTCACTTCTTTTCGTACTCAAACTATGACGATGGGAAACTCAAAGATGGCAAGCTTGAAGGTTCTGGGCGTTGCACTTGTCCTTGGGTTCGCTGGCGTCAATGCAGTTCCATGTAAACCTGCGTCTCTTTCCATCGTCGGATCGAGCTCAATGGGACAGACAACAACAGTGACCGAGCCATCCTCCACTGCCAATCCAGAAATCGAGTCGACATCGGCTGTTATTCAAGGCGCTTCGTCCACAGTCGTTTCTGGTTATGAAGCGTCAATCACTCTCGAAGTATCGACCGCGACCTCGGAGACAACCTTTTCTCTGACATACGCAGGAACTGCCACTACCACTGTGGAGGATGCAGTCGTTACGGTAGAAACATCTGCCACTACTGTGGCTGATGATACAACTACCACAACGACAACAGAATCCGTGCCTACTGCAATAAACTATCTCCTTAACGCTGGTTTTGAAGAACCTAATGACGACAGTATTTTTAACGGGTTCCCATGGACCAGAAGAACCACTCCTCGAGGGGGCATTATCCAAGTCTTCGAGTCAAATGCTGATTACCCTGCTAGATCAGGTGCACGATCCATGTAAGCACCACGCGCCTATCCTCCAAACAGAATACTGACATTTATCCTCAGGCACATGACCATGCTACAGACCAACCCCATCTCTTTCCAGCAAGATGTCCCTGGATTAAATCCCGGAAGTCAATACGTCCTCTCTGCTTGGTTTGCATCAACCTTTGGAAAGACCCTCTATTGTACGAGTCAGCTAAACTTCGGTGGTGAAGTTGTCGCTACACACCAGTATTCCGTATCTGAGCCTTTGATCTATGAGAAGGCACAAGTAACTGTGACTGCCTCTGCTAAGACCGATGTAGTTGGAATCTTTATGATCTGCGAGAATCAAGGGCTTGGTATTGGGGTTTTAGTTGACGATCTTAGCCTTGTCGAAACGGTCTAGGCCTTCCAGCAGAAGATTCTGTACGATAAATCTTAGTCGGCCTGGGTTGCTTACGTAGATGATATCGATGCTGTTGGTGCCTGCGATATTCGTCTCTTGATGGATAACACTGTCGTTCAGTCGCAAAATATTTCCACCGACCGTTCTTACAACTTTGAGAAGGTTGACAGTATAACTACTGTGCTTTCAGACACTGCCCTCGTGGAAATATATTTAATCTGCCTCATGAATGTTGCTGCGATGGTGTTAACTGACGATGCTAGCCTCACATGGGACAATGAGCATCTTGAACAGGGTCTTCTTTAGCCATCTGTTCACTGTTAGATAGGATATATGATCACTCTAGCATGCTGCTCGGACGAGATAATTAAGGTTAAAGTTTCTGATTCCCGACGTCACACTTTCGGCATCGACTCACTGGCCGGCCAGTCTGTGGTTGGCCCGATTGAAGATTGAAGGTTGCTGGGACTCATGATAGGCTGTTCTGTACATAGTGCGAATACAAAGAGTACACCTGCCTCCTAAGATTCAACACAGAGGGAGGATATTTAGGCCCTTCCTTCTCACATCGAATTGTTTCACTCGGCCTGAGAAGCACGCGCGTCAGGAACCCCGACCCGTTCTTTCCCCCAACATATAACCATATCTTTCCCTCGCCCTCCTCGCGTCCTTTTCTGAACTCTACAAACTCGACACAATGACATCTCCCAACACCGACATCATGGACCAGTTTCAGGCCGGCAAGGCGATCCTGAAATATATCTATACTGACGTTATCGGCCCTACTGAGGGAAAGGTCGTCGGATACGCTCTAATGAGCACTACACCCCCCACTTCACCTTCTCGGCGTCAATCGAGCCTCGTGACGATGAACCACGAATTGTCGACAGATACCGCATCAAAATCGATCGACGAAGCGGAGAGCTCTCGGTCCCCAAGAAGATCGAGATCACGGACGAAGAAATGCGACAAGCCATTTTCGCTGCGACCGGCGACACGGTCGCGACCTCGAGCAGATATACGGACGGAGGTTTCAGCATCTCATACAAAGTGACGGTCGTGGGCAAACCCGACACCGCGTATATCGTTCAGATGCGCCACCACGGAAAAGTGGCTTCCATGGACGCGTTGATGAAGTTTGTCGATAATTACAACCAAGTCAAGCCAGGCGTGATCCCAATGCCTGCCGTGTATTCTATTCCAGGCGAAGCAGAGCATCAACAGAGGACCGGGTTCGGACGGCAGATCACGGAATTCATTCCTGGCGTTATGGCAGAAACAGTCTATCCCCAGATGCCCCATTCCGACAAACTCCAATTCGTGCGCAAGATGGCTCTAGCTTGGCAGGGTGTCTGGGATTTGCCCATCCATCCCTCTGAGTTGCCTCATCAAATAGGAGAATTGTCGGCGGAGGATGTCGATGGCTGAGAAGAAGGAGTTTTGGGCGGAGAACATTCGCGTTGTTGAGGGCATGCTGAAGAAGTATGGTGGAGAGACTTGATTCATTTGCTATGGTACCCAGGATCGGGCTGGAGGTTGAGGTTACGGATATTCATATTCTGAACAGAGGTATCGTGCGAAAGCCATGATGGAGGTTCAGGTGGTTTATAACTTTGTCGAGGTGGTTTAGACGTATTAATCACCAAGTTCTCTTACCACCTGTTAGTGTATTCCTAGCTTAATTGTTAAGGTATTCAATGAGCACTGATTTCTAAGTTTGCTCTCAAAACCTTGTGTAGAGTGGTACAGCGTTCGCTCATTCTGGTCGCCGTGTAACCCCAGTCACCGGATCCCGAGCACCAAATCAATCATCGTCACGACAAAACAGTATCAATTCCCTCAACATCAATCTGACGAAGAAAACACCATACCCGACGGTACTTACCCGCCATCGGTAAACTTTCCATCCGTGACCGGAGCGCCAAGTCCGAGGGTATGTTGGACATCCATCGCGGGTCTTGGCGGGTAAAAATCGCGGGGTTGGACCACGTCACCATTCGCCAATTGATGCTCCGTACCCATATTTCGCGGAGATCTGTTAAGCTTAAAGATAACAACGTCAGGGACTACGACCAGAAGGGAAGCTCGATCGGTGAACGAGTCGGACTGAGAACCTGATTGTCGGGCTCTTGACTCAATTGCCTGGTTCTTGGTGAGATCGCCGGTATAAAAGCTGACGTAGGTCCCGTTATTTGGGGCTGGACAAGTACGCCAATTCATCATGCATTTCCTTACCATCGCCGCCCTTCTTGGGACGGCGGCCGCTCAGATTAAATATGCCGACAATCAAGTCCCCTTCGCCCAAGAGTCAGAACAAGTCGCCGCCAACTTCCCCGACGTTGACGGCAAGCTCTACTCACCCGCCTTTCTCAACCCCGATGGCGTAAACAAGGCTTTCGCCAACGGCACAGCCACTCCCAACTCTCAACAAACCCTTGAGCAATTCCTTGCGACTCTCGCGTCAAGAAATGATTGGATGACATACCACAACCCTACCTTCTCTTCAGAGGAGGGTCGGTCCATTCCCTATGTTGTCCTGTCATCGTCCAAGTCGCTTCTCCAGACAACTAAGATGGCTGGTAATGGAACCAACAAGGTCCGCGTGTGGTTTCAGAGCCATGTTCATGGAAATGAACCAGCGGGTGAAGAAGCTATTCTTGCGCTGCTGGGCAAAATGGACGCTCAACCAGAATGGACAGCTTCTATTCTGGAGAAGTTAGATATTATGGTTCTGCCGCGGTACAATCCTGATGGAGCGGCTTATTTCCAGCGATACTTGGCTACTGGCTTCGACCCGAACCGGGACCATACGAAAATGGCTTCTCAGCAAACCATGGACGTCAAGGCGCTGAATCTCAAGTTCAACGCTCATCTTCATCTTGATTGCCACGAGTATGGTGCTGCTCGACGGTTGACCTACGACAACAAGACATTCATACCTTCTCAGGACAGCCAATTCTCTGCGTTCAAGAACCCCAACGTTCACGAGGATATTCGGTCTCTTGCAGAATCTCTGTTCGTACCCAAGGTTCATTCTGCGCTGGAAGACAAGAACTTGACTTCAAGTGGCTACGTCGTTGCATTCCAAGAGGAAGGCCAGGGCATTCGTCTGCAAGACTTCGTCACAGACACACGTGGTGAAGTCACCGTCTTTCTAGGCCAAGGTCTTGCATTTCTATCCGAAACACGAGGAATCGGTCTAGGAGACCAATACTTCAAGCGTCGAACTACAGCCGGTCTTACCGCTGCCGTTACCCTTCTTCAAACAGCCGCCGACAACGCTGAATTGATCTACGACACGGTCGAGTCTGCACGTGCTGACTTTATCACCAATGACCAAGAGATCATCGTGCGCGAACAACCTCGCTGGTCAAACTCTACATGGAACTACATCAACGCTGAAACAGGTGATCTCACCGAAGTCCCCGTTCAATTCGGCAACAACACACCTCCCGCGTCAAACCTCACACGTTCTCGTCCCGAAGCGTACATCTTCAGTCGCGCATGGGGCCACGCAGCCACCAAACTTCGCGCTGCCGGTCTTGAAGTGAATGAGCTAGCAATTGACTTTGAAGGCGAAGTTGAAGCGTACAACATTACTGAAGCTACCCTTGCGCCTACCAAGTATGAGGGTATTGCGCTTACTACTGTTAATACGGAGATGTTTACTAAGACGATGAAGTTTCCTGCTGGGGCTTATTGGGTTAGTACTAGACAGCAGCATGCGGCGCAGGCTTTTGTTAGACTTGAGCCGGAGCATCCTGATGGGTTTGTTACGTTTAATATTTTCCCTGTTAGTGCTGGGGACGAGTACCAAGTTTACCGTATTCCTTCTCAGTAACGGCAAGGATGAAGATGAAGCTTCAATTCGTGTACATATTTCTAGGATAGATTAAAACATTATTACATTTGAAGAGACTCGTATCTCATGTGGACTCCTGCAGTCCAACACCCTGCATCTTGACACCCTCCACAAAATTAACAGGCGGCGTATACGCCTTCCTTCCATGCATGACATACGCAACAGCTGCAATCAGAATAACACCGAACCAGATCAACGGCGCCCAATTAGCCGTCGCAGTATCAACGGGCAACGTAAGCGGGAAGCAGCACAGAATGACAATGAACAAACTGTACAGGACCGAAAACGCATTGATGACCAGTCCAAATTTGCCCAAGCTCCATCGTGCAAAGGGAAGCTGTTCGCCTTTGATGCGCTTGAGAAGAACGCAGCCGATGCTGAGAAGGTAGGTCGACATGATGCCGAGAGTGGAGAGGGAGACGAGGACCGTGAAGGCGACTTCGGAACCGATTTGGATGAGAGAGAGAAGAGCGGCGCCGATGGACATGAGATAGACCGCGTTGAAGGGCATGTGCCATTTCTTGTCCCTAGGAAATATTAGCATGGTATCAAACCGTGTCAGAGAAGTCAACTTGCATGTGACCGATCCATCGTGAGCCAGGAAGACCCTGATCTCTCGCAAAAGCCCACGTCTCACGCGCACAAGTCGCAAGAGTCGTAACATTGCCCAAATACACCAACAGCCACAAAATGACATTGAAGAACAAGTTCAAACTCTGGGACCCGGTTCGATCAAAGAGCGTGATGAATGGCCAGTCAGACGCAATGACGGGATCAAGAGGCCCAATGCAGAAAAGCATGGTGATGAGCATGACGAAGCCAAAGCAGACATTACCGACGTACGACCACCAAATAGCCCTTGGTACAATGATACTCGCGTTCTTGACTTCCTCGGATAAATGCACGATGGAGTCTGAACCAAAACAACACCACAGGACATAGATCTGCGAAGAGATATACGCAAAGCCCATGTTATCCCAACCACTCTGATCAGTGAACTGCGTAAACACATCACTCGCATTATTCTTATCACAAAGAACCCAAAGAGGAATCATGACGGCGAAGAAACCGAGAACATGTCCGATGAGACTGGCTGTTTCGAGCTGAGGGAAAAATGCGGTGCCCCATGTGTTGAATGCGATGGTGATGACGATAACAGCCCACATGATTAAGGAAATCTGCCATGGTGTGAATGCAAAGTCCGGGTTGGTTACGTTGATGCAGGCTTGCACTTGGAAGGCGATTGTGTAGCAGCTACTCGCGAAACTGGCGAGCCAGCCTAGTGTTGTCATCCAGCCGGAAGCGTAGGAGAGGACTTTTTGATACTTTGGTGGTGAGAATTCACTAACCCAGTCTGTCCCAGTCAGTCACAGACATCTTAGTCAATTGGTACAGAGGACTTACGATATTGACCACCAGAAGTAGGCGCCATAGAAGCCATCTCCGCCAAACTCGCCACAACAGCACTATACGCAATAGTAGTCGTAACAAAGCACCAAAACACACCCGCATAACCACCATTCGTAAATCCCGGCGCAAGCGAAATTAAAACAAACTCCCAGGTAGCCATATAAATCGCCACAAAGCCTATAGAAGACCATAGTGAAAAAGTACGCTTGAATTGTTGCTTTTTGCCAAGACGTTGCATGTCAAGATGATCCTGGTGATCATTGTGAAAACCATCGTGTTCGTCGTCGCTGAGCTGGGACGGTAAAAGGGCGTTGTTGGCTTGTTTGGAGGAGTCGACGGCGTGGGAGGGGTCGGTGGAGGATTTGGATGATGAGTCTGTCATTGTGGCGACAAGACCTTGCTGTTGGTCGAAAGAGAGAATGGAGGTGAGAGAAGGGAAAACAAAGTTCAAGGGATCTCTTTTTATCCAACGGTGGCGATCGAGAAGCCCCGCCCTGAAATTAAAGACTCCCACTAAATCTCAGTGAAACCTTAGTTTCTGTCCTGCGATAGGCTTAAGGAGATCCTCTAGGCGGATTTAGAGCCGTTTGAAGCTCTAGCTTCGGTTGCAGCCGCAGGGTTTAGAGCCGTCAAAATACGATATCTTTAGTGCATGTTTGAGTTGGAGCATACTGACTAGACTATTCTGTCTAGCCCTCTCTTTTCACGGGCCTTTTTCTCTGAGCGATCTACCGCCGAAAGCTTGGCCAGCGGGAAGATTATTTCACCGTATCCCGATTGGTTGAGATCCCAGGGTTTTGTGGATACGGGTATAAACGGCATTAATGCTTTGGACACCAGTGTTCGAGATGCAGATCCTTCTGTGGTTCTACCCACTGTCATGAGACGGTCTAGAAGGTTTTATTCTCAGGGTCCTGGAAAGGGTTCTGCGCGCGGTAAGCTCTGATCAAAATGTGGTATTAACTCCAGGGGAATCTTTTTATTGTGCGACGGGGTATAAATCTGAACGGCGTGCAGTTACTAACCTACAGGGTTTATAGACAGGTCTCAATAAGGACGATTTTGGCATTCACAATCCAAGGAATTACGTCAATTATATGAAGTAGTCGGACTGTCTACTATGATATTACCCAAAGAAAAACTACCGAGAACATGTTGATAGAGTAAGCGTAGTTAATATATCCTTTGTATGTTTCTGTAAATAAAATTAAAGCTATGAATAAACCATTAGTGTAGGTAACAAGTAAAGACTAGCCACCTGCATAATCAGGCCTTCTATCTGTAAATGTCTATTGTTTGAAAACATGAAAGCATCGATCAAGGATGACAACAGGTACAAGAAGAAGGAATCAACTTATTGGTATAGGAGATCACTGCTATACGGCACAAATATGAGGAATCGCAGCCCGTGCTGGAGCATTTTCTTGTGTGAAGTCAGTGTACTCTTCATTTCGCCTCGTTCCGCTTCTCTCGGCAATTGAGCTGTCATATGGTTTTGTATTAAAAGACAATTGTTGGTTGTGTGGATGCGTTGAGCATGGATGGGAGAAAAAAAAAGAGGGCTGCCTATTTTCAACCCAGCCATCAACAACAAAGCAACAGGCCGCTGTCACCTGACCCTTAGGCTTGCAGCTATCTTTGAATGGTTATGTGTCAGATTTGGAAGCTACCAGTCCCATTGGATCTCGGCAGGACCGGCAGCCAAGAGTTAGGAGTGGGGAGCTGAATCGTTGGACAACTTGACAACGCACCTTGTCCTGCACCTTGTCCCACACCACATCTCGACAAAATTAATTCTTTCAGTCTAAAGCGGCCCGCCCTCGTGTAGATCCTCTAGCTGCCGGTGGGAGATTTATTGAAGCTAGCTTCGTGAAGCGATAGCGGAAAGGCTTTGCGCTGTAACTATAGAACGAGTACCGTAGAAACTCACGAGATTCAAGAAGCCCTATAGATACTTTCCACTTAATGCTGCAGCTCTAATTGGGCTAAAAGGTATTGAAGACATAATATTACACTAATCTATGCCCCTGATTAAATAAAAATAGCAGCTTCGGACCTGCATGGTGTTTCGAATCTTGTGAATTCCTACAGTACTGGCCTCAAATGCAGCCTGTTGCTTATAAAATATGCATCAAGTATTAGGCTAATAGCGAACAGACGCTAAGCTATTCTTTTCTATGATAGGCACTGCTAACCGAGTATGATGGCAAATGCCAAGCCTCGTCCTTACGTTTTAAAGATGTAGGATAACAACCGGCTGCCCACCAAAAGACAAAACTATTCAACTGCATCGGCTCTGTGAAGCAGTAAGTATTACATCTACACAACAGCAGAATTCGAAGGCAATCATTCTTCATTAACATCGACGTATATTAAGAAATAAACTAACCGATTTGCAGATTTATTCTTGTGAAGAATCTCTACCAACTAGCCACGCTATAGGGACAGGATTCTGGCGATACCAGAATGGAACGTCTCAATTGGTTTACCAAGTTCACCAACATCAACCCTAACCAAGATGCGCGGCAGTGGCAAACAAGCGATCTTTGCAAAGAATGTCAAGACGTTGACTTTGACAAAGTTTTAGTTGCTTCGAAAGGGCCATCAGAACCGAAACATTACTCTGGATTTTTTGAGCTTCGCATCTCTGAGGACATTATGTGCCCTATGTGCAGATTTTACACGAGACTAGTGCCAGCTGAGTATCGGTTGCATGCTACTGAAGTCACCGACATTTCCCTTGAACAACGGGCGAGAGATCCAGGTCATCTATTGATCAATATCATGGCACCATACCCATACATGATGGATTCCCTAAGAAAAGGAAAGATGAAGATCGTGCCTATCAGGAAAGCAGAGTCGGGAGTGTCCCGGTATGTGGATGTCCACAGTCAGTCGATTGACTATGGAGTCATCAAGAGTTGGATCTCTCACTGTGAGACCAGTCACAGCAAACTTTGTCGCGAACCACAATTAGATTCATTCAACGACATGAAATTCAGAATGATTGACTGCCATAGCAGGACTGTCACTGTACATGGGCACGGAGATCGTTACGTCGCGCTCAGCTATGTTTGGGGCCCTGACGAGCAGGGACATGGCTCTGGCGACCCTAAGTCTGTATTGCGAGACTTGAACGGCAAAAGTATACAAATCTCCAACGTCATTCAAGATGCGATGGCTGTTACAATCGGACTTGGTCTCCAGTATCTTTGGGTCGACAAGGTTTGCATCAATCAGGATGATGCCGAAGAAAAGCAACAGCAGCTGCGTGGTATGGATTCCATCTGTAGGTATTCAGACCTTTGACTCTTACACGAATGTGGGCTGAACTTTTCAGACAATAAAGCTTTTCTCACCATCGTGGCTGCTGCCGGAAACCGAGCATCGTATGGTCTTCCTGGCGTGGGTACCCGGTCGCGAGCGATCAGACCAAGAATCAGGTTAAATGGAACGACATGGACAGCATATTGCGATTCTCCCTGGAAGACAGTAAGCAGGTCAAAATGGTCACACCGAGGATGGACATTCCAAGAAAGCTTCTTCTCCCGCAGATTCTTGATGTTCACCGATGAGCAGGTGATATTCGAGTGTGGGGACATGCTCCAAACGGAATCTCGGGTACAAGACTTGGATGCACCCACAATGGAATCCGATATCAACAGCTTGAACATTATAGAGCGATGCGACAGCAAGGTGCATCCACTGTCGCTCATGTTTCTCATACAAAGTTTCACTTACCGAGAACTGACAAAAGAAGAAGACGTTCTCGAGGCCATGGGCGGCCTTTTCAATTTTCACTCACAACTTGAGCCACCGATCGAAACTTTCTGGGGCCTTCCCATTCGTCGGTCTGGTTATGGGATGTCGAACCTGGAATTGGATGCGTATCGCGCGGGCAACTCAAATCTTAAGCATGAAGATATAGCTGGTGCGATTCTTCTAGGCCTTCAGTGGTATCCGTATGGTACTGAACGCCTTGTCACAAGAAGAGAAGGGTTCCCCTCTTGGTCCTGGTCGGGTTGGAAGACTGTAGTAAGTGGGAGGGGTAATCCGTCGTCTTATGACAAAACACCAAGTGGTTTTACTTTTCCAATGCATGTGGTTACAACAAACAATGGACTGGTGGCGGTCAACGAAGCCTTTGCCCGCAGTCTGGCGTCAGGCAGAAGCTATGAAGTGCTGGGATATACCCAGACCCTTCGATTCGACGCTCAAGTATTAGAAGTCCCGTTCGTCAAGTGGAAAGACTACAAGGGGCGCGGCTCATATTCTGAGGAGCTCTCAATTGGATACATGAGAAATTTCATCTCCGGAGACTCTGTGCGCTTTGCTGCTGTAAGGACAATAGGCTCTGAAGTTCTGTCGCTTGTTTCAGATCAGAGTTCTACTTCTAGGGCACTTGTCTGGCCTTTGTTCCTGACATGTAGCACCGCCGACACAGAAGACATCCGGAAGGACCCCGACACCAGGACAATCGAATGTGTGGTCATAGGTGACGAATATGGCCTGCTCGTTCAAACCAGGGATGGCGTGTCGAAGCGAGTTGGTCTTATGCGCTTTGAATGTGAGTTTTTGATAGATGGTCGAATGAGAAGCTATGACTCTCTCGACGAAAGATGGAAGTGGAGTTATAAAGTTAAGAAAGTTGATCTAAGAGACTACTTCCCAGGTAGTGTCAGGACTGTTCATCTAGCATAAGATTATATATACACATCTAATGATTTTATATGATAGAATCGTTAGAGTAAGAGGTTCAGCGTTGTCATGATAATCATATATATATATATATATCTCGTTGACAAGCCCCATAGTTTTGTGTACTGGCCAGTTTATGCGGGCGCATACTCTGTCTTACCTTCGGGCTTACTAGAAGATCATTCTTCCTTCCCAACGCTGTATATTCATCCCTCGAGCGTACGATCAGGAGTGATATCAACCGCCGCCATGGCAGTTGGTCTGCAATGTATGAGAGGCAAGACATGCTTTTTCTTATCATAACAACAAAGCGCAAAAGCCGAGAGAGACATGTTTACCCTATGATATGCAACATGTGGGTCGTTGGGTATCTATGCATACTGCCTAGGTTATAAGACGTTTGCGCTGCTGTTATGAATGGACCGTATTCTTCATCTCCTACCTAAACATTGGTTTGCATACACACATTGGTCATGGCGACGCGTTCTGAGGCTGAATTACCCGAGCAACCAAACAAGCCGAATACCGAATCAAGCCTTCAATCACAACAAAACGGATGCCCTATCGCCAGAGAAATAAGCCATCGGCTCCAGTTACCAGCGGATTATGGAAAGTACCGCCAAGATGATCTTGGCACTCTGTACTTGCCGCGGGACGATTTCTGCCCTGAGTCGGCCTATTGCGTCTTTTGCAGCTTTGTGGCTAGATTGAGACCTGCTGGCATAAAAGGTACATCGCCAGATTCGGTTGACTTTGTCACCGGGGAGGAGACTACGAGTGAAAGATTAAGGGGATGGATTAATACACAACCCACAAGCGAGACACCATCACTGAGCAGCCAGGATACAGGTGGTCTTATCATTCATGTTACTAGCGGAGTGAACGAGTTTCAAACAGTCAACTGGCGCGTGGAAAGAACTTATTACAACCCCCCAAAAGATGGGCCAGACAGAGATATAGTTGGAACTTTTCGCCTCTGGAAGTACCAAGCCCCGGACTGTTACCTCCCCACGCCCACGGTCGACACATTAACGTACATCACCAAGTATGCCAAACAATGGCTACGCCTATGCGACGAGAGTCACGAAGTCTGCAAATCCCTTGCTTCGAATTCCACACCTCCGATCTCTCTGATTGATTGCAATCAACGTTGTCTTGTACATAGTTCCCAAGGAATCCGCTATGTTGCACTCAGTTACGTATGGGGCAAGACCGGGCGCAATTTTAACCTCCCCAAAAGGCGCTACGGTGTCCCATTAGATGGACTTCCACGCACTATTACTGATGCCATAACGGTCACGAAAAGTCTCGGATACGATTATTTATGGGTCGATATGCTATGCATTGATCAACAGAGCGAAGAGGATAAGCTTCGCCAGATAGCTATCATGGACCAGATCTATCGATCAGCGGATCTGACCATTATCGTTGCAGCTGGTAGTGATTGCGGTGACGGCATCCCTGGTGTGAGTGAGAGATGCCGCCCGCCGCGGATGTCAATTAAGATCGGGAACACAGTACTCGTCGAGGACAAAGAGAACGCAGTCACCGAGATACGGTATTCGACTTGGCGATCAAGGGGCTGGACATTCCAGGAAGGCCTGCTGTCAAGGCGTCGACTTGTATTCACAGATACTCAGTTGCTGTTTTCTTGTCTATCAAGTCAGGCGACCGAGCCCGAAGAGGGTCCAGAATTCTCGCACAAGGCGAAGGAGGCCCCAATCTACATGCGTCAGAAGGAAGATCTTTGGGATACCAGCTTCCTCCAAACTGACAGCGTGCCGCGCACCTATCTGATTGAAAACCAATGGTTTCACGGTACGACTGTGATTAAGAACGATCGTTTTCACTCAAGATATGGATTTCCAATCGCTTTCGCAGAGTTGTTGGAAGAGTACTCGAAACTGAACTTCTCGTTTGAGTCGGATATCGTGAATGCTTTCCGGGCTATCGGAAATACGTTCGCTCTGAGATCACCCCCTGTGCTCCATCTCTATGGCCTCCCATTCATATTCGACGCCGAGTCGATCACTGCTAGTTCTATAACTCGCGCTCTCGCATGGTGTCTGGTGAGAGGCGATGAAGAGACTGCGCGAAGGTCAGGCTTTCCGTCGTGGTCCTGGCTGGGATACAGGGGGCCGGTGCGATGGGGTGCGTTTGTTCGGAACGTGCCTCCCGGTCCTATTGACGCGCAATGGTCTGCTAAAACGTTTTCACACGTCCTATCGATAACTACCATTAGTAACAGGAGCTTTGAGCTTTTGCAGCTGTCACAGTGGTGGCAAGAGTGGAGTAGTGCGAGGGCATCCGAAGGTCTGGCACCATCGAGACTAATGCTATCCGGACCTATGATTAAACAGGAACTTTGGCTGGACTCCAAGAGTATGCTAAAACCTGGATGGGGAGACTCAGGACCCCATGTTATTCTCGACAAGGAAGCTTGCCTTTCCAATTTCCAGTACAACATAGGGGGAAATCTTCACATGTCGGCAGATGCATGCCGATGTCTTTTTGACAATCTGAGAAGCGGCAGCTGGAGGGCACTTGTACTCACGCAGAGCTTTCTTTTACTTGTCCAGTCTGTGTCTGTTGATGTCAAGGGTGGGCTGTATAGACGCGTTGCAGGTGTCGAGATTGAGGTTTCTCATACGACGGAGGAGTTTGTAGAGACGTCTACAAACGTTGTGGAAGTAGAGTTAGTATAACCACATCTATAGTATCCTTTAGATATACTATGAACCAAATTCAATCAACATCTTCGCACACCTGCATCGATGACGAGATCAACCGGATCAGACTCGGAACAACAGGAAGATCCGGAACCTCCGTGTACCGAGAGCGCCGGGACGGTAATATCCTTCAAGCATGCTGAAATATTTTGAATTTTTGGGAATCGATAGCTTAGCGCTATTACGGCATTTGCTAAGGTGCCAATTTAGGGCAGAGTAGCCATAAGAAGGACATTGTTCTTGGAGGGTTGAGAGATTAGCTGCCCTACAACACAGCGTGAACTGGGAGCCAGTTGCCAATATTTATGAATAGGGAAGTTGATGAGTTATGATGCTTCAAAAGCTACAGTGGCTCAAAGTTGCTAGATGGCTTAATGAGACACTCTTAAAGTTGAGCCCCGCTAGGTAGAAAATCAACCGCTTGAGGGCTTGAGGTCAATCAAAGAGCCATCTGAGACCCTATCTTGGTTTTCTAAAGTCTTTACTCTTACTTCCCAAAAGTCATAGCTGCTAAGCACCTGAAGGTCTGTTTTAGCTACATACTTTGCAGGACTCGCTCCTCAGAAAAGTTTAAACTAGACACCTGAACCCAATTGTGTCAGTCCTCCATATCATATTAGTCGCTCGCAATTCTTGCTATCTATCGGAATGTAACCTTGGGATCAACCGAAGTGTCTATTAATAGAGTGTGTGGAGTGAATCCGTGCCTGTATGTTTTGTGTGTATAACCAACATGACCGGCAGTTGACAATCTTGGCATACTACCCCACACATACTCTCTCCTTTTTGACCATAGATATCAAGCAGAATAATATGGGAGTTGATAGTGATAAACTCAACGTTGGGTATCAATGTGACTGACCATTTCTCGACAGCGATATTAGCTCACAGCCTCAAATGACGCCACAGTCGGTTCCAGCACCGTAAATAGTTTAACTAGCGATCGTCACTATCGGATCATATTTCTTCTCCCCGGACGTCAGTCCTGCAGTTCGGTAAATTGCCAAGAAGGGACGGTTGATTTGCAGATCGCTATCTCGCCGTTATGCTGTTAGTTGACAACCAACACTCAATATTTGTGGAAATTTTAATAATCACCGGCATTCGCTTTTCGCAAGCTAGGCAACTTAGAGAGTGTGTATTATGCAGGCCATTCAGCCTTAAGATTGCTATTCTAATTTTTGTACGTAACAAAAGTCTCGTTCTTAACAAATATTCCCCGGGAAGGTGGTGACTGGATAGGATAACTGTCCTGGTCCTCTACAGTAGCACGCGACACCACCGTATGGTTGCCTCGTCCATGACTCTCGTAGTCAGATATCGAGCCTCCGTTGTGTTCCATGCGAGTAGCAAGCTCATATGTAGAGCTGGTTTCGTCCTTATGGTCATCCTTGGGTTTTGTCGAGAGACGGATTGATTGGTTCGGGATCGGGCGGGAGTGGCTTTGGCCGAAACTGTTGGCGCTGACGGTGCTGGTGGTCGCGATACCGAGGCGTGAGCCGATTGAGAGGCAGGCGGGTCGAATCGTTGGGAGGCAAGCTAAGTCGGCGTGGTCAGCGATAACAGTATAGACATGGTTGAGAGAGCACTTACTGGAGACAGTAAGCATGTTGATCTCGACGGTTCCCCAGATCACGGTATCGACAAGATCCCATGAAAGATCAACTGAGTCGGCAGCGATATTTGCACCAGCAATAGCGACAACTAGACCGATGACACACACCCTGGATTGAATTAGCTAGCGACAAAACCTGTAGGTCTGTTTATCTTACAGTGTACCAAACAGCAACATTAAAAGAACTCCAAACTTCTGGACCTTGGGCAACTGGAGCCTCTTGATTTGTATCGTAGGCAGAATAATAGCGAGGACATCGATGAGGATGTGAGAAATGATACTGCCAAATACATACTTGGGCGTCTCGACGAGGCAATTGGCCGTTGGTCTCATCTCAAGTTGCCAGAATGCTTCGACGGGTAGACATTGAATCGTGCCGACGATGAGTCGAGCGATGAGCCAAAGGGTCGATAATGTAAGCAACGAGTATACGGCGATCTTGATGTTTGTGATTCGAAACATGCGCCAGTAGAAGAACAAAAGTGAAACTTTGGCAAGGTAAACGACGAAGGTATATGTTTGTTCAATGGCGTAAAGCTGGTGCATCATAGTCGAATTCGTTTTAATGATGTCTCTGTCGATGTCGGTCGCGTGCTTTCCAAGGCCGTTGAGAATCCCTGGGCCAAGATTAGCGTTCGCCCCATGCCTTCTGATAAAGACAAAACCTACATATCGGTGTTTGAACAGCCCAAATAATGGCGCAAACGTAGCAGGCAATTGCAGCGTAGTCATCCCACCATAATCCCACTCTCGTGATCTTGCGGCTCATAAGGCGGAGTCCAATGAAGACGGTCGCGATTACGAACGGAAGCCATTCCGCTACCCAGAGACTGGGCTGTCTGTTGTCCACCATTTCGAGATCTGCAAAGACGATGATCGACAATAGATCTTCAAAAGCCGACCGGCGAAAGACGTTCAACGAATCGACGAGCCGAAGGCCGGCAAGAGAGGTCTGATAGACTGTCGCAACGTCCAAAGTTAAGTAAATAAAAGAGAAGAATAACTTATAACTAAAAGAATGTGGTTGTCATCCACCAGAGGGGAGACTGTTGGTTGATAAATAATTACTAAATACAGAGTAGTATTCTTGATCCATACCTCAAGGTTTTAGCGTGTCTCGACTTTCCAGGGTGCAAGCCACTTTGCTTATCCCCCTTAACCAACGATCTTGGCTACTTCAGTAGTCTCCTGTTAGGCGAAGACGTCTGAACGGTCCTTTGCTGGGAAGCTGACGCGCAGAGGGGACTTGTTCATGCCTGTGTGTAGGATGCAGGGGTTTTAATGTAACGGGGAAGGCGATATCAGACTTAGATCCTGTTTTTAGGGTTATGGAGGTTGCGATTTGAAGGAACGGTGTTGGGTATCATGGGAGGGGTACGGGACTACGGCACACGACTTGAAGATTCACTTTCACCAGTGGCAAATTGCTGCTAAGCATACGGATCTTCAGGTCAAGCTATTGATGAATATATCTAATTAAATGGGAACCGGATCCTTAGTGCGAGATCCGTCGCATTATATTCGCATCCCAGACGGTTGGTAGCATCGACAGCGTATTGGAGCTGAACCATGAGCTTGTGTGTCACCGAAACCATTTGCCGTCTTCCAAATGACTGCTGAGTAATCACATTCAAGTTTAACTGGAATACCTTGCTAGCTGGCTAATTTCTGGTCGAAGAAAGGTGTCTGATGTTAGTGCTCAAGTATCTTGACGTCCGGATAACTGTTATCCAGAACGCTGGGTCCCACATTCTAGCTCCCGATGGAATGCGTAGTCTAGACGGACCGGGCGTCCTGCACCAATCGCAGCTGCCGGGGGCAGTTACACATCAAGATTAGTTCCTGTAGCGCGAACTTTAACCACATATGTTCAATATTTGCAGACGTAGGGGTTTTCCAATCGGACCTTGTTGAGGATAAGGTTCATCAGGAAAGATGACTGTTAAATGACAGTTCGTGTGATCAAAAGTGTTGTTTTACTAAGTACGCATTGCGGGCATCTTTATCACCAGATGTGTCATAAGCAAACCCCGAGTAGGGGTTTTCCAAAAACACGACACTGGGAAAAGAAAACATGAAGATCGCCTCACCAAACTGTTGGCTCCTGTCTGTCCATCTCAAATCAACGGCAAGCTCGCTAACTTAGTTCCCGAGAAGTTGTCTCTTCTCTTCGAGCGTCTGTGCCATTGTATGTGCACGCTCGGATGGCTGAAGAGACTTGAACATCCGATCTTAGACTTACGGATGCGGCCGCCGGTCGATAGTGCAGATTTAATCACGATATGGTCTCGACTAACTGCTAGTGATCTACAGCTAACAGTCTAGGAGGGCCAAGAAAGCTAAGGATTTGTTTGCCGGCACACCGGTCATTTTCTCTGCCCGCCGGAAGGCTTGAAAGTACAGTAATTACGTCTAGACCTCGGTCCCCCCACCTGAACTGTCACGTTGAAGATTGAACAGCCAAGGATATTTTCTTCTGCGTTCAGACGGTGGCTGAACCTAACGTGAGCTGATCACTTTTTGGAAAAGAACCAACAGCCCTATCATGTATTGAACATGAACCAATCTCGTATCCGAGAGTGTAATCCTATGTCTGTGCGAGTCATACGGATGACTCGCTTAGCTAGGGAAACGGGCTTTTAGCCTTACCAGGAAAGCTGTAGACTGTAATGAAACTCATGGCTCTTATCTCAAGATTTATCCCCATTAGCTCGATAACTAATGCAAGCCCGAATGTTATCAGCGAAGATGGCATGTTTTTGATGCTAGAGCCAACAGCCCGATATGCAGCGAATCTCTAGAATTTTTGTCTTTTTGGCTTTATCTGGGACATGACATACGATTCTAACGGGAGACGTACGCTTCGACATGTTCCTAAAGTGTGCCCAATGACTCCTGGGCATGCATAGAACAAAGGAATGTTCTGTCATGTTCAGGGTAGTCTCGTCAGGAACAATGATAGAGCTCGGGATATAGTTGACCCGGAAAAGAGCGACGTTAAACAGAGAACGCATCAGGCGCATTTCTAGGCGATTTTATGGGATGGGATTATCATTTTAGATACTTCAACAAGTAGCCATTGATAAACATGTCGATGTCAATGAAAACATGGTAAAGTCTTGATGGATTCACCGTCAAAAATGATAAGACAGATAACGATATGTGATAAGATAAGATAACGTTGACGAGACCGCTAAGCCGCAAACGGCAATCCGCCCAAAAATCTTCCCGCGATCTTCATTCCTGCCTTATCGCGTCGTGTCTCAATTAAGCCACCCAGCCCATCATGACAACAGTCACCCCCTCCATGCGCATCCACGGCTGGAACATCCACCTCCTGTCCGGTCCCGATGACTTCCACTTCTCGGGTCTCTATCAACATCCTGGTAGTAACCTCATAACATTTCGCGATGTCGTCAATGAGATGCGTCTTTGTTTTGACATACCCTGCACCGAAGATCCATGGGAGAATATCGCGTTTATGCTGGCTGATTCGCCGGATGATATGAAGCGCAAACTTCCTTCTCTAGTAGCGGATGAGGATCTTGGTTTGCTGGTTCCTGGGTTGAAGAGTTTGTCGCCGAAGTGTCCGAGTGTCGTGACGTATCATGTTATCTTGCATAAGCCTTGTGAGATCAATGATGATAAACCGTTGGAGGACCATTTGAAGAGTTGGTCTAGTCATTATATATCATGAGTCTGATTGTGTTTGAGTTACTAACCAGTATGCAGATGAATGCGCTCAGCACATCCCCCGCCCAACGCGTCGTCTAGAACCACGCTACATCCCTCTAGACAGAACCTCACTAGATCCTCGCTACGCAAGATTGCCTTTCCGACGCACAGCCAAACCCCGAAGAGCATCCGAGTCACCAAAACGGCGCAGATCAGACTCGCGTTCCTCGACAGACAATGAGCAAGAAGACATCAAGCACCTCCACGTCCCACCAAAAATGGACATCACACCAGAAAAAGCGAGACAAACGATAGAGACCTTCCGCCATGAGTGTCTCATTCATACTGATAGATGCGCGATATCTGGAAAAGGACAGTCTTGGTGTATCATTCCGTCGATTGGACCTGGTCTGCAAGTTTGCCATATCATACCACAGCAGCACTTCTATCTGTACCCTGATGACCAGCAGCTGAATACACAAGATGGTGATGAGAAGCTTACGCGGGCGTGGGCGAATACATGGTCGAACAAGAACGGTATTCTTCTTATGAACGACATCCGACAACTCTTCGAAGCACGCCTGATCTCAATACATCCCGACACACATAGGATCCGCGCATTCGTACCATACGATTTCATCACAGACTTCAACGGGAAGAAAGCAAGTATTCCGAGGAAAGTGGATAAGTTAGCTTTGAGACATCATTATGAGATGGCTTGTATTGAGAATATGGCTGCGCAGATGCCGAGTGGGATGGGATTTCTGGAGATCAGGGCACCGCTTGGACGGACGATAAGTTTGCCGATTAATACGAACTTGAATGCGAAGGAGGGTGATCCAGCGAAGAGGCTCAGGTTGGATGAGGAGAGTGAGACTGAGAAGACGATTGTGGAGGAAGAGGTGATGGAGTCACAGGAAGAGGAGATTCAGAGATCTTTGTCTGTGGAGTATGACCTGGCAGAGGATTCGGGTGATGATACGTCTTGAATTGAAGATCCAACTTGAGTTGAATTTACCCGGTTGAGAAAGTACATGGAGCTCCAGTAACCGTTGATAACCGTTGAGGAAGGAAACTGAACAAGGTGAGTAATGAAAGTGGAGCTAATAAGGCTCACGAGATAGAATGGCCGAGTGAGACAACACAACACGCCTAAGTCCGAAATCATGTGAGAGATGGAGTAGCTGTTCCACTACTACTTCAGTAACGTGCTGTCAATTTAATTGGACGGAGGGCTCGAGGTGCAGCAGGCCTGAGAGGGGGTTAAAATTGCAGTGTAGTTAGGCTCACGAGTGAGGCACATGAGTTAGACACATGAGTTAGGTACAGGAGTTGGGTACACGGTTCCGACCCACGGAGTCAAAGATTAAGAAAGCATTTGTCTTTATAACCTGTTATGTTCGCGATGACAGGTGTCTGATAGAACCCCAGACTTGACTGCCATGAAGCCCTAAGATCAATTCATCATGGGTGCCTTTTTCTTGCTTTGCTGGATATACTAGAAAGAAGCAATCTTCTTGTGCTTATCTAGCACGACATGCTGAACTCACCGGACATCATTCATTGTCGCACACCTGAGGAGCCATCACGTAGTAGCTGTCCGTGTTGTACGATGGGATTGAGAGAACAGGCGAACCACCTCATTGTTGAGAAGAAGGCATGCAAACCTAGGCCTAAGCCTGTTCTCGTCATGCTTCTGCTACCAGTCTCTTGCCATCTTTGAACTCGAAGAAGAAGCCGAGAACTCACCAAAGAACTCCCCAAAGATATAACGTTTAGCTTTGTAATTCGGTGATTAGTTGTTATCAAGAGGCGGGTTTGATGCCCTTGATGTCGTTTCTGATGTGCGTCGTAGTACTGGCCCTTTGAGCCGAAGTGGTCGCATCTTTTCCCGTCAGGCCTGTGGTGGTACAACAACTCCAGCCCAATTGACTCGCACGCCAGGCGAAGAAGCGCACCGAGCGCATCACCATCGAAGGCCCGGGCTGTGACTTTATGAAGATACCAGAATACTTTCCGAAGCATGAGAGGGATTCGCGCCCTCAACCTTTCAATCGAATCCATCTTCATCTGGAGGCCCAATCGCCTGACACCTGGACGTAGCCGTTCAATTTCGTGGGACTCGAAATTTGCTCCTGACGAAGGCGTGTGTGGATTGGCATGGATCATGCAGCCTGTAAGTGGCAAGGTGGAACGATCTACCTCCGTGATCTAGTTAGATGGGGGTCATGGCGGCTGGACTTTTGGTGTCGGCAGGCTGATTTGCCTGTTGGGTGGAACTGCTGAACGTCGCGTTGTGGGGGAATGATTGGAGAATTCGTGATGTAGCGCGTACGTGAATCCCACTTCGCAATTCTGTCGGACTCAATACCACCACTGTTGACAAAACTGTCTCGTTTTTAATCAGCCCGAGTACCGCGACAGAAGCACGCGGCCAAATTACCCTGGTGGCAGCGGTCGTGGTGATCAGACCACTCCATTGCAGATCTGAACGACAAGACTAACCAGAACAACCAGAAGGCAGAGGCATCCCGATCCTGGATATTCAAGCTAACCGTGATCAATTAGGACTCTTTATCTACACTGGTTCATGAGGCCACCGACTTCCCGGTTTGTGCTCAATCGATATGTTCTTTCATCACAAGACCGCGTGGAACCAACTATGGGATCTATACACGACACAAGAATCATTGATGGTTGGCACCCATAGATCCTACAGACACTCTACCCGACGACTGGTAACAAATCTTTGAGCAAGTTTCACGAGTCCCACACTAGCTGTCGGTTCAGGTTGTCCATGGATATACCACGAATAGTTGTCCAAATAACGAAGCCAGACACACTCGCCAGCTCAAACGAGAACCTGGGTGATCTCATTCCGGCAGCTTAAAGCTAACATTCCTCCAAATAAGTAGCGGAAAGAGATTGCTCACAGACTGATCAAAGCGACAGCCAACCATACCAAAAGATTCAAGATGATGTCGCATCTATCAATGCTCAACTTGAGAACATTACCCTGTCTGTTCACAGTCTGACTATAACTGTCAACACTCTTGCGGCAACTGTCAGTGCACTTGCCGCCGATGTCGTGGCCTTTAAGCAGGCAACTCAGAGCAACTTCATTAATTGTTAGATGACTAAAACCCGAAAACAGGGAGAATGGAGAGTCAAGCCTCTGAAATGCGAATAGCCATATAGCTGAGGTTGATATCTTCAAAAGGCTGTGTTCGTGTTGAGGATACTCATCGCGGTATCCCGGAATGAAGTGCAGAATGCCCCTCAAAAATACTGAGCAGTAGATCAACGAGACGCCCCAGCGGGCCAACATGCAAGCCATCACGCAGCAGTCCGCTGTGCATGAGCCCTGAAGATGGCAAGGCCCAGAGTCCCAAGACCAAGAAGGGTAAGAACACCGGCATCATCAAGCGCGGTTATGGCTGTGCCTCCTGCCCAGCCGTCGCTTGCGATGCCAGCATTTGGAATAGGCCTTCAAGGCCCAGAAATCTCTGCCTTCTGTGCGACGTCAGCGTTGAAGTGGATTTATTCCCGTGAGGTTATACCCAGTCCCACGAGCCCTTGGTTGAAAGCAGGTTATATAGTGCCATAATCGGCACTAGAAGACCTCTTGTAGTCCCATAACTGTGAACGGAGACTACAGCTGCGTCTATACCTAGTCCGACATAAACGCCGGGTTCTCTGCCTTCCACCTCAAGAATGTGCAAATAGACGCCCCAGATATCAGCAAAAAAGAAAGAAAAAAAAGACAATGTTCAGCTTGTGGGAGGGGTTTAAAAAAAAACTTGATTGATGGCGGCTTTTGTTCAGATGGAGCATTAGCGAGGTACGGGTGGAATTCCAGGGGGTGTCTAACGTGCAACCTATCGAAAGTAGCCTTATTTAAGACGGGTTTGCGTATTTGTAAGAGAAACCAGGTAGGCAAGTACTTGCTGTGCAAAGGCTCTGCGAGTTGGGAACAGTTCTTAGCTGATTACCCGCATGGCAACTTACGCTATGTAGCTATCACCCGAACGAGGGAATGGAATGAGTAAACAGAGATAGGTTAACTCTCTAGCCATCTTTCAACCAGACACAATCCTAGAACATGACCAAACATCCTAAACGTATGGCGGCTCACAGCCTTTCCACGACACACTCCTCCCCCAACTTGATTCCTATATATTGACCTATCTCGGCAACCCTAAGTGTCTATAACCTCGCGACAGATTAGGATCATGGGTACATGCTCAGGCTCATCACGCTCTGCGCAGCTGGAATGAGGACTCCATCACTACAGTCTGGCTAGCTTCAATATCAGTACAGTCGTCTTACGTGCCTTCGGCCGAACCCGGCCCTACTAAAGACTAGCCATCAATACCGCTTACGCTTTACACATTACTCCATCAACGACAGGTAAGACAAGCCAGATCCCGGATGCAAGCCAAAATACCAGAAGTGGATCTATTTCCTCTCTAACCATTACCCCGCGCTTGGTTACCGATGACAGCTTCTGATTTCTTTTATGTTCTGAAAGCTCTCCCATTCATCAATTGAAGTAGCGATGATCGATGGACTCTGGTTGTACAGCGCAAACTCGACCACTGCACCACGTCAGGTGATGGCGGTCAATACAGATTGATAGATGAGACTGCAATGGCACTTAGTCTGCTAACTGGCATAATCCTGGGGATCCGACCTTGGTTAGATGTTTAGTTGCATCAATGGTCAGCCCAAACTTCACATTAAGTCTCTGGACCAGAATGATAAGCATGTTTCTCTTCATCTTACCTACATGATGACATGTTTATCGGCGGCGCGACTCCAACGAATGACAATAGAACTTGTTTCTAACAAGTAAGCTTAGTCTCGGGATGTTTCAATGCCGACAGTAGTGTGTCTCAGAAATAAGCGGCATCTTCACCGGATGTCATTTGATCCGAACGTCGGGTTCATTCATGATTGGTCACTTTCAACGTCACCTGCATTAGCACTCGTACATCAAATTCGTGTCTTTATTGATCTTCAGTGATCTACGTCCCCAGCACAATCTAGACCGTCAATTTCTTAGCTAGATCTTGAAGTATCCATTCCAAAGCTTGGCTAGCTTTCCTTCGGGATCGTACTTGGCCATGACGCTTCGCAATTTCTGCTCGTTCTTCTCTCCGTAGTGCTTCTGGACCTGTTGGCCCTTGCCAGCGTAGTTCATGTAGATAAATCCGTTGTCCAAAGCACGGTCCTTGGCCATCCACTCAACCGTGTTGATAAAGTCTCGTGAAGTCTCCTCCACATGATCATCCAGCGCGGGGTCTTCCCACGAGGTAGAAATCTGGATAAGCATCAATGGTCCGTCCTTGGGGTCGAGACCAAGAGCATTTCCGCCGTTCTTCTGCATCGCTTCGAGGATGTTGACGGAGAGAGGCTGGAATACGAGGTAGGGCGTCACTTTGCCGAGTTCGAAAAGCTTAGCGTTGCGATCGGCGAATCGGGAGACGATGTCGGTGAGGAAGTCGGATGAGTTGGCGGAGATGGTAACGTCCCACCATGTTTGGCGGGAACCCGAGGGGACATCAATGGCTTTGGAGAGTGTTGAGATGTTGGCGACCATTGTGGTGTTCGATAGGGTACCTGGGATAGCTGACAGGTTGGAGAAAACGGGCGGCACGCTGTCGGCTGGTTTAGGGACCTTGGAATGGTAAAGACTCGTAAGAACGATGTAGCCACCCAAGTCAGGTTGGTAGGTCATGACAAAGTAGCTGTGCGCATCAGGATCCTCAGACAGTCCCTTCACAGTCATTTTCTGGAACTCTGGGACGATGGTAGTGTTCATCGCGCCAGGGTGAATGAGCGAAGTAGACCACAAATCACCCTGCTCAAAAGAAGCCAAGTCAAAGCGCGTAACGATACCAAAGTTGGAACCACCACCACCTCGAAGAGCCCAATAAAGATCACTGTTCTCGGTAGCCGATGCGTTGACAATATCGCCTGAAGCGACGACGACTTCGTAGTTACGCACGTTATCGCAAGCCCAACCCTTGGAGCCAGAGAAGTACGAAATTCCTCCGCCGAGAATAAGGCCGCCGACACCAACGCTTGCGACACGTCCTCCCACAACGGCGAGGTTCATGGGGTCGAGAACTTCGGAGACGTTGATCCAGCGATTTCCAGGTCCGACGGAAACAGTCTTGCGATCCTTTGAGACGGTGATGTCATCGAGATACTTCAAGTCGATAGTGACTCCATCGTCGACGTTTGAACCACCTGCAAAAGCAGTGTGGCCGCCACTCTTGACAGTGAAAGGCGCGTCGAGAGAAGTGAGAAGTTCCATGATCTTGGAAACATCCTTGCTCGAGCGAGGAGTGACGAAGCAAGACGGGTGAACTTCAGCTTGACGATCAGACCAGTAGACATTCGAAAGGTTGTAAGATCGTGAATCGGGGTACGCGACGTCGCGGGGAAATTTCTCTGCGAGAGCAGCGCACTGGGGAGAGTCAGCTATGCCTCGAAAAACAGGGAGGAGAGAGTCTACCGCATCGGTGGCGGTTGATAGACCAGCAAGAGCTGGAGTGATAAGCTGTGAGAGCCTCATTTTGAAAGCCAGATTCTGATAATGAGATGAATGTGTAAAGACAAAAGTGTGAAGATGTATTTTAGGTTGTTGTGAAGAGGGGTAGTAAAACGAAACCGTTGCGGGCGTTGAGTATGAGAAACCTAAAATTTCGGCAGTGATTCAGTGGCATTAAATATCACCGGAAACACGATTCCCGAGCGAACACTGCCAGGAACAGCGCCAGGAACGCTCCATTGACCTAAGTACCTAGTGCTTCGTTTCAATTGGCCGTGCATTATATACTGCCGTTTGTTCTAAGCTCATCTCGTGTGCAGGGAAACATGGTGCTTATCTTAGCGTTTGTTCAAAAATGGGATCTGCGAGCTTGTGCAACTAACAATCTAGTGCTTGGTCCAATTGGTGGCAATCCATGTTCAAGCGATTGAACCTGTTTGTTCTAACTTGTTTCAAAGTAGTAAGGAAACATCGCGTCGTCTTGGAAATGATATCTGAGGGTCCGGATCTGACGCAGCCTTCCAAGATCCTTGGAATTGGATCCTACATGGTGGGTAACCAATCGTATCGTCGGATCTTGATGCTACATTGCGGCGCAGAGCAGAAAAGCCCGGGTCGGGATGAGCCAAGATGGATACCAGTATCTATGGACCTCTCCAGTATCTAGGCGCAAGATTGAGATACACCTCATCATTTTACCTTGAATTGACCGATGATATCTCGGTTCTTTCCGTGCTCGGATCCGAGCACTTTCGGGCCATGCTGATCAAACGTCATTTACCCACTGAAACAAACACAAACAGCATCATCAAACAAACCTTGTAAATCTGTATCACACAAACACCAACCCAATCATGGCTGAGGACAACCAGAACATACTCTTTGAGAAAGGCTTGCATTACGCGCTCGATAATGCGCCGATAATAGCGTTCCCAGCAAACGGTACAACAGCAAGCGTCGCGCAGCAAATATGTGACGAAGCGACCGAGAGCTACGCCAGAAAAATCCTCAATTGGCCAAACGGGCGACTTGGAAAACCGAATATCTTCGAAATTTATACCGGCGATGAGAAACACGAGGGTCTGGATGACTGTATTGAATTTTTCGTCAATCTTCTTCGAAAGACACTGGACTCAGCACCGGAACCGTCAGCGCAGAATCCAGCGGAGGAATTGCCGATGTATCCTCACGCGTTCGTTAGTGTGGATGGGCGCAAAGATGGGTTTGTTACTGTGGTGGTTGCGTGTGAGATTGAACACGGGTGGAAAATTGAACATTGTTTAGTACCTGTGGATGTTGAGCTTGGAACAACACTTGAGAGTTTGAGATTCGGCGATATCACGGAGGAAGAAGTTATTGATCAGTTTGGAGATAAGAAGAGGGCTCAAGATGGGGAAGACCATATTCAATAAGGTTGTTTAGAGAGAGGTATGAATCCCATCAAGACTACTTGACTAAAAGATCTAGCATCCAGGCTATTCTGAGCTCTCCGGCTTCCTTCCATAGATAGAGCATCTAAAATAAGTTAGCAAACCCAACCCAATCATTTTTACGAAAGCTAAAACTCACATAGGATTATACGCATGGACCTGAGGACTATTCAAATCCTTCCTCACATCAACAAGAAACATTTCCACCTCCTCCCTACTCCACCCATGCGCCTTCGTAAACGGAGCCAGCGTCAAACTCTCAATAGCCCCCATAGCGTTTGCATTATTCCAATGCCCCAGCTCCTTATACTTCTTATCTCTAGGCCAAGCATTCGTCGGCCACTTGTACCTCGTATCCACTACATCAACGAAACCTACTTCTTCCATGATGGCTTTGATGCGGTCGAATTCAATGGCTGTGCTGCCGAGTTTTATGAAGGCGGCGCTGAGGAGCTTGAACCATTTTGTCAGGGCGTGGGTATCATTCAGGGTTCCGTCGTCGGAGAGGATAGCGCCGTTTATTTCTTGGATCTCGATGAAGCCGCCAGGGGAGAGTGCCCTAATCATGTTAGATGGAGAGGGAGGGGTTGAGGGTTTGGTGGTTACTTGAAGATCTTGCGGATGTAATCTTCCCAGTCCTTGATGCTAAAGGCCATGATTCGGCTGTGGATATAATCGAATGAGTCGGCGTAGTTCCACTCTTCGTCAATGTCGTCGATGATAAAGCGGACATTTAGTGGGACACTTGCAGGCGTTAGTGAGTCGCATATACCAGAACCAGTCTACTCACAAGTCCGGCTGGATCGGAGACAGGTCAATACCAATAACCTAAGATATCAGTATACGTCCCAGCTCAAAGCATCGATGGAGTCTACCTCGGCTTCGGGATGCTCATCAGCAAAGTCAATAGCCCAAATTCCCGTTCCAGTCCCAAGATCAAGAACACGTTTGACCTTTGAGTCGGGTTTATTCGGAGGTGCTAGACCGAGCTTATGATCCAACGTCAACAAAAACAGGTGATGCTGGAGATCTAAACAGATATCAATAAAGCCTCTCATAATAAGGCGGGGTTGAGTCATACCCAGTCGTTCATTCTCAATGTCATCATTGGGAAGATGATATTCTGCAATCAAGATTTAGCATCACTAGAACCAAGCATGGTGGTGGAAGACGCATACTTCCTTCCTTGTATCGATGGTATGTTCTTCCATTCTCATGCCGATAGCTCAAGATTGAACTTGAGATACTTTGCGTTGACGACGCAACATCCTATCAACGTCAGTCCATCATCATATCTCATTTCTCTTTGAACGTACACTTCCACGTGAGGAGTCATTATCATCGATAACCTAGACACTATGAGCATTCGCTTCGACTTCTCCAAGCACCACTTACCTCCTCGTCAGGGTGTATAACAGGATTTGCGTCTACAGTAGCCATTGTAATAGTCAAGTTGTGTTCAGGAATCGTGTATGAGAGATAAAAAGAACACAGTGGTTTGAACAGCAGATTGTTACATTGTTATAGTCACGTCATGAAACATGCTTGTTTAGCGAACCAACAAGATGTGTTCGTCCGTTGGAAGGAACCAACATGCATATACAAATCCCAAATCGGTCATATTTCCGATGCTTCTGTGGGGCATGATCGTATTGATGGCCCTTATTCGTGGCTTGTCTATACAAGTGTTGTCCATCGAGCCACAGTATCATCTTGGGTTGTTCCGAGCGATGTAACAGTTTGCTTTGGAGCAAGAACATGTTGACTCCAAGAAGAGTTCCCGGCTGCAATCATTAACGGCCCGCCTTCCGGACGAGGTTCATCGCGGGGAAGCATTCCGAGACTGCAACTCTGGCGTCTTGGCACAGTACTCTATAATAAAACAAATAACATTCATGAAACTAGTTTCGTACTCGCTATGTCGTGCCCTCTATCGCCTCGCTCCCATATCAATGCTCCTTCTCCTAATCTTCTCCGCCGTGCCATACACACTGCCAATCAACTCCTTCTTATTAATCTTGCCCATCGCATTCCTCGGCAGACTATCAACAATCATCAAATCCTGAGGAATTTTATACGCTGTGATTCTAGGCTTCAACGCAGCTCGCAACTGCGGCAGTGTCATCTCCTCCCCATTCAGCACAACGACAGCTGCTACCTTTTGTCCCCATGATTCAGAAGGTAAGCCAACGACGGCGCACTCGTCGATCTGGGGAAGGGATAGAATTTCACGCTCGACTTCGAGGGCTGAGACCTTCTCTCCACCTGTCTTGATGATGTCGGCGCTGCGACGGCCTTGGATGAAATATGCTGGTCCTTGTGCCCACGTGCCGGATTCGCCTTTTCCTGAACCTGGGACAGTGCGACGGATGGCGATGTCGCCGGTCTTGAACCAGCCGTCTTCTGTGAATTCTTTGGCTGTGGCTTCCGGGTTGCGCCAGTAGCCGGTGAAGATTGTAGGGCCTCTCAATTGAATCTCTCCAATACGCTCCTTTCCAGCAGCGTCGACCTCTTCGCCGGGCTGAACGACATTCTGGACGCCAGTCTCGTCGTCGGTTTCCATGAGACGGGCCTCTACTGATGGAAGAGGCCAGCCAACGGAACCGTCTACGCGATCAATGTCTGCGAGACCGCAAGATAGCGCCATCCCAACTTCTGTCATTCCATAGCGTTCGAGAAGGATGTTTCCGTCGGAGAGGTTAATCCAGCCATCACGGATGGGCTTGGGCAGAGCAGCTGAGCCGGAGAAGTTGAGTCGTAGGTTCCGTGGTGAGATAGCTTCCTTTCCAGCTTTTTGCATCTCGGGAGATAGTGACTCGTAATGCTTGAGTAATCTTGCCCAGATCGTTGGAACAGCTGTGAAGAAGGAAATCGGAGCCTGGACCTTCTCATTTTCTTGCTGGAAAGGTGCTGCCAATCTCGTCCAAACCTTGTCGACGTTGAATGGAAACATGAACTCAACACTACTTCCAGCCAGAAGTGGTGTAAGCAGCGCATTCACCGTGCCGTGGATGTGGTGAAGAGGCAAAACGTGCAAAAGTCGGTCACTCGGCGAATACCTCCATGCTTCAAGCAGACTCGATGCTTGCGCTGTGAGATTGGCTTGTGTGAGTACGACACCCTTTGGTCGGGCCGTCGTTCCAGAGGTGAAGAGCATCATGCCGCCCTGCTGGGAATCTGAAAGCTCTCCAAGTTCGATTTGCTTTTCGCCAGCGGACGAATGGCCTGTTCCGTCCAGTTGGTAGAAGATCGGTGTGCTCGCGAGATCTTTGCTGATGACTTCTTCTGCTTTGCTGGTGTATTTGGCTGATGAGATTAGGACTAGAGCTTCACTGTTGTCGAGAATGTAGCGCAGCTCTGGAGCAGGGAACGCTGGGGCCAGTGGTAAGGCGATGGCGTTGGAAGCGAGGATAGCCAAAAGTGTCACTATCGCCAAGTTAGTCGCATTCAGCATTATCATGAGTGCTATTACATACCGACATATTCATATCCACTCTCTACCATGAACGCAATTCTCTCACCAGAGATATCTGTCTTGCCAGCCTTGCATAATAGCTCATCCTTAGCATGAGCGATGCTATTCAACAAAGTCCCATAAGAGAAACTTGCGCCAGAATCATTCTCCAGAATTGCGAGTGAGGATGCATCATGTTTCTGGATTGCCTCAAGGAAAGAGGAGCGCTGGAGAGTGGTCGCGAGGTCGCGTGAGGGGAATGATAGGAACGGCATTGTGTCGACTATCTCAGATCATCGGAGTCTCTTCTAACGTCAAACAGAAAACACTATAAATATTATAGAATGGGCAAGATTTGATGATATAGAAAAGATTTCACAGGGGTACCTTATGAAGGTGATTGAGATCACTCGGCATCAGATTTACTACCGAGTACGGAGAATGGGGCAAATTGCGGGGACTTCGGGGACTTAGGGGAGCCTTCGGGGGCGGTTCACAGAAGGGAACTGCCGATCAGGCTATTAATGTGATAAATTTGTTGGGGAGTTGGTACTCAACAAAGAGCGATTCTAAGACACATCTTTTTCATTCCGGATTTCCCTGATGCTATGGTCTGTGATTGTTATCTTCCAATGTTGTCTTGCCGAGGTCATTGGAGATAGCTGGATCTTTATCTTATCTAGCAGTGTTATCTTATCTGCTTATCGGGGATCTAATCCACCGCCTTGCACTCAATTGGTACAGTATCCTCTGGGTGTGATCCTGGCAGCCTGGCAAGAGGCAGTTTTATCGTCTGATTTCCTGACCATGATTAAATACCTTTAGCTATAATCTTATCTACGAACAACAATTTACGAGAAACTGCGTGCCTTGAGTTTGTGAGGCCAATCTTGATGAAGCGGAATAACAATTATTCCACCCTCACGGACCTCGTGTAAGAGGCGTACAACGATAGCACATCCAAGATGGGTAAATATAGAGATGGACTATTTCTGTGGTGGCTTTCAAATTCGATTATATCATCGTTCATTATTGAAATCAAGCCAACGCCATACAACTCCGATCCTACTAGGTATTGGTAACGATTGACTCTGTTGCATTGGACGGAACATCACCGCAAAACAAAGATCCAACATTGTCTACGGCTTAGGCTACTAGAATGAAGTAGCCTCAGTGTTAATTTAAGCTAGCACAAAGTAGCCGAATAATGTCGTCTCTTATGTGCTCTCATGTGTCATTAATTAATTAAAGCTAAATACAACTAGAATGATGTCCTACTCTGGCTTGGACCACCATCATTCCAAGATTCCCTCTCTTGTGTGATAACAGTCTTAGCAGTTATACCTCCCCCCTCACCACCAACAAGAGTCTCCTCATCACCCGACCCATCACACTCAGCCCTTATACTCACACTAATCCCGGATCGGTGTGTGCTTATTGGGGCTCCGTCCCCTTTGAGTGTGGTGGTATCATCAGTGACGTGTGTGTTGCGACCTCCAGTCTTTTTCGTTGAGCGACTTCTCAGTGCTAAGCTCTTGGGTGATTCACCATAGCTTTGAGCGTTGCTTCGACCGTATGAAGCTGCGAAGATCTTGGGCATGAGTTTGGAGAACAACGGTTTGAGAGTGGGTAGACACGCTGTGATGATGGCGATTGTTACTTCGAGGAACGACCAAATGGCGGCATCGACGTTATCCCAATTAGGGTCTTTCGTTTCTGCGGCCATCTTGAGTGTATGTATTCGGTATATCGAGACGACACAAGCGCTATAACAATTAGTTATATCCTCATAAGAGAGAGGATAAGAGAAAAGTGAATCTTACAAGAAACCAAGACTGAAGATCGCAAAAAGCATGATCTTTTGTTTTCGAGGCAAATTGAGACTCTTGATCACCGGAAGCGGCATACAAAAGACCACAAGATCAGTAACTAGGTTAAACCCAGCCATCATGTACCATATCGCCAAAGAATCGAGACATCGGCCGGGTAGATCGGGAGTCCAGAATTTGGAGACGGGGACACAGATAAAGATGTTAATAAAAGCGATGATGATTGTCCAGCAGATCATTAAGATTGTTCCGTAGAAGGTGATGATCTGTATCATTCGTACGGCGAAGACGCGTCGGTATTGTAAGAGGATGCCGATTTTGATGATGCACATTGCTATGTTGTAGATGACGACCGATGCGTAAAAGGCCTGACATGTCAGTTGGTGTATCGACCTGGGGGGTCATGGCGGGACAAACCTTGGTATACGGCACACGCGCACTCTTAGGCTGTTCATCCGTGTGATAACCCAATCCATATTTATTTTCTATCCAACACATCAGCAATTGACTCCAGAGCCATAGACAGGTCACCTACCATAAGCAATAGCTACAGCAGCCCCCAAAGCGAGCACAAGCGCCAACGCCGCACACGCATCGTCATAACTGAATGATCGTAATATTCTGGCTCGTACATAACTTCGTAAAGCGACCGACACAACTGAGATAATTGAAAAGGTGAAGAGTATAGCTTGGATTTCGGCAGAGCGCGACTCGCTGGGCATGCTGCCTACTTGTTCATCCATTGTCGTGTGTTTGTTGATTCAAACAAGAACCATGACTGAAAGGAAACTTCGCTAATTTAAAGAGAAAACAGAAGAAACATTAATTGAGAGAGGCTATATGCCGAAGGGAAGACAACTGTATTATACACAAGTCTGACGTGATATGCAAGGAACAACCCAGCCCGATGCAACATCGGCAAGCTCCAAAGTTTCGCCAATATCCCATTGCAGATCAATTAGACTTCACACTTGAAGCCGATCTGTAAAATTGCGCGTCACATCCTGTAACAGTAACCCCTGCCTTAACCCAATCAGTCAACTGCCGCTGCCCATTTGCGGGCGAGGGATGTCTGTGCTCGACAGCTGAATTCTGGGGGAAAACTTCCGAAGTCTCCGACGAGGAGTTGTGTTTCATTTTAAGTGATTTTCTCGCAAGACTAGCTGTTTATTTGCTTTTCTCTTAGCGGTTATGGAGGGGAATAAGGTTGAGCTTGGATCGTTTAGTATACCGTTGGGCCTCATCAGGTTTACCTGACGCCATAATTGGACGATGTTGACATTCGGAAGCTATGGTCATATTCCGAGGCTGTTAACGGAGGTGCACATACTTTCCAAAGGACCTTTGATAGCGCAGGTAAACTATTACGATCAGCAGCCAATCAATGTAACTTCAGGTAACGCAGACGATGTAAATCACATATCACGGCCCAATACGGTTTCAGGCTGATGATCTCTGTTACACGGCGCCTCGTTTCTGCCATGTGCAGTCGTGACTCGTTCATACGCGTTTTGAGGTTGCTTGTGTAACTGTTCAAGTGTAGCAGAATACTCTTGGCTGTGTTTTATGAACGGCGGGATCTGAAACTTCCTTGGTGTCAGCAAATACGATACCCGACAAAGGGAATAATTTTCTCCACTATATAAGCATTGAAACTTGACGTGATTCAGAGTTTATTCTTTTTTTCTTCTGGTGAGGATTGTGAGGCGATTGATTGCTTTTTCAGCTGGAGCACATGGTTACATGGGTACAGGATCCGAGGTTTGTCGCGTATTTCGCTGGAGAGACCGGATAAGTTCCCATTCGTCAACTGATCCCTGAGAGGGGTTCTTTGAATCGAGAGGCACGGCCACAGTGGCTTCCCTGTGGCACTTATCGATAGTCCTATCTTATCAAATAGCTCATCACGAGCTTATCAGATAAGCCAGTGTCCTCCTACCCTGCATCAAACCGCATTCCATATTGCTTTCCTGTTGATCTTATTCAAACAATTTTCTACTCATCTATGAAAATGGATGGGGTTCTTAAAGTGGTTTCCTTTTTTTCAACTTCTCATGTGAAACTTGTATCAGAGCCTTCCTGCACATTGGTCGTTGCAAGACGCATGAAGTGTTTATCTCGTTCTCTCACCATCCACCATGTGAGACCATGATGCAATACTTTGCCCACATCTCGCTCTGACGGCAAACAAGTGGACTTCGATCATCAGATAAATTTCATCTGTAGGGCAGATCCTGCAACAGCATCATCCCACTTCACGTTAATAGGTCCAGAACAATAGTTTCTTTGCCAAGTCAAACCATCAATCAATAATCTGACCAGACTCCATAAGACGGCATCTTCCGTGTGCATGACTCCGGCCGTACCCGGAATTATCAATCAAGCTCATCCGCGTAAAGACCCCATTTAAAAACACCACAAGGCAACGTTAGTCCCAAACCGTGATGGCGACTGATTGATATCGGAACTGATCGGGTATTTAATCCGCCACAACTCTAACAGTAAGGTTAGCCGACATCGAAAAAAAGACGCACGCTCAGTTCATCAATTGATCTTTTGAACGATCTTATCTTTTTAGCACCTTGGCACCTGCGGCGAAATCTCATTGAGGTTTAGCCAACATTCTTTCCTCCACTGATTTTACCAGTAGAACGGGTGATGAAAAATTCATTCTGGTCAGGTCACCTCCACTTGGTTCATTCTAGATGGTCTTGGCTTTGGAGTCGTCCGGCTGCTTGGGAATAAACTCGCAGAACTAAACCGACAGGGTCCTCCAGAAACGGAGTTGACATTGTACCGCTGCTCCGGTTCACTGACAGGGGTTGTCGACAAGGGATTGGATGGAAGACGATTAGCAGGCTCTGCCGGAGAGGGGTTTGGGCTGATCAAGGTTTTGATCGGCAGTCTGTCCGTTATCGCACAGTATTATTCTCTCCCTCGTCTTTTCAACATTCACAGCAAAGTGATCAATTGAGAACCTCTCTTGCATCTTGACCACCACAGGGCTGCATCAAGAATGAGCCTAATTGCCACCCAGGATCAAAGTGGTCTGATAAGATGGCCCCAGCGGATCAAAACCACCGATTGATTAGATAGAATGACCCGCTAAGCATGCAACCATGTGGACAGCGGATCATATCTAAAAGATCTAATCTGATTCTGGAAACAATCTCCGTGCCCAACCACCCAATCGCCAGTGATCCTTTGTCAATTGAAAGAATTAACCATGCTACTTTTCAGTGTAAACATGTTGTTGCAATTAATGCTGCGTCGGATACTCGCACAGTCGGAAGGATCAGACAAGGGCCCCCTTCATGGTTCGGCAACGGCTGCACAAGACCCGCCAAGACCTTGTCTATACTAATGCGTGGATTAATTTTTTTCGCCTCGCTGATTGATAAAAAGATCGACACTTCCTCATGCATCCTCTCTCCTTTCCCTCGTCACACTCACTCATCCCAACCAACATACAGTGAACTGTGCACCTCACAATGAACCCCATCATGGTTCAATCACCTCAGGACGGTCGATCCTCCGATGAGGAAAAGAACACAGCCGTTCCTGAAACCCAAACCCATGTTCAACGTGAAGGCTCTGACTTTGAGTCAGATGGGGAATATCAGGAGGGTATTGAGCGCGTGCGCGCTATTACCTCTGTTTGGACCAAGAAGACCTTGATAAGCATGTTTCTGATGTAAGCTCATCTTATCTTATCTCTGCGTCAGATCTTGGCTAACCTTGGCTTACAGGCTTTATCTGATCTCGTTTGTCGACATGATCATGAATTACGTCGACTCCGCTCTCAACCCCTACATCACCTCCAGCTTCGGCGCCCATGGTCTTCTCAACATTGGAAGTATTCTCGCTTCCATCATCGGCGCATGCGCGCCTCTTCCTTTGGCCAAGGCCATTGATGTCTGGGGCCGTGTTGAAGGTTTTGCGTTCATGATGACTGTTTGCATCGTCGGTATGATCATGAAGGCTACTTGCACGACTGTCCAGATGTACATCGGTGCCCATATCCTTTACTGGGTTGGTCACATTGGTGTCATGTACGTCATTGGCGTCATGCTGGCCGATATGACTACCCTTACCAACCGTGCTTTCATCTACGGTATCAACACGACACCTCGTATCGTCGCTACATTCGCCAGTCCTGAGATTGCTACTGGTTTCTACGAGAACCTCAACTTCCGCTGGGCGTTTGGTGCTTTTGCTATCATTATTGCTGCATGCAGTATTCCTGCTATGGCGACTATGGTTTACATGTTCCGCACAGCTACCAAGCAGGGCGTCATCACCCGCAAGCGATCGGACCGCACATTCCTCCAGTCTCTCAAGCACTACTTTGTCGAGTTCGACATTATTGGAATTCTGCTTCTTTGCGGTTGTATCTCTTGTCTCCTTCTGCCTTACAGCTTGGCCGCTTATGCTCCCAAGTCCTGGAAGACACCTTACATCATCGCTCTCGAGGTTCTGGGAGTCGTCCTGATTCCCATCTTCTACTTTTGGGAAGCCAAGATTGCACCCGTCCAATTCCTGCCTTTCAAGTACCTCAAGGAGCCCACCATCATCGGATCATGCTTACTCAACGCTGTCATGTTCTTGTCTACCTTCAGCTGGAACGCTTACTTTGGTTCTTATCTCCAGGTCGTCAACAGACTGAGCATCTCCAACGCCAACTACGTCCTCAACGCCTACTCCCTCACTTCCTCCGTCATTGCTCCTTTTGTCGGATGGTTCGTTGCCAGGACTGGTAACATCAAGTGGACTGCCATGGCCGGTGCACCCATCATGCTTTTGGGTACCGCTCTGATCATTCCCTTCCGATCTGAGGATACCAACCCTGGTCTTCTGGCCTTTACCCAGATCCTCGTCGGATTCGGTGCAGGTGTTTTCTCCACCGTTGACCAAGTCGCCGTCATGGCACCTGTCACCCACCAGTACCTCGCCGTCACCAGCGCTCTGTCTGGTCTTTTCGGTGGTGTCGGTGCCGCTATTGGCTATGCCATTGCTGGTGGTCTCTGGAACAACGTCATGCCTGTTCAATTGGCTCAGCGTCTTCCCGAGGCTGTCAAGGCCAATGCTACCATTATCTTTGGTGACATCACGATCCAGCAGTCTTTCGCAGATGGCTCTCTTGAGCGTGAGGCTATTGTCGGTGCTTATGCCCACACTATGAGACTGATGGCTATCACTGGTGTTGCTACCATGCCTCTTTGTGTTCTGTCCATTATCATCTGGAGGAACATTAACGTCAAGAAGGTTGAGGAGGAGAAGGGTAAGCAGACCAAGGGTATGGTCTTCTAAACGGGTCTCCTGGTAATTGGAATGTTTCCGACAAGCTTGATGGTGTCGCGGGGATGCCGGGCTGTTGGATTCAGTCAACGTTTAAAACGATATATAATGCTGCTTAATTAAAATACCACTTGTTCTATTGTTCTGCGAATTGATCCAGACCAGCAAAGATGTGACAGCTTCCGATGATTCAATTCGCCGACCACAATTGTGTACTGTATTATTGAAGGGATGAAAGTGGTGGTTGGGGTAGGCGCCGTATGTCCGTACACGCTAATGTCCCACGACGAGCGACGCCACACAAATGAATCGTGGCCAACAGCAGTTGCTTGCTGACTTTCTAGAAGCTTAAAAAAGTGAACCACGGCGTCATTGGAGTACCCGGCAACATGTTTCCGGAGTGCGACGCGTCAGAGAGAGCGCAAGTGAATTAAGGTACAGTCACTGGTACAAAACACCAAGGCCATAGAGAGGTACAAATGGTTGTAAATGTAAATCAATTCGCTTAATTCATGTAAAACTCATACTATCATGTCGCTAAATAATCATTATGCCATTTCTTTAGGCAATTTCCTTGGGCCTGTTCTCAACATAGGTGACATTCCCATGCGCATTCATAGCCATCTCCTCCTTCTCATCATAAACAGCATCCTGCTCCTCAGCATCCTTGTTTCCAAACAATCCAATCTTGTACCAAGGAAGATCGAAAAGTCGGTCCATGCTCTCAAGAGATCGTCCAGCAGTTTCAGGCACGGAAACAATAACCCACAAACCACCAACGACAAGGATGGCAGCGTAGGTCCAGAATGTGCCGTTGGGGTTAATGCCACCTTCGGATGTGGGAAGAAGCATGTTGGGTGTCGCGCGACTGCTACCGTATTGACACAGGAAATGCAATGTCATGGCGAAGGATGTAGCCAAAGCTCGGATGCGGAGAGGGAACAGCTCGGCTGTGAGGATGTAGGACATGGTGTTCCAACCAAGGGCCCAACCGATTCCTGAGATGTAAATCATGGCCATGGCTCCCTTGGCAGCGGCGGATGCACCAGTGGGCTCGGGGACGGCTGTGAGGAATGCGCCAACGTAGATCATAGCGAAAGCCTGGAGAGCGATACCGCCCATAAGAGCGCGCTTACGTCCGATAACATCAACCAAGAAAAGCGCGCAAGTGATAGCAGACAGAAGCTTGACGATACCAAAGAGCGCAGTGACAAGAAGACCAGTCTCGGAGCCGTGAATACCGAGAAGTTCGAACAAATCGGGCGCGTAAAGAGTGATTGATCCAGCACCTGACCACTGCGCCAAAACTTGAACCATGCTGGCAAGGTAAAGACGGTAAAGGTTGCTGCTGTTGAAGAAAAGCTCCTTGCAAGTACCAATGAAAGAGGTGTTGACACTCTCAAGCTCATGCTCATGCGCAGACTGAATAGCAGTCATTTCACGAACAATGTACTCAGAGTCAATAGGCTGTTGTCGCAGACGCGCCATGACAGCAGTAGCCTTCTCAGCTTGACCCTTCTTGATCAAAAAGCGAGGCGATTCATCAACGAAGAAGCTAAGGACGAAGATCAAGCCAGCAAACATAAGATGAAGACTGGTAGGTACGAGCCAGCGCGCATGTGTATCGTCGCCCATGTGTCGCGAGCAACCGTAGTTGGCAAAGTATGCCAATACGATACCGAGGTATACGAAGCCGGAGAAGACGCAGGTGCAGAGACCACGGACGGCGGAGGGGGCGATTTCGGCGAGGTAGACGGGTCCGACGACGGCTGTTTGGCCGACTCCTAGACCAGCGATGAAGCGTCCGGCGTAAATAGCACCGAGACTACCACCATTGGCCATGAAGATGATGATTCCGACGATCCAAACGGTACAGAGCTGTCGCGTAGCCCAAATACGGCCGATTCTGTCACAAATCATGAAAGCACTAGAAAAAAGGTTAGCGCCGAGCTTTTCACACAGTCTGACTCGAACGTGGCGATACTTACATGAGGGCACCACCAACACAACCGATCTGAACCATAGCTGAGACATTGGCCTTGATGTTTGCTTGTTCGACGGTAGAGTATTGTGAGAAGTGGATGTATTTCTGAAAGTCCTTTGACTTAAATGCGCCGGAGATGAGACCTTCGTCGATACCGCGTGCAGCGCCCATCAAGCCGAATGCAAAGACTGCGAACCAGAGACGCCAGTTGAAGACGCCTTGGGGTTCGCCGACATCTTTGAGTTTGAAGATGTTGACTGGCTTCTTGACGCCTCCTGCCATTGTGTCGGTCTTGCGTATGAACAATCGAGTAAAGGAAGGTTGTCGATTGAAGAAACAAGGATAAGAGACGAGATGAAGATAAGACTTGAAGAGCTGGAAGAGAACCCTTTAAGTAATTGATCTGGATCTGAGTCTGGATCTTCCCTTCTGGTCCGGGGAAGTTTGGGGATCTTATAAAGGGAGAATCTCGACCATGACCCGGAGGGGAAGAAGGTTTTAGTGTCTACCCCATATTCCTTGGGGTAAGGAAAAATAGGCCGGTTAGATTACCCCATGGAGAAGCCGAATTATGGAAACGGTTTGTGATGTAATGACAAAATGATTAATGGCTATCGTGTTGGAGTCAGCTGTGAGTCTCATGGTTGATGGAGTTGATGGATACTGCGGTTCTCCCGGATGTTGACCGGGATTTTTGTTCCCGCGGGAGAAATTCCCGGAAGACTTGCGGGGCACTGAGGAGTTCGCCGTCGTGGTTGTGTGGCTGCTTATTCACTGTGTGCTAGAGTCTGGACACAAGCCATGTTCTGTACTGCCCTTCTAGAACACGGTGATCTCTTTGGGTTGTAGAGACGCTTACCAAGTCCACGGGACTCCTCAATCTTCAACCAACAGAGTCTAGACTCATCAGTCAATGCCCTTGACTTCATCTCTCCCCAGATTGTCCAGGATAACCCAATCTCTGAATCTCAAATGACAATAAACTTCACAGCTTAGACGCTATCCCCAGACTCATCTCCACTAGTTTTCATGCATCTTAGCCAGTCTTGGCCAGTCTTGGCTCACGCTTTGCCAAGACCAGCGCTAGATCATTTCCAGACCCTCTTTTCTCGGCACGAACGGCACATAAGAACCCTCCATCCCCTCCATTTTTGTCTTTGCAATTTGCCTGCGAATTTGGACGACCCAGGACTGGCCTGACTTTTGCGACGGGAACACACTGACACACAAACTTCCCGCGGATATGAACGACAGAGCTCCCGTCCCGCGGCTACGTCAATTCGCTCATTCGGACTCTCGGAGACGGGAATGAAGCGTCTTTTGGAGAACGGGAACGGGAGATGTTACTCCAATTTGTGATGTTCTCCGGTTTTTATGCTGGCCGGCAATGGAGACCGGATCTTCAATCGATGAGAAATCCTGTTTATGGGGATTTTGGATGAGTATGACTTGTGAGATTATTAATATTAATAGACGCGTTAGTCACGATTGAACGGTTCCCGATTTTCTCGAAAACTCTGCTCATTTCACGGCGTGAGAACTCGTTCTTTTGCGATGAGTTGGAGGAGCTGAGGCTCTGCTACCGAGGATTGAGATCTTACATGCCCGCATTCACCTGCCCAATCAGTCCTCTCATCTTTGTCCCGTGGCAGAAGACCCTTACGCTACGATAGCTCGCTTGCAGACGGGGTCCAAACACCGCGGTTCCGCTCACTTCGCACGCAATTCTCGGTCGTACTTTTGTTATCTATTTACCGACATGGCACCGGCATTGCAAATGATGAATATTTGAAAGGCGACTTTGACGGGGGAAATTTTGTCTGGGATTGAAGTCTTCTGCAGGAAGATTATGCATGCAACAAACATGAAATGATGTGGAAACTGTTGAGAGCCGAGGTTGGTTCTCGTAGGTTAGATTGTGCAGCTATCTGGCTATCTTATCTTTGACTGCACCGTGCCATTGTTTTGAGTTTTCTTGAGGAGCAGGTCCCTTAAAGTACACAGAAAAACAACACCATGACAAACAAAGATCGTACACATCTATAACTACCTTGTCGTTGCCCCAAGTGCCACAGGTATCCTCATGTAGCCATACCCAGTCAATTCCATACTAGTTTCCTTGTAGGGGAATTAGTCGACAACTGCATGGCACGTAAACATCCGGGCTATTTGAATAAGCTGCGTTGCGACTCAAACGATGGTCGCTGCTGGATTGGCGCCACAAGGCCATCATGTCCCAATAGTGATGTCTTCTGCCTACTGGCGGAGGTTCATAGACTTGGATCTTGAGATAGCATTCATCATCCAGACTGATGATGGAAAATATCCTGTCCCGCACAAGATACGGTCGTGTTTTGTCGATTAGTACAAGTGGACAATCTGGGTCGGCTTTGCCACACCAAATGGCGCTCTGGCATCTGTACCACATAGATCGCTGGGATGTTTCGGCCATCAGATTTGTCCAGTCGCTCGGCTGAGGGTCATCGAAGCTGTGGTCTTTGTCAAAAACGAGGTTCCAATCTCGCGAGAGGCTAATCTTGCTTAGATTTTTGACCATCGGTAAGTAGAGGTTCAGCCTCTTCAGTCTCGGCATTAAAGATTCGGGCGAAGAAGTCCTGATACAGAGACGGTGGTAAGTAGGTTTCATGTTTGACTCCTCAATGAAAGGCCCAAAGGCCACCGTGAAGAAGTCGTTCTTGACGGAAGTAACGGGGCGAGCATTCTTCTCTCGAGTGGTTTGTGCAGCACGTTGCATCTCGATCGAATCTAAACGTTGATAGTGAGCGGCTATAACCCGTCGTGATTCTCTACAGGCATTCCACAACCCCATGTCTCGCGAGTAGAGACGGTCTTCGTTTTCGTACTCTTCCTCGATCATGTCGATGTCGATATAGTGCACGCCATCCTTTTTTGGAAAAAGGGATACATACAGCCTCCCAGATCGATAGACGGATGTCGGGGGGAAGCTCTGGGAACGATGCCTTTGGAGTGGTAAGGCTTTGCTCAACCCTTGAGGGCGAATCGGGCGATGCCTGCTGGTCGACTGGTATTTCGGTAGACATGGTGTGTATGAAAGGGAGGACAAGCGAAAGGTTGGAGCCCGAGAGGATTTGCTTTATAGGTGTATAGAGGTTTTTGTATTGCATGCATCAAAGTATATTCTGATTCAATACAGTATGCTTGCAGCTACGTAACTTTGATCGATCGTTGGGAGGCCTAGCTTTACGTGAAGCAGATTGAGCTGGTATAAAATGCTTGAATCATCTTATACCCTATTCATGACTATATGAACGACGCAAAGAAATGTTAACAATATCCGTCGGAGATACGATCATGCGTAGATCATGATCAGCGCCTAAGCTTCTGAGAGACGCGAAAGAAAGAGGATCTCCGTGCCATCTTGGAAGAGTGAGATAGCCTGATAAGTCTTACTCAAGAAAGGGAGTTGAGGCGTTGCTGATAATAATGTTTGGGAGTACTCTGCTTCTAAATATCCCTGGGGCTTTTATTGACTTGGTTGTTGAGGGCCTGTGGTTGATGCCTGTGGCTGATTTCAGTAGAAGGGTGAAAAAACAGGAGAAATGAAAGATGTGTTTCATGCTTGGCTAAAACTATATTTCAGGGTAAGGCAAAGAGGCTTGGTGTAGAGGAGTTATGATGATTCTTGGTTGGAAGTATAAACATGTTATTATCAGATGGAGGCCTGATGATAGTGGATGATGTTTCATGGGAGCTTTGAGTTTATTTCAGTAACCTGAGGTTCCCTAAACCTTCTGTCCCAAGCCCCAGCGACATCTACTTGAGTGTTTTTGAAGTCCTTCCATAGCAGCCTGAACGTAGTCTGCATGACTGAGAAGAGCTTTATGGTATGAAGGTTTGTGTCAAGCTGTCATCTGCACAAGACCGGCCAATGAGTGCGCCAAGTTCTTTATAGTTTATACAACGCAATATCTATCGTTGTAGAAGTCTCATCGCATCTCTATAAAATACCCTTCCGACCCCTCCCTCCTTCCCATCACACACTATAAAGAGTTCTGCGCATCCTCGATTTCCATTCAAAGTATTGAGGATCGACACTCTGCCGAAGACAGAATGTCATCGCCGACCTTCCACCCCTTCCCAAAGTTACCGTGCGAGGTCAGGCTTCTCATCTGGGAAGCTAGCTGTTTCGATGGAAACAAGACAACACGGCACGGACTGAATTATGTCGACATCATCGCCAATTACCCATACTCGAGTACCCTTGAGTGTCGCCCTGCAGCCAAATCCGAGACATCTGCTTGCCTGATGGACACTGGACTCTGGCAGGCATGCGGCGAGTCAAGGGCCGTTATGATAAGAAATTTACAGAAACGGGGTTTGTTGCTCCCCGATATGCCCCCTTGCCACAACGAAGCCCGATGGTTGGAGACTCCCGTCCACACTCCGATTATTGTATCTGGTAGCCAGGACCTGTTCTGTTTCAAACTTTCTCAATGGTGGGCATCATGGGACATTTCGTCGAACTTTCTCTTCCATCTTGACACCGTCAGTGGCATTAGCGAGCGTCTTGTGTCCAACCTTGCCTTTGAGCTAGATGGCAGCTAGGACCGACATCACTTTATGTGGGCAATGCTCGAAGCAAAACTCAGACTCAGAAGTTCCTGGTTGCAAAGGCTTACAGGAAAGATAAGCATATCCATTATCGATAGGGATGTCCTATGGTATCGCAATAGTAGCACGCATGACATCACGTACGCCGACTACGACAACGAGTACACTATTGGGGTGGGAAAGCTTATGCTACTGCGACCAGAAGGGCGTCGGAAGTGGTGCAAATGCGTTTCGGAAGTTCATTATGCCACCCCGTGGGGTTGGGAACCCTATCCCTGATCATCAAAGGCGTAGTGACTTCTACCGCTGGCTAGAAACAGAAGTGAAAGTCCTCGTGCGACGGGATAACGAAGTCACTTACCCATCGTTACGAACAGGACGACGTATTTATCGACCCGAAAACCATCAGTTCAAGTGTAGCCTGGTGGAATCTACCTTTGTTTATAACCTTTCGCAACAGGAACCCGAGGAGAGTGAGGAGAGTGAGGAGAGCGAGGAAAGCGATGACACTGAGGAGGAAGAGGACAGTGACGACGATGACGAAGAAAAAGAAGAAGGAGGAGACGCAGAGAGTGAAGAGGACACAGATGACGAAGAACCAGAGGAAGATGAACAAAAGAGGAACGAAGGGTTGAAAAGCTTGCCTGTTTTCTCATTTCTGACCCAGGAGACCACCCGCCTGTGGTACTTCCCATACAGAAAGTGAGTCCATCATGACTTTTGATCCGCGCAAGAATATCATCGATGGAGCAAGATCAACACAACATTGAACATTAAACTCCACTTTCGAGTTTTTTTCAAACTATCATCGCTGTATATAGCAATTAACATTCTGATCTTTCATACCATGACCTCAGCCATCTCATGCAGGTAGAAGGTGACATCTTGCTGGGGGGATATGACTGTGCTAGACCCCGCTGATCCTGTTTCTGTAACGACTTTAATGGAAAATGGCCCTTTTGTTGAGTAAATCTCTGAGGGTTCGAAGAGAATAAGAGTACTTTGAACTCTATACCAGTTTCACACAATCAATCAACAACTGCATTACTACAGGTAAGTTCTATTATACTTTAGGCACCGCCATGCTTACCCACACCTTTTATTCGACATCTATAAAATGCTATTTCCTTCCACTGTGTTCGCTTCTCTTTCTCTTCCTTTTGCACACTTCTTTCAACTTGTACAGCGGACTGCACCAGTTCTAGATTCCCAGTCTTGAATCTTCCTTTTCATATTCCCAACCACTGAAAACATAATGTCAGCACAAACCTTCCACCGCTTCCCAGATTTACCTTACGAGCTGAGACATCACGTCTCGGAAGCCAGCTGCTTTGACCGACACGAAGAACGACATGGTCTCCATTATGTCGATTGCCCTGGCTCGCGTAAGTGCCGAACTCGCATCGAATGTCGTGCTGCAAGCGAGACCGAGACATCTGCTTGTCTGATGGATGCCGGTCTCTGGGCCGCGTGCCAAGAGTCGAGACGTGTTATAAAGAAGCAGATGCGGCAACATGGGTTTCTAAGGACTGATAGAGAAAACAAAAGCCTATGCCTCAAGGGCCCTGAACCAGCTACGCTGATTATAGACGAAAACGAGGACATGGTCTGCTTCCGGATTTCCGACTGGTTTAAAGTACAGCATTGGACGAAGATGTTCCATTTTCTCCTTAGCTACGCTGACTCGACTGAGGAAGGTATGCCTCACAACGTTGCCTTCGAGATGGATGGTAGCTGGGATCACCAGCACTCCATCTGGCGTGCGATTCTAAACGGCATTAGATTCTACGGCGGTGGCCATTACCCCCCTTTGTACAAGCATATCATCGACAAGAAAATTCATTGGTTTCGCGACTCCAGTACCCTCGATGACACCTGGGCAGATTGTAATAACGAGTTTATGGTGGTGACATGGAAAAACCTCTGCCCATGTAATCAGAGAGGTATGGACAGTGGGGCTCTTGTGTTTCTAATGTATATGAGGCGAGGATATCAGCCATACACCAGTGATGGCTATCACAGTTGTATGGGCCTTTACCACACCGCATATACATTGGCGGTGGATATCCTTGTTCGACAGGATAACGAAGTTATGCCTTGCCAGTCCTGTCAAACACGGGCCAAGAAGGATCATGAGCATAATTATCTGCTTGACGGTATGGATCTTCCATTAGCCGAAGAAGACGAGAAAGTCGAGGAGTCCAAGGAGGAAGAGCGTGAATCGGAGAAGCAGTGATTGCGACTGCCTGCTTTCTTGTCGACAGCGAGGGTCTACCTGTTGTACTTTACGGAAAGAGTGTTCCAAGACTCACGGGAAAATCATGGCCGCCACAATACCAACGCCGCTTCAAATTGAAACTTCTTTTTGTGTTAAACTAAGATTACTTTATAACAGTTAATATCCGATCTTTTTGCACTCTCCCATCTTTCCTATCGGCCTCAGCTGTGTCATAGATGTTTGATGCAGGTACAAGGTGAGGTTATGGCGGTGCAGATGTGGCTGTGCCAGGCACATTGCTTCACACTCCCAAAGTTCCACCTTGTTTACCCATCGGAGACTTTTCCATCTCCAGCCGCCAAAGTCTATTCACCCCGGACATCACCACGATGCAACGCCATCATGGCTTCTGATGACGAAGAGGCTTTCGACAAAAAGCTTACAAAAGCCGCCCAAAAGGACCGTCTGCGCCTCCTCCAACGCAAACGCGACGAGATATTGGACTCGGGACGACAGCACAATCACTATCACAAGTTGTTCTTTGAGAAAAGTGATCTTTACGCTGATAAAATACAGTCGCTTGTTGAGACGGGCTGCGCCGAGACAGAGGATGACGAAAAATGGGGGCGGTTTCTTTGTCTCGCTACGAATGCGACGTCTTTGGGGGCGCTGAGGGATTGGAATTGGGTGTACCAGGTTCAGTGTGAGACGAACGAGTGGTTACAACGAACTCGCGACACGAATACACATCGACATGCTGCAGCGCGCGAGATTCTAGCTATTCTCGAAGACGCGACTAATCCAAGTACCGAAGAAGCCTTGTTCTGCGACCCTGAAACGGCAGCCACGTTGGTTGACTCGAATACCGTCCTGGTGGTACAAGACCAACAACCATTCGATTGGAACGGCGAGCCCATCAAAAGTCTCTTCCGAGATTGGCCACCGCGAAGCTTACTCGAGAAGAAAATCAGGGTCACAATCCTCGACTCTCCAACGTCCCGCCCACCAATACGACATTGCACGCTCAAGGACATCAAACGAAAGTTCACCGCAGGTTTTGCTCCTCACGAGCGATGGAACGTCCTCGACATCAGAAACGATGTTCCCGTCCCTAGACCGAAATTTCTACAAGAGAAGAATTGTCTGCTTTTGAACGAGTTTCGAGAGTTGGATAAGAAATTGGTGCGGGCGCAAACACTAGATTTCATGCTTCTGAGCGAAGGAGGGAATCATACGCCCATGCACGTGGATCCTTTCGGTCTGGCGACATTCATCACCGTGCAACAGGGCGAAATTGGGTTTGGTTGGATTGTGGATGCTACGACGCAAGATTATCTTGATATTCACAAGACTATCATACCGAATGCTCTCAAAGAGAAAGCACGCTACATGGTCCTTCGGCCGGGTCAGACAGTCTTCATGCCTTCTGGAACCATCCACTTTATCTTTCGCAAAAGCGATACACCTACGCTGGCGACGGGTGGGCATGTTCTTACGTGGAAGAGCATTGTGAAGTGGCTTCGTGTCATGAAGATGCAACAGCTTAGTACGGCGCGTATCGATAAGGATGTTACGGCCAAGGAGACGAAAGCTTATATCGATGTTCTGACAAGGGTTCTTCGAAATCATGGGTATCATGGCCATGTGCCGAGGCCGGATGGGTATGATGCCGTATGGAATGTGATCAAGGTACGTTGAAATTGTGACTCGAGGGTCTTCCCTAACAGTGTTCAGAAGTGGGATGCCCTTACGATGAATGATGAAGTGTTTTTGGAAGGACAGTCGGATGCATGAACTTTGGCGTTCTGATACATGATTCAATGGTACAAAAGTGAGCGCTGGTATTCGGATAATGGCGTACTTAGGAAATAAATACTCCCGGGACCGGGAATGTACTTAAGAACTATCGAATTTTATTCTAGTCTATCTGGCTCTGCATCACGAGTCAAATCGATGGTTTTGTGCACAGAAAGCTATGTCACTTGGGCGATTCCACAACGTGGGATTGAAGCTGAACAAGTCACGCATTTCAACTGGAACATAGTTATCGAGAGGACTTGTCCCTTTCTGTTCCATTTCTTCTCTTCTTATGCGAATCCTGCCAACCGAACCAAGCGAGTCCCAGCCTCCAACGGCTCAATGCGAACAAATCTATTTGGGTTTTTTTGGAGGTCAGCAGGTTTCAAGCCATACGCATTCGGGATACATATGCTGTCAATTCATCATGATATGGGACTTGGTCTCGTGCAACTATGTGGCGCTTTACTATGGCTGACATTTCCCAACGATTATCATGACACCACTTCTGTTCGCCAAATGATATCCAATTTTGCAGTTGGAGATAAATCACTGTGAGTTGCTCTTCGGTCATGCCAAAGCTTACAAATGATCAAAACGCTGACAAATTATTGGGGGCTGACGATGCTGATAAATTACTGCTGACAGTAAGCCACATTTTCGATGTGGTGTGGTGTCCCCATTTTTCTGTCAGGTTTCGGAGACTTCTGATGGCATAGATGTTTGGGCGAAGGTGTTTCGAGTTTGTGATCTTGCGCGCGCGTCGGATCAATTGATCGATTAGATGCGATATGATTGATAAGTCAAGTGTCTGGATGTGCATCTTGACATGTGCAATCCTGGCTTCTCGTTGGGTATATAACCAGCCCGAGGACGCTGTAGCAATTGTTTGAATCATCAGTTCATCCTACAATCAATTCACCACATCCACTACCTTCTATCCAATTTTAACATTCAATCCATACAATGGCAGCTAAATCACCAGTCATTCTCATTCTTGGCTACGGCGCCAATATCGGCAAATCCGTCGCAACGAAGTTCAGCTCTCAGGGATACAAAGTCGCTGTGGCTGCACGTTCAATCAAAGAAGACGACACTGAGACCTTCCTCAACATTCCCAGTGACTTCTCCAAAACGGATAGCATCACCAATGCGTTCGAACAAGTCAAACAGAAATTCGGTATTCCTAGTGTAGTCGTCTACAATGGTATTTTCCCTCCCAACCTTGAAAGAGTCCCCGACGTTGATACCCTGTAGCAAGCGCAGCAAATTTCAGCCCCAAGGATGAGCCCTTCGATCTCTCCCTCGAAGACCTCGACACCAACCTGACAATCAACATCCGAAGCCCCTTCATCGCATTCCAACAAGCAATAGCAGGCTTCAAAGAACTTACCGAATCTGCATCACGAACATTCATCTACACAGGCAACATCCTCAACGTCTCCATGATCCCAGGCTTCTTGGCAGCGGGAATTGGCAAATCAGGTGCCGCGTACATGACGTGGACTGCTTCCGAGGCTTACAAAAGCCGCGGATTTAAGTAAGTTCTTGTTCTCGGTTAATTAGGCGAGGACTAATGTGGACAGGTTTTATTACGCCGATGAACGTAAACCTGATGGTGGACCTATTTATCGCGTGAACGGAGACGCGCATGGGGATTTGTACTGGGAGTTGAGTCAGGGTAAGGAACAGGGTCCTTGGATGCAGAGTTTTGTCAAGGGGATTGGATACAAGGCTTTTGATACTATCTACGAAGGATGAGCTGGGTGTTCATCCAACGGCTTGGTAAATGTTACCAATAGCTGCTGCAATATAAGAGCGTGCATCAATCGAGATGCAAACAAGCAGAGTTCACGCACGTGAGAGACCAACTTTCCAACTACAATTAACTTCCAACTGTAAATTAAGCTTACCAGTTTAATCGGGTCCGTTACAAGAATTTTCAGCCGATAACATCATCGCAAGTCCAAATAAGCATAAAATGCAACACCCCCACCCGCCGATCCCTCGATGCAACCAACCACTCAGAAACCCCAATTGACAACACGCGGTGCCACGCCAGTCTCCCATTCGTCGACACCAAAGTCTTGGCCGTTTTGGGATCATGTCGAATTAGAGCTCGGGATATTTCCACAAGGGAGCAGACACGACATGTTACCGGATCGGTTGTAGGCTTGGCGAGTGGGATATATGACGTCGAGATGGGGATTGGCTGAGAAGTGGCCTGGGATTACGTAGTAAAGGGGATCTTATAAGACTTTGGGATTGACGGGTGAATGTTACTCTGCTCCAGCTTTCTTCTCTTGCATCTCACTTTATCCAAGTCAGAGCTGCATCTGGCCATTGAGAGCTGTACAGCCTCATTCACTTGTCTCCGTCAATCTTCATCTGAGACATTGCCAAAATGGCAGCCCTTCAGCAATATGACTGGATCCTAGCCATCACAACGATAGCCTTCTGTGGTTCCTCCTTCGGAAATGGCGCAAACGACGTTGCAAACGCCTACGCCACCTCGGTCGCAGCGCGTTCCCTAACCATGGTCCAAGTCGGTTTCCTCTCCATAGTAACCGAATTCGTCGGCGCCGTCGCCCTGGGATCTCGCGTCACAGGCACCATCAAGAACGACATTATCGACCTGAACCGCTTTACGGCTAGTCCTGGTGTTCTCATGCTCGTCATGGGATGCACAGAGGTTGGAAGTGCGACTTGGTTGCTTGTTGCTACCAAGGCGGGCTTTCCTGTCTCTACTACGCAGACTGTTGTCGGTGCGCTTGTCGGTGCGGGTATTGCGTCACAGGCTAGTGTTAGTTGGAGTTGGACGGATGGAAGTGTTTCGCAGGTTGCTGCCTCTTGGGGTATTGCGCCACTTATCTCTGCTGCGTTCTCTGCGATCCTTTTCGGAACACTGAAGTTCTGTATTTTGGAGCGCCAAAACTCTTTTGAGAAGGCGTTGAGGGCCATTCCTGTATACCTCGCTTTCACTGGTGCTATCCTCGCGCTGTTCATCACCATTGAGGCACCTACTGCTCCTTCTCTGGAGGAACTTGGCGCTGGTACAGCCGTCGGCATTGTTCTCGGCGCTTTCTTCGGTACGCTTCTTCTGGCGTACGTCTTCTTCGTTCCTTACTTCCATCGCGTCGTCGTCAAGAGTGATCCCCGAGTGAGACCCTGGCACATTCCCCTCGGACCTCTTCTATACCGCGAGAACCCCCCTCTGTACTTCCCTGGCAAGGGCGATTCAATTGTCCTCGACTACTACGCATCTGCCCACGGCGGCGCTGATACCCCCGAGGATGAGACACTCGCCAAGCCGCACAAGGAAAAGGCGCAGTCTCCCGGTTCAGACGAGCATAATCGTGCAACTGGTTCTGAGAACGGTACTCAAACCGACACTGCCACTGCTACTGGAAACCAGAACCTTACTGGCCTTGAAGAACTTGAACGCGGTGAGAACGCTGGTCTTCGTCGTCGCAAGCGAGTTCGTCACGTCGAGCCTGAAGAGCGCTGGTTAGTGCCCGTTCAGCACCTCCCCATGTACCATCCCCGTCGCGTCACCAACTCTCTCAAGTACTTTTTCCTCCAAGGTGTCTCTCGCGACTGCGTCACCCACGCTTCTCAAGCCCTCGCAGATGTCCACATGAAGGCCAAGCGCTACGACAACCGAATTGAACATCTCTGGACATACGCCCAAGTCGCTTCCGCGATGATGATGTCCATCGCCCACGGTTCCAACGACGTAGCCAACGCCGTAGGACCCTGGGTTGCAGTCTACCAGACCTTCCGCACAGGCGTTGTATCCGAAGATTCCGACACACCAATCTGGATCCTCATTATCGCCGGTTTCTTGCTAGGTGCGGGTTTCTGGTTCATGGGTCATCACATCATCAAGGCGCTCGGTAACAAGATCACTCAATTGTCGCCCACACGTGGCTACGCTATGGAACTTGGTGCTGCGATTACTGTATTGCTGGCTAGTCGCTTGGGATTGCCAGTTTCTACGACGCAGTGTCTTACTGGTGCTGTTGTTGGCGTTGCGCTTATGAATGGTGATCTTGGGGCTGTTAACTGGAAGCAGCTTGGTTGGATCTTTGGAGGTTGGGTTTTGACTCTTCCTTGTGCTGGACTTATTTCTGGACTTTTGACGCTCATGGCGCTGAATGCTCCTCAATTCTAGAATACCCGGTGTTTCATTACGGCGGAGTATCTGTTGGGGAGGAGTTGGGAATTGAGAGGCTGTAAAAGAATCTGGAGTAACGATGGCGTGAAATTTGTGTATAGAATACGCGATAGCAATTTGAAACCTTTGATCCATTCTCTTCACCAAGTCGAACAGTGACGTCATTGTGATAGCTGCAAATCCTGTCACCCCATTCAGCTCGTTCTCACTGCAAAATGTTATTGTAAACACCGTGTCGCAGTATATCCACTGCATACATTGACTTCAAAAGCGACAGCTTAAAAAGTCAAGCCAGGCTTCGAGTCGCGTGACCATCGCCCATTTCTCATCGGTAATGAACTTCATGAGGGCCCTCAGGGTATGAGAAAAAGTGGCCCCTAGAAGCATAAGAGACGAAATAATTCCGTTACTTTATGCCAGCTTAGACCAGCACTTAGGTTACCTTATTTTAGCAACCTAAGTCTTAGAGGACAATTCTTCTGTTACCCACCTGAGGGGTTTGTTATGCCCTGAAGATAATTGGTCCTGTCCCCGCCATCTCCAAATCAAGCCTAGACCTCGGAGTCAACATCCGAACACCGTCGGTATCGAGCGATCGTTCCACCGGTACATCATCACAAACCCACTGATAATTGCAATTAACTGACGTTTGCCGGTCCCACTGAGGGGTTAGACCTGTGAGGGCGCGCCCTTGGATCGAATATTGCTCCGCCTTATCTCGACAACTCTGTGCGGGGAAATTCTGTATACACCACAGCTCATAACCGTCACATACATATTTGCTCTCTGCGTCGGAGGTTGATTGACACCTTGTCATCAATTGACAACTCATCAATTGCAATAATGGCCGTCCTTCCACTTGCTGCTGCTGTATTAGCAGTAGCTCTCTTCATAAAATACCTTATCGACCCATTCCTCTCACCCCTCCGGTCAATCCCCGGCCCCAAATCATTCGCAGCAACAAAATGGCGTCTCGCCTACGAAGACTGGAAAGGCACACGCACCAGCACCATAAACGCCCTACACAAACAATACGGACCTGTAGTTCGCATCGCGCCGAACGAAATCTCGTTCAACAGCCTTTCTGCGCTGCGCACCATCTATGGTCCCGGCAGTCGCTTCGGCAGAACTAGTTTCTACCGCATGTTTGATGTTTATGGTGAACAGAATCTGTTTACGTTTCATTCACCCAAGGATCATGGTGAGAGGAAGAAGTTGTTGAGTCACGCGTATTCGAAAACTGCTGTTCTTAAGCCTGCTACCGCAAGAATGATTGAGCGACAGGCATGGCGGTACTTGAATCTCATCGATGCCGAACCAGAGGGCGTTAGCGAGATTTTCAGTACGCTGCATTACTACAGTTTGGATAACATCACGGCTTTCGTTTATGGAAAATACGGTGCTACGGCTGCTATCCGTGGATCCAAGATTCACAGGAATCTCATTTCGGATATTCTGCATCCTAGTCGACGACGTTTGAGTTGGTGTATTGTGCACTTGAAGGGCTTCACGCAGTGGCTGTATCGCCAGTCGAGTTTTATGGGAGCGTTGGTTAAGCCTGTTTTGCCGATGCAGCAGCCTACGACATATACAGGTATTCGAGCTTATGCTTTGTCGGCGTTTAAACAGTTTCGCGCTGAGGCTGAGGCGCAAGAGATTGAGTTTACAGAAGGTAAGTTATCCAAATCTTTGGAAGAATGGGAACTGACGGGCGCAGATGAGCATGTTTCTATCCTTGAACGACTCTGGCAATATCACGAAACTCAAAAACCAGATGGAATGCGCGATTTGCAAATGGCGTCCGAATGCGCAGACCATTTCCTAGCTGGCATCGATACAACAAGCGACACACTAATGTTCCTAATCTGGTCCCTCTCCCTCCCCAGCAACGAGAAATTCCAAGCCAAGCTCCGCGAAGAAGTGTCTGCGATCCCCGCTGAATCCCTTAACAAACAAGGCATTCCCAAAGCCGAAGTCGCCGACAAATGCGTTTATCTCCAAGCTGTCATCAAAGAAACTCTACGTCTGTACGCACCGCTTCCTAGCACTGAACCGCGCTCTACTGGTGAAGACACAACTATCGATGGATATGTTATTCCGAAAGACACGGTTGTTGGAATGTCGCCTTGGATCATGCATCGTAATGAAGATGTTTTTGCGGATCCGCTTGTTTTTGATCCGGAGAGGTGGTTGGGTGAGAAGGCTGGTGAGTTGAATCGATGGTTTTGGGGATTTTCTTCTGGTGGACGGATGTGTATTGGCATGCAGTAAGTCATTCCCCGACGCCTTTGAACATGTGGTTAATGGAGGGTTAGTCTTGCTATGGCTGAGATGACGGTTTTGTGTGCTGCGTTGTACAGAGAGTATAACACTACCATCGCACCCGGCTTCGAGGATACGAGTCCTGCTATTACAGCTCGAGTCGAGACTTTCTACGATGAACGATTCCCCAAGGTCAAGGTATGTCCATCATCAATCCATCCAAGGTGTACAAGCTAATAGTTGGAAGGAATCTACTTGTCTGGTCAAGTTCGAAAAGTTGAAGAAGTAGAAAGATTGAGGTATCTAGTGCAGGAATAGGCGAATCAAGAGCAGTAATGTATTGACCGTTTGGTCTTAACGATACAACTACTCTGCTGTGTTAACAGGATATTTATACCGCAAAGACCAAACGATTATTACATTACTGCTCTTGGTAGACGCCTAGACTTGTATCTATCTTGACTTTTTTCCAAGCGCGAGCCCTGAAGTATAACAGATAAAACCTTTACAACTTGACTTTGTTCTTCTTCTGTTTCTCCATCGCCCATCGCTCCCACTTCTGCCTGTGATCATCCCGCAAGAAGGCTATGTGACTAGGATGTTTTTTCATCAGGTCTCTGATCTTCTGATTGTTGTTATTCATCCTCATCAATCTATCCGCCTCGTCTTTGTCGCTCATGCTATAGACAGCATTGACGACAGTGAAGAGGCTCGCAAACATCGGTTCGGAGGTAGACTTGTGCTTTTGAAGCATCGTGGCCCACTTGAGCTCTTCGGTTCGCGGTGTCGAGACGTCCATGTGGCTGAAGGTGAAGGAAATCGGTTTGTGCTGCATCTGGTAGGACGTGTTGGGTCCTCGCTGGTGGGCGATGAAAGTGTCGCGAAGGTCGTGCTTTTGTGACAGGTCGGTGACACTGTTGCGGATGGACAAGAGGTTGTTGGTATTGGAGTTTTCGTTTGAATTCACGCCACAACCATCGAAGCCACCCTCACGACTCATCAATGCTCCAACGTCGCCTTCATCACCACACACCACCCTGTACATTTCGTCGATATCTGGTGGATTCTCCGTCTTGGCAGGATATTCCTCATGGAAGAAGCCAAAGATAGACACGATGTGATTCAGATCGACTTGTTCCAGAGCTTCTGTGAACTTACCGTCGCTTGGCGAGGTAAGGAAGTTACCAGGCTGCGAATTGTCATACATACTGTAACCAAGGAGCTTCCAGCATGGCTCATCCTCAATTCCTGCTTCCTTAGAGTCGACCATCCTGAAACTGCCACCACTCTCATCTGTGGGCATGTATGTTATGACGGTTACTGAAGTGAGTTTGTAAGTCACTGGCTCGTCCACATCCGATATCGTGACAGCGTATTTACCGTTGCAAGCTGACGCTGATCCATCATATCGCAGCCGAGGCATACACACCGTAAGTGGAATTCCATAAACCCAACACAGTCGAAGCAATATCTGCACGGAAGCAGAGAAGGAACCGACAGTAATTAGGTGTTCTTCACGGCAGCCTGGTCGCTTTATTGCTTTTGAGAAATGAAATATCTCTCGAGCTTGCTCAGCAGCAGTGTAGCACCGTCTAGGCTTCTCACCAAATGGCACTTCCGAGACGCCTTGTGGAAGGATCTTGGTAGAGAGCTTGTCGATAAGTCTGAAAGAAATTTCCGTGAACTCCGTTCTCATGGGAAATTCGGCGTCGTGGTAGTCTCCCAATCCAGCATCGCGCTGTTCTGGTGTCGTCTCGACTAGGATATCGCTCAAGCGGCGATAGCGAATCGGTATGCCGCATTCCGTAGTACTTAGAACACTGAAAGACGCAATTGTGTGCGCGTAGCAAAGAAAGATGGTCCAGTCTGATCCCATAAAGTCGATAATAGACTCTTTGATCCGATCATACCTCTCATCACTCCCCACACAGATATCGTCGATGGTAAATATCTCATTGTAGCGCTTATCGTCAGCATGCCGAAAGCGATATTTTTCGATGAGAAATTTGAATCCATGAGTAAGGCCATGATCATCGAGATAACCTATAATCTCACGACGCAGAATGAGGACCAGCGCCGCCGTCTCTTGGCATCGTTCGCTGCCCACTTTGGCGTCTAGACAGCTATAACCATCTTTCACACTACCATTGGCCACCCATTCCCCTGCAACGAGCAAGTTGATGGCGTATTCGAGATTGCGTTGTTTGAGAGCGTCCCATGCTTCGAGAGAGCGGACGCGTCGTGTTTTCGATGGTGAAACCATTTGCAGTAGTAATTCTACAGTTCTTTGAACAATGAGAAAATTCTGGCGACAGAGTTTATTATATCACTTGATTGACGTTATATCATATCATGAGTCCTGATTTCGACCTTACCTTTGGGGAGCCTATGTATCATACAATTTGTCACACGGTCTTGCGTTACAGATCGTCGGAATCTGGCCCCCGAAACTCGACACGTTTTTCGATACAGCAACTGACGTCAATATCAGAAATACATCGAAATGTATTTTCCTGAAATTCAATACACTTTTCAACATTTTGCGCATGACAGTATGTTATCTCGGCCCCTGTACCCTGTAGCATTCAGGCAACAGTGAGTCAGCACGATAAGCAACACAGTGTCATTGGCCTCGCTTGTCCAATATGTCCCCACCATTATCCCAGCACCTCGACCCTTTGTTATTGTTTCACGAACAAGCAATATTCTGACCGCCGACTTTGTTCATCATTGTTTAAAAATGGCGCGCCAAAACAATAACCACGGAATAATGCGCCCCTTATTGACTGCTGTCGCGCTGTTCGCGATAGCAGCGACCGCTCAAGAACCAGTAGAGCAATGGACGCCCGGTGATCCCTGTCCAACAGCAATTCACGCTAGAATCCCAAATATCCAGTTTACCAAGTCACCCTTTGGAAGTTACGAATCCGTCCATCAAGCCATGCGAATGTGTTCAAATATTACAGAGTTGCACATGGTCAATCTGGGTTCAACGTGTGTTGATCGACCTGACGGTTATAACCTACCGTTCAAACTCGATGGTAAAGAGCGTTATCTCTCAGCACCACAAGTCTTGTCCGTCTCCGGTTACGACTTCAATTTTCGTGAGTGGAATGCCTTATTGTCGTTCACGCCGCAGTGGGCTCCTGTGGATGGGTCGTGGCCTCGGTCGTCTTCAACCAACCCTTACATTGTAAGGGCCGTTGATATGATCTACCGCGCTAGATGGCATTGGGAAAATCTGTTTGCGCGAATCGCCAGGAACACCCCGATGGGACCTGGGCCGAATGATGTGGCATTTTGGGACTTTGGTGAGTCTAGGCGATGGTACGACCAGAGGGACACGCCGCGTGAAAGACGCGATTTGGACAATGCTCAGCTTTGGGTTGAAGCGATGGACTTTTCGCGAGTACACACCCTCTTCATCACGGATTATATGGTGAAACCCCAGGGTAAAGGTCTGTTTGAGGATCTTCCACGTGCACTCACTGGTTTGAGAACTCTTGAAGTTGATGGTACATGGGAAACTGCGGACCCGGAATCTTTCGCAGGCGACGACTACGACAGGCAAAAAAGAGATCAGCGCAAGCTCAGTGAGGACAACAGTGCTGGAGGAGCAGCGACTACTGGCGAGCGGCGGGAGTCAATCATACCACCAGCTAGAGATTTCATAACAGCTGTTCCTCCGCTGACTAGTCTTACATGGACGCGGGGTGGGACTGTTCAAGATGATGTTTTTGAACCTATCGTCAAGCGTCACGGACCTACGCTCAAACACCTTGAGTGGACAAACCCTGAACTGCGATTCGAGAACAGACCCATTATTTCGGTTGAACAGATACGAAACCTGGGCGAGTGGGCGCCTGGCCTGACAAACCTCACCATTGACCTGGACCGAACAGACGGGACCTGGCCATGGAAGCATCTCAAGGCTATGTCGGAGAGTATGCCCAAGCTGACGAACTTGACGATCTATCTCGACATGCACGACAGAGCAGCGCCGCCCAAGGCCAGAGCTAAGGAAGACCTGTTGGCTAAACCCGCTTTGACCGAGAAGGCGGCACTGGATATTTTCCACATTGTCAATTTGTTCAAAACAGGAGACAAGATCCAGAATCTTCAGCTTCGGCAGGGTGATTGGGAGGATCCTTGGGATGAGTCGAATTGGGGAGCGGAGTGGATGGAGGGGAAGAGAATATGGGCAAATTGCAGTCTGCAGGACGAGAGAGGAATGATAAAGCCGCGATGTGAGGAAGGGCATGCTGAGGAAGTTGGGTTCGAATGGTAACACTCATGTCATCGAGGGTCAGGCAAGCCAGCTGTTCATAATATTACATGTCGTATGAGTACAAAGATTGCAGCAAATTGAATCACTAGAGATAAGAAGATCGATACCCTTGGCGACATGTCGACTATTTCCATTTTGACATTGCATGCATCTTGGCAATCAGATCCAGCTTGTTCGAGCCTGGGCAAATTGAACGGCCGTTCCAAGGGCCTGGAATCACAGTACGATTACGCCACCCAGCCTCTTATATTCCGATCGCCGTGTTGATAAGATATTTCGACGCCAAAGACTTGGCCTGTCATCTGCTCGATTATCTCAAATGAGTTTGCACTGGATTGTGAACACCAACTTTTCGTCATACCAGTTTCCGGTTGCAGACATCTGTATTCCCATTCATATCCGGTCATTCGACGCCACTGGGAAATTTAACTGGCTGGCTCGGATATTGGATGCCTCGAAACGCCGGGTGAAACTTTATATTAGCCTGTCGCTCGATGTTCAAACTGCATCAGGCTAGCTCACCATTCCGACCGTCAGATTATGGATCAATTCTGATTCCGTGGGTTGGGGAAGAAACAATAAAATGTCATCAGTCTAGTTAGTTTGAGTGGCAGTATATGACATCTTTTCTTTCCCCTGCATGTTAGACCACAATGACAGTACGAGTTCCTGGCTTGTGTAGATCATCGATGTCTCGGCGTAGATAATACCCCAGGTTTCCGTTACACCACTGTCATTCTGTCCTGTTCCTCCACTACCACCATGGATGACAAGGCAACAAACATCACCGCAGAACAAGCTGCAAGGTCTCATGAGAATAAATCGGATATCGCGCTCGGTGTTGCGGTGGGGTTGATGGTGTGGGTGTCCGTGTTGGTTACGATACGACTTTGTTGCAGACGGACTATCAGATCCATGGGATGGGATGATTTATTTATCGTGATGGGATTGGTGGGTTCCCATATTTTATCCCGAAATCTCGCTAACATCCTGTTTTTAGCTTTGTTGTATAGGTTGTGGAACCGCGATAGCTGCCAGTACGTTCTCTGTCGTCCAACGCGCCAACTCTACTGACATCCACAAGTGACACAATATGGTCTTGGGAAACACGGTTGGACATTGAATCTCGATCAACAAGTCAACTACGGACGCGTACGATGCCCATCTCATGTTACCGACTGTGACTGACTATACCAGTGTTTCTGGATATCCATTTTCTTCTACGCCGCATCGTTGTACTTTACGAAAATGTCCTTTCTTTTCCAATACTACCGCCTCATGTCCGTGTCTCGCATGCGCTGGGTCTACATCGCCTCGATGGTCGTCGTCACAATATGGAGTGCATCGCAAATAATCGGCATATCCTTCCTCTGTGTCCCGTTGCAAGCAGTTTGGGATCCGAGGATAAAGGGCAAATGTTTCCGGCATCAGCTTGTGATGTGGTACGTCAATGCGATAGTACATATAGTCATTGACTTTGCGATCATTGTCATGCCGCTTCCTATTGTTTGGAGACTTCAACTGCCTCGGGCACAGAAACTGTTGTTGTCGGGTATCTTTGGACTAGGTTTCTTGTAAGTCAATTTTATGGAAAATTACGAAAGCTATACTAATCGGGAAAGTACCATTGCAATTTCCATCTTCCGAATACAATGGCTCACGCCCCAAAAGGACTTCACGTGGTGGAACGTCACGGCAGCATCATGGTCTCTCGCCGAGCTCGTTTCCGGCATCGCATGCGCCTGTCTTCCGACGTACAAACCTCTACTCATAAAACTCAAACAATGTGTTGGAAGAGGCGACAAGTCCATGCGTCTTCAAAGCAGGAGTGTGGATGCTTCGAATTTCAGTAAAGGGGAGGTACCATCGATCTATACTGGCACGTACGGTACGCAAACAAACATAACAGCAACAAATGTTTACGATGGGGTTGATGCGAAGAGAAAGTCGAGGAAGGAATCCAAGTCTTCGGTGGGTAAGGGAGGCGACGGTTGATATCATTCGTGCATATTGTTCACATCTCGAAGACAATTGACTGTGTTAACGAACAAATTAATATTTCCGAAAAACAGTCTCTACTTTACCATGTCGCATTGTTCTCGCTATCATACCTCTTTCAACAATAGTCGTACCGCACCGTGCCAAACCGTGCTTCTCACGGCACAATGCGATTGTTCGATTCTTCATCATATCCAAAATCCACATAAATCTCCATCTTTCCCACTCTCGCCGCTTTCAATTTCCATCACTAACCACGGTTTCTATTGTCAAGACTCACAGGTTATCTCTTTGACGAAACAATCTCATCCATCATGACTCTCCTTCGCGATCTCCTGGCAGCAGCCAACAAAGAATTCGCAGCCGCTACCAACAGCGGCCCCTACTCATCCTACGAACAAATCCAACTCCTGCTCGATGTCGCAAAGAAGTCCGTCCACGACCTCGTTTGTGATCCCAAGGGCACCTTTGCTTCCCTCGATCTTGACACTATCATAGAGGCATGTGAGTCCGGCCATCCAGCCATTGAACAGACTTGGAACGGAGATATGGGTCGTTGCACCGACTTTGCTCTTCGCATCGCTCATCGTCTGACTCGTTAGTTCCCTGATGATTTCGACTTTGAGTATTTCCACGTTTCGCGTCCCAACGTTTCTGGTCATCGTCTTGCGCCATGTGCGAAGACAGGTATTGTCGTTGACATTTTGTCTAAAATTGCTGTGTTTACCCTTTGAGAAGACGAGACTAAGACTATTACTACTGACCACACCGTTTCTTGGAAGCTCTTGCATGATAGACTCAGCATCACTAACTGGGACTGCGACGAGGAAATCTTCAAGAGAGTCTCCCACACCGAAGCGCTGGCACAGGATCTCTACGAGGTCGCCCGCTTCGTTCCACTAATCGTGCACTTCCGCGAATTCGATCCCTTTCATTTCCAGAATTTCGACACTGTTTCTGTCAACATGCTCGGTTCGTTCGTCGACGACCACCTAGTCGGGCCCGCGCATTTCCCGTACGGAATCATCAAGTGGAAGCTTGAGGACCAGCAGCTCATCCTCCGCCGCGACGTGGACAGTGGCGATAAGGGGATCATTTGGTGGTTTCACTTCCATACAGAGGAGGATGAGGAAAAAGCCAGTATTGAGTTTGCTTGGTTTTTGGATGAGTATTGTGGTCCGTATGTTGAACTGCAGTGGGATGCTGGGGATGTGAGGTCGTTCTTTGTGAAGATTTGGAATGCTTGCACTGCGGTTTTTGGGAAGCCAAAGGTCATCCGTTCGTTGATGCGTGGTCACTAACTGAGAGTGCGCTGTATCTGCTGGACAGGTACGAGATGCCGGGAGCGGCTGAGTCATGCATGTCAACGTGGGCTGAGTCCAGTCCTTATATCCGATAGAATGTAACGTCAGAAAATAGACACAATTCCTTCTGCATCTGTTCTCATCAATAATCTAACTTAAAGACTTAAACTGAAAGCCCAACGCGTTATCTGCGGTGCTCAATAGCTATATTTCATATGAGAACAAAAGGCTTGCTGCAATTCCCTGCTGTAAACGGCCCCCAAACATCACCAAAAGGCTTCAATAAAATGACGTGGATTGTGCGCAGAGTAGTGGACTGAAATACGCTGTTGCATAAGCCGTTGCCCAAGCTGCCGAATGAACGTCCTGAGTTGGAGTGTGCCTCGTGAAGTGGCGCGAAAATGCCTCACATCATTGGTGCAAGAAAGCCAATAATGCAAACCAAGCCTCGTTACAGCCTCATTTTCAAGCTTGGGGATGACAGGTTTTTTAACCGAGCTTATGCATACTTTCTCTCAGTACGAAGTAGTAGAGTAAATAAATCGCCCAACTCGTTTGACACGGTTCTTTGTTCTGCCCCTCATATTCTATTTCCACACGATCCACGTTTTCGAACCCATCGAGGTCAGAGCCAATTTTTAGCCTGGGTACGCCCTGACACATCCCAGTCGTTGTCTCGAGAATCAACCAATCAAGAACGCTTGAACATACTGAATGTAACTGAACACATCTCACCAAAATTGTCGTCAGCATGTCAGATCCCCTGTCTATCGCCGCTAGTATAGGCGGTTTAGCTGCGCTTGCTGGTAAGGTCTGCAAAACGCTTATAGATTACGGCAAAGCTGTTAAGGATGCTCGAATGGATGTTGGCATACTTACCACAGAGCTTCGAGTTTTGAGTGGTATGCTAACTAATCTATCACTCCTTGCTGCTTCGCTCGAAGCATCGAGTTCCAACAATAGCTTTTTCGGCGAATTCCAGCTAGACCAATTGAAGGCGATGGTTGAGAACTTGGACGAAAAGCTCGCGAAGGCTGAAACCAAGTTTCAAGCCAGCAAAGCTACGTCCATCATACAGAAGCTTAAATGGCCTTTCTCAAAAGACGACATGATGAAGCTGGTAGAAGAGGTTAGAGCTCAGAAAGCGACCATCAATCTCGCCCTTTCTGCTGATACGCTGGATACCCTGATACAAGGCCTCAAGGTACAGGAGGTGATAAAACTAGAGGTCGAAAGTACTCGGGAAGCAATCAAGGTTCTGCAAGAAATGCATTCAAAAGTCCAGCTTGATGAGGAACGCCAGAAAGTCTACGACTACTTCCTCAAGATCAATCCTCAATCACAGTTCGAAACAGCTCAACGGTTACGAAAGAGTAACACCGGTAGCTGGTTCGGCAATCACTCGGTAGTTTCACAGTGGATACGTCAGCGCAATTCTAGGCTCTGGTTGACAGGCATCCCAGGATCTGGCAAGACTCTCTTATGTGCCTTGTTGATTGAACGAGTTTTGGATATCTGCCAAGCAGACACTATTCTGGCCTTTGCTTTTTGCGACTACAAAGCTCCCGAAACACAGGTTCTGGGCAATGTCCTCTCCTCCATCGCGCTCCAGATTGGATTGCAGAAACCGGAGGCCTTTGCCAGGCTCCAAAAGTATTATGATGAATTACACCCGGTGTCTGGTCTACCTCGCCAGGTCGAAATTGCGAAACTCACCGAGACTGTCACTCATATGTGCCAGCTCTTTCCAAAGGTGTTCTTGATAGTGGACGGTTTGGACGAGTGTATCAACAATACAAGAGAGATTACACGTGGCGTTGCCCACCTTGCCAGCTCTATCCCTAATCTGAGCATCGCTTTGTTCAGTAGGAGAGAAGTTGAGATTAGCTCGGAACTAGTACCCGAGTACGAGCAGATTGAAATATCAGCCCATACACAGGACTTGGAGCTTTATATCGATGCCGAGATAGCAGAACGCCCAACACTATGCAGGCTTCCGTCAGAGGAAAGCAACAGGATAAAACACACACTTATATCTAAGGCCAATGGCATGTAAGTTTAAAAGTTTGCGCTAGCTCTATCAGATACTAAGCTAATATTTGATCAGGTTTCGGTGGGTGACATGCCAGCTTGACTGTCTTGAAGGTCTTGGGAAAATTGGACGAGAGACTGCCTTGAACACGCTCCCACCGACGCTTGACGAGTCGTACGACAGAATTCTCATCAAAGTCATGTCTAAGAAAGGCAAAAGCGTTTCGCAAGAAATAGTTCGAAACACCCTACACTGGGTCTGCTATGATAGCCAGGGCCTGAGTATCGCCCAGATATGCGAAGCCTTGTCCATCGGCCTTAACAGGGACCGAAAAGGCACAGCCAAGCTTGAGATGGTTGATGAGAAGGAGATAATGACCTATTGCAGCAGCCTTATCCGAAAGAACCTCGAAGGCGACAGATTCGAACTTGCTCACTTCACTGTTGAGGAGTACTTAAATTCTATCGACGAAGAATCAGCGCTTAGGTTATTCAGGTACTCTGAATCAGACGCAGAGCGCTCCTTGGCCCAAGTGTCACTTGAACTCATGCTCTCGCCTGAATTCGCGTCACGGCCAGTAGCAGAAATGTCTGAGTGTAGAAGGATCGTTCAGCGCACTGCAGACCATCCGTTTTATCACTATGCTGCAAGTCATTGGCCAGCGGTTCCAAGTACCCACGATGATACGACGGTCGCAAGGCTACTGAAGGAATTGTTCGCGACACGGAAGCGCCCTTATCTGCTGAATTGGCTGACTTACCGCTTTGTACACTTTGTTCCATTTGGCGATCAAAGCGATGACAACACCCAGAACAAAATCATGGATCTGATAACATTTATCCTACGCCGGGACCTCACATCTTTACATATTGCCGCCATGGTTTGCTCTTCGGCCCTCTGTCGCTGGCTCCTAGCAACAGATATGGATGTCAACGCAACAACAGTCCTAGACCTAGCTCCAATCCACTTTGCGTTACTCGGTCCCGACGTCCTTCAAATTGTTGCTCAGGGACTGTGGGTAAATCACGTCTCTTTGAGGTTCAAACCTGGCCTTGACAGCTCAGATGACATTCACGCAACGATCAGTGTCTTTCTGGAACTCGACCTCAAGGTGCAAGCAGTGAGCAGACACTCGATCGGCAAACTGGCTCTGGACGCATGTGTTAGGAGTGGAAATGCGAGTCCATTCGTAGCTCTGTTGGCGGTATTCCCTAACGAGTGCCTAGCTCTGGATACCCTCGAAAAGATTGAGTCATTGTTTACATCTCAACAGCCAAAGGACACCCTGACTCATGACGTTATTCAGGCCATTTTCAATCTGGACGCTTACGCCAATAAGAGTGCCCAGATTTCTGGGGCGTTGGAGTTCGTAAGCAAGCTGGTTCGATCCAATAGTTCCTGGGATACATTCGATCACGATGAGGGCCAGTTCCTCCCAGTTCTGATTCAAGATGCTGACTTTTTAACCTTCGTTAAGTACACTGCACAGCAAGACCGGGCGCAGGATATGGCCCGCCTTATTGAGGACGTACGATTCGAGAAGCATTGCAAGCGAAAAGATTACATCGAGTCGGATCACAATCCCCTCATTATTGCTGGTGCGTGCGATAGCGCCGAGGTGGCAACAGTATTGCTGCAATCTGGGTACGATAAGCTCCGGGTAAATGATAATGAAGTTACCGTATGGCATATTGCAGCTAGAAAAGACTCTTGCCATGTGCTGCAAGCACTCTTAGACTTCGAGCAGGATATTGAGAGACGTCTCAAAGCTGTTGCTCACGGCATCACACCCCTTGTCGAGGCTCTTGTTCATGAATGCGAGCGTGCGGCTACACTGTTGATATCGCACTGCACAGAGGACCCAGCGTTCTTTCATAGCCCGGAGAATCCGTTACGATATGCAGTGGCGATGGGTTCTCAGAAACTTTTTCATGAACTTGTTTCCAAAGGCATTTTACTCAATACAGCTTCGGTGGGAAATATGCTTCCCATTCAGTATATCACGAATCGCTGCAGCGACGAATTCGTTGAAGAGCTGATCCAGACCTATGACAAAGACCAATTTAGTCAAGCTGGAGTGACGGCATTCCAATCATATACTCGGGACACCATGCTGATGAGTAGTCCAATCTTGCTAACAGATGAGCAACTTACCACACGGTTGACCAAGCTCGCCCCCACCAATCATATGGTCAACAAGACGCAGCATGTCTGGCGATTATTCTGTCAAGACCTCGTTTGCTATGGGAATCAGCCCTGGTTTGCATCCCATTTCCACAACATTAGAAGGTTGCTGCTGGCACTGGTGGATGCGAAGATCGTCGATTCATTCGAAAAGATGTATAAGTGCTCATCAATGATAGCACTATTTGAAGAATTCAAAGCTCTTGAGCTCAGTGCTGGATCCGATCGATGGGAAGCTAGTTTCTTGTATCACGCATGCTTCATACTTCGGCCTCCGTCTAATACCATGAGCCAACCGTCTGCTATAACCTTTCTAATGAGAGCGATACAGCAGAACGACCATCCGCTCGTGAATTGGCTCATCGGTGTACATGTCCCCGTACATATTCGTGTCGGTGACATCTCACCTATCGAAAAGGCTTGTCGCGAGGGGTCTTTGCAAATCTTTGTGGAAGTCTTCCAGGCCGCTCAGCTTGCACTCGGGGGTAGATGTGAAGATGCTGACCTAGAGATACTGTGCGGTCTGATAAAGACGGCTGGTAATGCCCTGGAGTCTGAAGATCTTGCCATGAGGAAAATCAAGTTCGCACTTGATCAAGGCCTGTCCATGAACAAAAGGTCTACAGTCGGCTCTCACCTTGGGGATCCTGCTATATTGATGGCTGCGCGCTGCAATCGATTCGACATTGTGAAGCTTTTGATAGAAAAGGGGGCAGATGTCTTCGCTCAAGCATCTGATGGTTGGGATCTTACCATATCTTTGATTGATGTTGATCGAGTCGACCTACTTCGCCACCTCCACGACAAGATCCGCAAGACCTCTACATACGATTGGAAGGCTTGCTTTCCAGTCCGATTTTACCCTCCATCGTCGCCAGACGGTATGGATATCTCTAACGCTTCGATGCTACACCTCGCCGTCGCTGGACACTGTGTCAAAACTATCGATTACCTTCTCAGTAACAACCTCGTTGAGGACGTGAACACCTGTACGACAGAGCTCTACACGCCCTTACATTTCGCAAGCTTCTTAGGACACGTAGATACAATCACTACATTGGTCCGACATGGAGCTAGCATCAACGGAGTTAATGATGGACAGAAACGTCCGATCGATATAGCTCTTATGCACGAGCATCACGAAGCAGTTGAGACGCTACGGGCTTTGGGTGCTGGGGAACCATCAACGAGGCCAGCCAGTACAGTCGAGAAATCTAATGGAGATGGTGCAGAAACCGATGAGGTCGGGGACGACCGCCCAGATGTCGTAAAGACAGAGACGACACTTATGCCACAGGCCATTGATGACTGTATACAAGACGGTAACTTGGAAGAGCTTCAATCACTGTTCTCCGAGGACCGTCCCATGGACTGCCCCATGCCGACCTGTGGCGTTTGTGATGTTCTCACATATGCGGTACACTTTGGCGAGTGCGACATTGTGGTATGGCTATTGTCAATTGGTGCTATACCGAGACAGGCTGCGTGTAGCGTCCACAGAGTATCTGGCACCCTGCATGAGGCTGTCCAGACTTCAATCACTGGGGTTTGCCTCGGTCAACTTCTTGACAAGGCCTTGGAGAGTGGGTACGCCTGGTCGGATAGTCCAGCCAACCCTCTTCATATTGCTTGTTTGTATGATGATGTCGAGGCGCTTGAGGTGATCTTGGATCATTTAAATGCAAATGCTGAAAGATATTGGTTTGTTGCTCTGGCAAAAACAGTGAAGGTAGTAGCTGATTTATACATACCAGTGCTTCGATTTCGCCATGGAAAGAACAAGACTTTCCATCTGATAAAGCAGCCATGGTGAAGGCCTTGACAGGTGCAACGACTCCCTCTGATTGCCATCAGTTAGGCGAAGGTTGGGAAGACATGTTTGGTGGGGTAACGGCGTTGCATATGAAAGCTTTCCACAGCAATTTACCAATGGCAATGGCCCTTATCAATGCCGGAGCAGATGTGAATAGCCTGAACGCGGAATTTCAAACTCCCCTGATTGTTGCTGTCATCGAATCGGACGATGACTGTGCGCTAGTCGAGTACTTACTCGATCACGGAGCACTTATAGACCACAAGGATTCGAAAGGACTTTCGGCAATAGCTCATGCTGCTCTAAATGACTTTATAGACGTTGCTCGGCTACTTGTTGCGAGGGGAGCGTCACTTGAGACAAGGAACGTGAAGGGAGAGAACGTCATGCATCTTTCCTCAGTGGATTCGCTACGCTGTTTTATCTACTTCCACCAACAGGGATGCGACGTACAGGCAATCTCCCTTTATGGATATACCATCTTTGGAACTACTGACCTACGACTACGGACATACATACAGAATGCCCGGCTTATACCATACATCACCTCCATCGATAGTATCAATCTCATTTCAGACTCATTGCAGAAACTTGGTACGAGGATGACGCGGATGCTATATCGCAGCTTTCCTAGGGACGGCAGAACCAGACTCTTGGACTCTTTCCGGGACAAACCTCCCTACTTCTCGCCACTCTGTCTAGCTATATCAAAAGAGGAGCTTCACGATGCACTGCCTTGGTTACTGGATGAAGGGATAGATATCGAACGTGAAATATCAGAGGAAGGCACGGCAGTCATGTACGCTTGCTCCATCGGCCGCCTCGAGCAGGTCAAGATTTTGGTACGGAGAGGGGCCCGGTTGGACTATGTTGACAGCATGGGGATGTATCACAGTGCCATTCTTTCGGCGAAAGAGTATCCCGAAATCATCCATTGGCTCCTTGTCGAAAGATTCCAGGACCAGCCAAAGCTAGCTTCCAACGCTGTCGTGACCAAGTGGGAAAATCGTTCTGAGTCACACCATCGTGTTTCATTGTCGGTGTTGGTGTTGTTATTGACAATGACGGTGATGGTAGTGAAGGGGCTTTTTTCTGCCTATCGCAGTACGTCTACATTACCTTGAGGCTTGATGAGGCTTTAGGCACGAAACTTTGAGAACCGATTAGTCACTCGATCAATGCAAAACGTTCGGGACGTGAGTCATCCTTCTTGCAATCTTGCTTCTTGCCCTACCGACAATAAAGTTTTCACGAGTGATCACACGTATAAAGACGTCGTCTTGACCCTTGAGAGATATTCTTTTCCTCATGTTCTTAGCATCTCTTGCTCGTACAAGTAGGGCCCAGGGCTACCACAGGGTTACATACAAAAGTCATCGAAGCACAAGCGGCGACAGTGATGCCACCAGTACACCCAAGTTGGGTTTTGGCTGAGTCCAAACATTCTTTACTTTTTGGGATCTGGGGGTTGCGTGGTTGACTTCTCATACGACTGTAGTGAGAAGTCTGATTTGTACTGAACAGTGATGATACTATACAGTCTTTACCACAGCTTTTTAGTCTGAGTTCATGATCACAATCAACTTTTGTCTTCCTGCCAGCTCAAGTGGTTATACATTCTTCATTAGTCATGGTGTTTGTTCTGGTATTATTCAATCTGCCCTTTTCCCTTCCAAACCATTTGCCGCGCGACGGTCCAAGCGTACCCGAATAGTTGCCCCTGTCCTTTACTCAAAGTTATCTGTGTTCTCCAAGCCATCGTCCCCCTCCTCTTCCGGCCCAGCTGGCTCCTCAGAAACAGGAAACGTCGGCGTGCTATTCCACCAAATAAACACTCCCAAACCCCCAGTAGTCAACACAATAAGAACCTTTAATCCCAAAGCCAGCGCATGCCCATATTCAGTCACCCAGCTCGCAATCCATTGCATACAAGGCGTGACAATTGCGCGTCGCTCCTCTTCCAAATCCGGATTAACAGAGTATATCAGCGCCAGTATCGCGAATAATGTGAGTGTCAGAACAATTGCGACAAGGACTTGGATGACGGCGAGAAGAATGGCGATGTTCTTTGTTGTTTTGAGGACTTCGAAACCGGCCGCGACCAAGGGTGTTACTTGGTCGAAGGCGGCATGAACTTGTTTGGAGTATGGCATTCCCATTTTGACGGGTGTTGCGCGGGCGCAAATTGTTGTTGTAGATGAAACAATTGAATTGATCTCGGCAATCTGACATGAAATATCTTGGTCTTATTTCCTGACGTCAGTACGGTGCATAAAACAAGTCATCTTCACCTGCCCGAAGTCGTTAGTCGTTAGACAGTGCAAGATTTCCGGGTTCTTGAAAACAACATCCCTGTAGATGTGGACGAATCGGCTTGAACTCGAATGAAACCCCTCCACGATGGCACCGTGGGTAAGATCTCTGTCTTCAAATTAGCGCTTTCGGTGTGTTCAGGGTAAGGTAATGGAGCGTAGACAATGCATTATGTGCAAGATGATAAAGACAACATTTGAACAGTGAAAAGGGAGGGAGAAAAAATTAAAAAAATTCAAAACCTTGACGAATTCGAAGTTGTGGTCCCCTGTAAAAAAAAAGAATAAAAAAAAAAATACTCTTTGCGTTTATGCTTGTGCTGGGACTTTTGTGTTACTCCTTTGCCCGTAGGCACCAGAGACGGAGGAAAACTGGTATATAAACCCCGTACGTAGAGGTTAAATTATAGTAGTAAAGTATAAAATTGATTTCGAGGGTCGAAGTTGCTTGACCCGAGAATTATTCCATTAAGTCATCGTCGACTGAAGAAAAGATGTTGCGGGCGACCTTACCAGTTGAACTTTTCCGTATTATTGTTCTTTCATTGTTACTTCTTCTTCTATTCACCAGCAGCTGCTCATAAGATCGGAACATAGTTAACGTTCTGTCCTGTTCCTTGGACATGCTGCTTTATAGTTCTTTTCTGGTCTGTTTATATAGCAAGCCAGTCTTCCATCACAAACCTTTCCCTTCCAAGCACATCTCACACTCATCGCAACATCCACCATGTCTAACAAAAACGAAAACTCTGCCTCCGGCATTTCTGCCCAAGGCGACAACCTTGAGCTGAACCAGCAGTTCAAGAAACTGTCCATCAACCCTCACGATGCCAAGTTTGAGCAGACTGCGCAAGACCCCGACACTGTGGATGTCATGCCCAAGGAGGCAAAGCCAGACAAAGGTAAGGAGATCGCGAAGGCAGGACCTTCCGATGCTCAGGTAAGTACCCCCAACATCCCAGAGCCCCAATCCCGCCCTGGCTATTCTTGCCAAGTCATCGATTACAATCCCAGCATGGGATGGCAGCCCGACGCCGACATGTTCGACCCCCTCCCAGAGAACTACTACGAGCAAGCCACCCGTCCTCTTCCACAAGTTCCTGAGGATTCGATCGGTCAAAATCTTGCTAGTGCTCTGGAAAATCTGAACCTTCACCGAATCAGCCAAGAGGAACGCGTCTACATCGCCCAGCTTTTCATGAAGAAGCCATATGCGGATATCAAATTTGAGCTTGAGAAGGTGGGTATTGTCTATGATGATCTTACTTCGGAGGACCTGTGTGAGATTATTACGATTATGACTGAAGCGGATTAGCTGCTGTGCGGCCTTCTGTGTGGTGCGAATGTTTTGCTATCTGTAGATGACTTTCAATGAACGCAGTAAGTATCTGAATATTAGTTTTGTTTACCTCTGATGTGACCCTTGATTCCTGGTTCAAGAGTGCCTTTACGTACCTAGTGTATGTGTCGAATATTGTGTGCGTGTCCGAAACTTCAATTAAACTTATTAACGAGGCGCGCGTTTGCTGCTGTCCTGTCCTGTCGCTCCCAATTGCCGAAAGGTCGAGATATAGGCAAAACGTAAAGAATGGTAAATTTGAACGATATATCTAGAACTGTCCAAACCAAATACTATCATCCGGTCTCATCCCCCTCCCAACACCCTCCCTCTTACACATCTCCCTCTCTTCGCTTCCAACAGTCCACCCTTTCACAACCTCAGACCTAACTAACATCTGCATAACCATCCCACTCTCCGCATGCCACGTATTATGACAATGGAAAGCCCATAAGCCCGGATTATCCAGCACAACACGTATAACAGCCCAGGCATACCCTTCCACTGTAAAAGTGTCTCTCCTCAAAGGATTCTCCAACAAATTGTGTTTTTCTAGATAGGCTTGTAACTCGGCGGGCGTTGGTGGATAACCATCGCGACCTTGTGCAAGAACAAAGAATTTGTGGCCGTGAAGGTGGAACGGATGAGCACCGTCATCGAAGTTGTTTATGGAAATGTCGATTGTTCTGATACCGTTTGTTTCTAGAACAAGTTCATTTTTCTGGTCAAATATTTTTTCATTGATCGTGATTGGTCTTTTTGAGGTTGTGCTTTGGATACCAGAGTCTAGAAATCGATGGAGAGACGGACTCGTTGCGTTGGGATGCCAGGTAGAGTCATTAAAGAAACCCCTTGCTAAACGCCAATCTCCAATTTCGAAGTTTGCGCGCAGGATGATGACTTCGTTTGCTAAAGGTGGGGAGATGACTTCCACGGGCTGAAGGGCAGTGGTGTTCAGATCACGACAAATGACCTCGATTGCATCTGACCATTCTCTGCTTGTCGGCTTGTCACTAGATGTTGGCTGATCTGGTTTCTGATATCGGATGATCGCCTTGGTCTCTGCTTCTAGTCGCGAATTCTCGTTCTTGAAGCAATGCGTCACCATCCTAGCTCTCATCCAAAATGCCTCGCCCGTGGTGACATTCGCCTCCAAAACAACACTATACCGTTGCGCAGGCATGACGTTCAATCGATGAATCGGTTCAGGGTGTACATCTGTGCCGTCAACTTCTGTGACGTAAAAAGGATGTTCATCAATCTGAACTTGAAACTCAGCAAAAGCGCCGACGTTAATGATACGAAGTCTGTGCTTTTGTCCAGCTTCCAGATCAATGCTGAGCATGTCGCGGTTGGCGGTGTCACAGTCCCATCCTTCGAAGTCAACACAATCGCGAACATTGCGACCGTTGATAAGACCGTTATCGGGTACAGGTTCATTGTTCTCTTGGTCGGGCGCGAGATACTCCATCAACAACTCCGAAGTCAGATTATGATAGTGATCCTGCACCATGACCACTCTATCACTCGCAACATCCATTCCCCTCTCCCTCACAGAGTGCACGACCATTGGCCCAAGTAATCCATCAGAAGCTTGAGCACTATGATGCGCATGATACCAGTACGTCCCATGCTGCTCCCTCACCTCAAACCTGTACGTAAAACTGAAGTTCGGTGCAATAGGACATTGCGTGACTCCGACGGTTCCATCCATATTATTCGTTCCGTTTTGGAACATGCCATGGAAATGGATCGCTGTCGCGTTGGAAGCTTGATTGTTGACATGAATGATCAATGTGTCATTTTCATTGCATTCGATGAGAGGACCAGGGAATTGATTATTGATGAGCAGCATTGGCCGAAAGACACCGTCTGGATTGAAATCGGCCTGAGTTAAGGTCCAGTAGTGTTCTCGTGTTGTTGGTCTTGACGTGACGTTCCATGATGGTGAGAGGATGTACTCGTCTGTGTCGCGGATTTGAGGTTTTGAAGGAATGGATTCGTTGTAGGTGATGACGTTCGGTGATGGTTCTGACAGGTGTGGAGTCTTCAGAGAGATATCTTTATGGTGTCCGAATGAGATCTCTTGAAAGAAGAGGAATGTCGTAAGGCCAAAGATTGAGATGACTGTGAGAATCGCGACGATAAGTCTCATCCATTTCGCAGAGAGACTCTCATGTCTTGTCGCTATGACATCGTCCGGCTTTTCACCGGTCGCATATGATGGCGACGAGGCCGATGACTCGAATTCATCGTTTTTGACCCAAGAAAAATTCCCCTCGTTCATTTTCGATCAAAATACAAGAGGAATTCCATTGTGCTCGAGAGAATAATTGACAGCGACGCAAGTCAATTGTTTAGAGGCTCCATTGGATGTTACAGGGATCTGTTAGCGGGTTGCTTCTGATCGGATCGGTCGGCAAAATTGTATGCAGGTCAATCCAGAAAGCGACCACACGTGCCCCGAATTGATCTTCAATTGGAAGTCAATTGCAAAAGATCATCAAAAGTTCCGAGAGATCTTTTCATGGGTCTTTTTATGGCCACCGACGGTGGATTACTCGGCACACTTTCCGAGGCATATTCTCCGCCAGACCATGAGGGTTACTCGTTTATTGCACAGACAGATATAAATTCCAATTGACTGCGACCGTCTACAGGCCTGAAGATAGGTCAACCAAGCGCATTACTGCCGATCATGTTGTTTCAATCCGCTGTACTTCTCACCTTTGCTGGTCTTGCTCTCGCTCGCAAAGACCAGACAGGATGGGAGACAAAGTATACAGCAACTGGAACAGCTGAGGTCGCCGCCGCCGCAGCAACAGCCAAAACCAGCAGTCCTACTTCCAAAGTAAAGGGTAAAGCATTTGATCGCATTGCTATCATTTACTTTGAAAATGAAAACTACGAAAAGGCATTTGGCGACCGTAAGTTCGCTCTCCAGAATTAACTCGTTCATGGTCTAATAAAACGACAGCCAACTTCTCTTGGTTCAGATCAAAGGGAATCACCCTCTCCAACTACTTCGCAGTAACCCACCCCTCAGAGCCAAACTACATGGCCGCCATAGCCGGCGACTACTTCGGCATGCAAAACGACGCCTTCAACCGCAACCCACGCAACATCTCCACTGTAATCGACCTTCTCGAACACCGCGGTATTTCGTGGGGTTTGTACCAAGAAGATCAGCCCTATACCGGCTTCGAAGGTTTCGCTTGGGTGAACCACAAAAATGGCAAGAATGATTACGTCAGGAAACATAACCCTGCTGTTCTGCATGATAGCGTGGCCACTTCTGAACAGCGTCTTTCGCAGATCAAGAATCTGTCTATGATTGACACTGAGAAGTCGATGTTTCATAAGGATCTCAGGGAAGGAAAGTTACCTCAGTGGATGTTCATTACTCCTAACATGACATCTGATGGACATGATACGAGTGTTACCGTCGCTGGCAACTGGGCGCGTTCGTTCCTTGAGCCGTTGATGGAAGACAAGCGATTCATGGACAACACGCTCGTTCTTATCACATGGGACGAAAACGAATCTTACGCACGCCAAAACCATATCCTCGGTGTTCTGGTAGGCGACGCAGTACCAAAGCATCTCATCGGCACAACAGACTCCAACTTCTACAACCACTACTCCGAGCTCTCCACAGTCCAAGCAAACTGGGACCTCGACACCCTCGGCCGCTGGGACGTCGGCGCAAACGTCTTCGACCTCGTCGCTAAGAAGACAGGTGATAAGATCAGAAGATGGAAGACTCACGCGTTGGATAAGTATTTCTGGAATGTTTCTTATGCTGGGCCGTTTAATACTGCTGGTGGAAACAAGAGGTATGCTGCGCCGAACTTGGATCTGGAGAAGACCTTTTCTGGGAGAAAGGTTTTTGAGGGTGTTAAGAAGGAATGGAAGGGAAGTGATGCACCCAGTTATTACAAGGATGTCATTGAGGTTGATGATGGGTTGAACCCTCCTAAGGGCTATGAGCCTGTCAAGAAGTAGATCTTGCGCCGCAATATTTTAGCATAGGAGGTTGATGCTAGGCCATGCTGAGCATCTTGATTGGTGTCTTGTTGACTTATGTAGCTGCATTCTATTGTCTTCTTACAAGTCATAAAGTTTACCACATTCGCACGAGGAAAAGTCTTGATTTATTTATTACCGATTTTAAGCAACACGCCTTCATGTATCTTCATTAACCCCGAAACAGATGAAGGTTGCCGAGGTCATATCGTAAATCGTCAAGTTGGGGTCCGATGCTAGGCACAGAATAACGTCAGGTATGTCCGTTGCCATGCCGGGCTTTGATCTGACTCATTGGATGAGTCCTGACAAATCAATCTTGTCCCTTGTACAATTTAGGAAGCCGTTGAATTTCGTAATTGACAACGATGCAATGGCCGACAAAGTCCCTTGGTCATTTCCGCCTGAGTGTTTTCATCATGGTGTGGCGGCTGTAGTGCCGTTCGGTCGCCACTACCAGGTTGGCGCGCAGGGTTCCTGGCAACGATCTACCATGCCCCGCTTCAGATGTTAGCGATCGGGAATCGCACAGCGGCCGAGCCACTAAAAACGCCTCGTTGTCGCATGTGCTTCCAGAAGTCAACAACGTAAAAGGCGCACGGAAATAACGGCATCAGAACGGCAGAAAGTGCCGACACTCATTTTTTGGTCGTCGAATAAGATCAGGTCAATTGCAAAGACTATGGTTGATGATGGGAAGCACGTGGTGTCGTGCGATGATCGAACGATGACCGTCTTGTGCAATTGACACTTCCTAAAAATTATCATTGGCTTGTCGTTACCTCTTGATGAGTTGGCCCCCTGAGAAATATTGACAAAGGTTTCGTACGAGATTAAAGTAAAACCCCATCGCTACTTTGCACTTTCTGCCCCTTGAAAAGAAAACATGGGGTCGTTCAAAAGCCCAGCATCGAAACGCTTCCTCTCCGACTTCACTCTCGGATTCTCAGATGGCCTCACTGTACCATTTGCCCTCACAGCAGGGCTCAGTTCATTGGGCAAAACGGATACTGTCATAACTGGTGGACTGGCAGAGTTATGTGCTGGTAGCATCAGTATGGGAATTGGAGGGTACCTTGCTGCTCGGGATGAGTCCGTTTCTTCACGGCCAGACCTCCCAGATGAGGAGGCTTCAACGGGTCTTGGCGATGATGCTGCCAGTCGTGAGACAGATCACATGGTCGGGGAACCTGAGAAGAGCCAAACGAAGTTGGAAGATCTCGTGCGCCGTCACCTAGAACCCTTGGAGCTTCCCCCGTCGACAGTCGTTACAATTCTGGAAGCCATACAACAAAACCCAACAGATCCCCAACGGACGATATTACGCCTCGAAACCTTTAACAACGACATCCCATACTCTGTGCAAAATTGTTCAACCTCCCCAATTACGTCTGGTCTCTCAATATCACTTGGCTACGCAGTTGGAGGGATTATACCCCTTCTACCTTACTTCTTCACCAATACTGTCGGATCTGGACTACAAATAAGTGCCGTTCTATGTCTCATGGTACTGTTTACCTTTGGGGCCGGAAAGAAATGGATGTTGAGCTCGGATGAGGAGAGGATGAGAAGTTGTATCGTGGAAGGGTTGCAAATGCTGATTCTGGGTGCTTTAGCTGCTGGCACGGCAGTTTTATGCGTTTCCGGGTTGGGAAAAAAGGATGATTAAAATGAATCCATGACCAGGGACAAATAAAAGGGCTATCGATGTGTGCATTTTGTTGTGAAATAGCTACCCAGACTTCCAGCTGCCGACCAAACTTTACCCTTCCAACGCCAGCGAAAGAATTGTAGCCAGCTCAAACCTTATGCTAGGTCAAGGCAGAAAACAAGGCCATGTTTGCAAAGGAGTCATCATGCCTTATGCAAAGTGTAAATATCTTCAAAGCTTGTCTGAGCTACAGATGTAATGCGATTGACGGCGGGAATAGTGAGCTGGGGTTGGACAGCGACACATCGGAATATACACGTGAATCGTATTGAACAAAAACAAAAGCAAGTTTTGATCACACGGTTGACGATGAGAAGTCATTTCTTGATATGAAACACCTGATGCGATGTTTCGAACATGTCGCTTCGTCTAAAACTTCCCTGATGTAATTGTACAGTCGTGACCTCAGGCTTTCCTAAGAAGACGTCTGAATGGATTTTAAGCCGCCTGGTCCTGGGCGACACGGATGTCGACGATTCTCCCGTTGGAAGACTCCTTTATGTGACGAAACACATGCTCAATCGGAGTCACGTACACATGAAAGTCTCCTGCTCTCTGAGGCTGAAGTCCTCTGGACAAGAGCCCAAGAACACATCCCCACTTATCGTATACAATTGCTCCAGCAAAGGGCTCGTCTCTGACTTCCCTCCTCATTTGGAAGAGGTACTCGCTAGACAACGGATCGTCGCCAACGTGTTGATCATCCATGAACTGGACATTAGTCTTGAATATGTGAAATTCCCCCCGAATTGGACCAGTCGTAGTTCCATATTTGAACGCCTCTTCGCTCTGTACTTGGTTTTCGAGGCTGATGCTCTCGCTGTGGCCGGGTTGACTGCCCGGGGGCTGAAGCTGTCGCCCGAACGTCAAGAAAGGTCTGCCCAGGGTACTTCCCCAAGCCGACCTATCGGGCAAAATGTTAGTGCCGGTTCGACCCTCGGCTACCTTGATCAATGCCCAGTCAAGTCTGCCATTCTCAGAAGTCCTTTCGCTAAAGCCGGAAGCAGCAAATACTTCGCCCAAAGCATGTTGGTAAAAGTTAAAGAAGTCCTTCTTCTTTTCCACTTCTTGAATCAGCTCGACTTTGTACCCATCTACACGTTCGTAGGTCTGCTTTGCATGCGATGATCCCGCTACATTATCCTGAAGCCGTTGCAGTGATCTATTCATCTCATCCAGGTTTTTCTGCGCAATCCAAAGAGTGTAGTCGTGCAGTGACCTTGGGGGACTCTCCATCATGGCTAGAGCTTCATGTGACCCGGGGAGCAATCCGTTTTCATCAGCTACAAGTAAAGCAGACTGAGCTGGCGGTGTGACTAGGACTGTTTCCTTGTTGACTATTGTAGTGTCAAAGCCTGGGAAGGCACCACGCACGACGTGATAGTTCGTGAGCCCGTATTTCTCCCAGGAACCCTGCGCTGTTTTGACTTCAACATAGCACCCTAGATTGCCGTGCCCTGAATAGCCCTCGGTCCAATCCTCTCTCATGACGAAGTTAGCGGGGCCTATCACTTCGCCAAGATTTACCGTTTTGTTGTAGGCGCCCTCGATGTACCCGCGACCAAGTCTGTTCCTAGCACGTTCACCCTCCAGATCCAGTAATGACGGGGGCGCAGAGGAAAAGCCAACATTGTGCTCAATATGAATGTAGAGAGGCGGTAGATGATGTTCCTTTAGGCTTTTCTCGATATCTTCGATGACGTCTGGCCATCCAACCTCTTGTGAGTCATAATCGACCGTGATGAAAATAGTCACCGGATTATTCCTGTAAAACTGTCGCGTGCCGTAGTGAAACAGACTTATGGAAGTTATAGAACCTTTGGTAGCGTCGTGCGCCTCGAGACGCTCGTACACCAGGATCCGCATCTTGTCCCAGCACTGAAGTAAGCCGAGGCGATCTTTCACGGGCCCGTAAGTAATAGTGTAAACAAGCCTCAGGTCAATCAACTCGACACAGAATGGCTCATTAGAGACATCCCGGGCAAACTCGGCGATTTGCTGTGTGGCCTCGCGTAATGCCTCGCGGTCTGTCGGGAAAGTCTTGAAATCGATCATGATAGTCGGTGCTGCTGTCGCTGGGCAATCCCTTGTCTCCCGCATCGAGATGTCAATCTGATAGTTACCCTCGAAGTCGTTCCCGAAGTCAAACTCGTAGTCATAATCGTAGTTATCCTCGTCAACACTGTCTACAACCTTGAAAGCTTCCAGAACTTCTTCTGCCCGAGCGAGGATGGCGCGAACGACCTCTACACCAAGCCGGCTTTGCAATCCATTCAGATAGGACGAAACGAGAGGGAGGCGTCGCAAAGGGTTTGTCGCGGTCCGAAATCGCGCCGAGACGATATCAAAGGGGGGGTCCTCGACGTTTTGGGACATGTTGACAGGAAAGCAATGGTCGAGGCCTTCGATTAATGAAACTTGACAAATGAATATCGTGGAGCGAAAAGATGAAAGCTGAAAGATAAACAGGGGACGCCAAGCCTTTATGTAAATTTAGACTTCCATTGTCTATTTGAGTTTTTTCAAGGTCAGCTTTCAACTCGCACAGTTCAAATCAACAAACTTTTGTTGTCTCAAAGTTGGTGAACCTTATCTCAGTGCCCTAACCTCACCTAATTGTTGTTGGGAAATTTGTCTCTAAGTCTGATGTATCTCTAGAGAGATGTCAACTTAAGTACGCATTTCTGGGCATCTTATCACCAGATGTGTGACAAGCAAACCCCGAGTAGAGAGATGTCAACATAACATGAGCAAAAGAAAGATTGATGCATGAGGGAATTGCAACGAGACAGGTGCGGAAGAGATCCAGAGAGTAGTATTCAATACCAGAGAGTAGTATTCAATAAAACAAGACATTCGCACCATGGTACGTGTAATAGGGAGGGAGTTGAGAGGGGAATGAGACCTGAGGCAAACATAACTACACGATGTGGGACGCAAGAGAACGAGAAATGCGACTCTATCATGCAGCGGCTTTGCAAAAACGCCTCGACCGACCCGAATGCAGAGGTCCAGTTTGCAGCAACATCCCGTCTCAGGGCTGAGGTCCTCGAACGCGCGCAAAAGAAGAAGGATTTCTTCGATAGTCGCATGAACACCGTAAGTAAAATTTATGCCGCGTCTATACAAGACTCCGATAAATGGTAGGTTGGATTGGGCCTTGATCAAGATTAACAAGACCCGAGTCGGGAACAATCTTCTCCCTCTCGTGTCGGCTTGGTAGGGAACGGCCGGATCGAAGCGCACTTTCTTGATCTATGGTAATCCGCGCGCCCCAGCAACAGACAATCCGGGACAAGGACTCATATTAATGCAAAGTGGGCTACAAGCACGGCGCGACCACCGGCGCAACTTTGCGAACGCCCGGCATAGTTTCTTAGCCTGAGGCGACTCCGGCTCAATTCTATTTGACTAGGAAGGATGTGCTCTCGGTCTTTTATTTAGAGGATGTCAGTCCAAGAGTGCCGGCCGTCAAGGCCATGCTTACCCTACGTCACCCCTTTGGAGTACGTTTTCAACCACATCGTCCAGTCGTCCAACGGTCGCATCCTCGAGGTCCGTATCGCACAGCACCAAAGTCTTTAGAAGACTTTTAGACTTTTTATAAAAGTCTTGGGTCGGGATCATTGGACAGATTGTCAGTTTAGGAGATCTTTAGGGGCGCTTTAGTTGAGTTGTGTCGCCGTCTGATGAGAGAGTCAGGGAGCAATCGAGAGATGACGGAGCTGGCACATGGAGGACATTGTCTCAATTCAGGTAGCTTAGCTCTAGATCAATCTACCCATCTGTTAGTCAGTTCTTGGTATTCGATATGATATGCTTTTCCTCCCCGTCACCGATTGATCAATCAACTGTGGTTGTTGAATTGGGTTGAGTTGAACTGTACAACTTGATGACTGACCTTTGAAAAACCCCCAAATAGACTAATCAATCGAGGTACCCTTCTTGCTGTGCCAGTTCGACCCCGTGTGGTCTGTAAAGAAAGCCGCCGTCTCATGGCCAATTTTTGTTTCGCCAATCGAGATGCCAGCCTCGCACTCATTGCTATTGGTCAGACGATTCAGGTCCTTGAGAACCTTTGCAGCTCGAGCCTGTACAACGCACTGAGCTGACTTTGTAATTGATTCGGGTGGGACGCGTAAGTTGCAGTGCGAAAGAGCGCCGAAGTGGGTGATGGGACAGCTTTTGTGCGAGTTTGAACTTCCGTTCAATTGACCTTGTTTCGTCGCCCGAACCCCGGCCTGAATAATTGTTGTCGGAAGTTCTGTTTTCAATTTTTGAAACCTCAATCTATGAGATTGACATGAGGCTGGCACAGCGAAAGACAAATGTATGTCTGGGCTGGCTTTGCAGCAAGAGACCTGTGAAGCAGATCCAAGAGGTCCAAAGCACCACCAACGCAGTGTATTACCCAGTCATTTCTCCATCCCAACTAACAAAGATATCGAGCAGGTACGCCTGCAACTCAAGCGCTCCATCGCAATTATTGTGTAGTCCATAGTCGTCATCTTGACCTTCATGAGACCATTGTTGGGATAAATTTTCCCCGGTCGCTGGACGCAACACCCAACAAGAATGTCTGCAACACCGATAAAAAGATACTGTATTCTAGCTCAATGTTCATTCCATCAAATGTCGATGTTATTAAGAACAAATGAACGATTGTTTTGTTATCTTGTATGTACTGGTATTTACCATGCCGTCTTGAAATTTTCGGTAATGTGGAAGCAAAATGTTGCCATCTTGGTCTTCAAAGCTGACAGCTAGTGGTAGGTCCGAGTCTGCGTATAGACCATCATGGGTCCGGACGGTAGATATAATGGTGTCCGTGGTATTATCATCATGTATTCCGACACACATTGGCCGGCGTGCACCCCTTCCCGAAGTAGCAGGGTTTGCAAGACGACTGGACTATGGAGGAGATCTGGAAGATCGAAGCTCGGAATAAGGGACGATTTATGTTCGTCCATCAGGCTGCAAGGGAAGGGTAGGTCATGATCGTGATCAGAGAGATGATGTATGTTAAAGGGAATCGTCACTCGCGGTGATAATAAGTAAGCAGCAATATCTTCCCCCAATTTTAATTGACAAGATCATGCACAAATAACCCCACTTGAAAAATCACCTTCAGACCTAGGATACCTCTCGGATTGAACAATCAATTGCATTCAATCATTAAATCATGAGCAAGGTCAAAAAGCACACTGTAGCTAGCGTTGGTACAGCGCGTTCACAGCGTGTTTGCGACGCATCACATCGCCTAACGGCACGCTACTGTTGGAGTGATTACAGCGCATTACAGCGTAAGTGCCCGGTATAACTTCGGCTGTCATAGCGCGCCACGATGGGTGCCAGTGGGTGTCGCAAGGGACTGACCATTCAGCTTTAGACGGGTCATTAATATTCCAGTCTTAGTGCGACTTGGCATTTTCCGATTGGGAATTGTCGCTGCGAGCAGAGAAAAATGTCAGACGCATTTTCAATCAGCCTGCTGGATGTCCTGTATAGGGTAGTCATGCTGAAGTTAGTATCGACATTACAGTATTAATCTCGGCTGTGAATCTTGGCTGGAATAATGAACAGAGTGTTGAAAAGGCGGACAATGGAGTGATTGAATCAATCAAAAACTCAAATCAAGTCATCGCCGACCGTCCAGTCGATTGACTTGCTCCTCATCCTTTGTTCGTGGCGGTTGCATCACCCCGTTTGATTGGAGTAATTGCGCGACTCACCAAAACATTCGCCGATGTCGCATCAAGGCTCGCGCGCAGACAAAGGATGCCGAAAAATCGCCTACCAATGATTCAACTCTTCACAATCAATAGTGGCAATTATCGCGAAGCCTTTTTGCGATTATGACCCGGGAATCACATCACGAGTCGTGTCTCGTCTCGGCTGGACCTTCTTGACTGATAACGTTGACGCTAGACCCCGAGTGGAAGGTTAAGCGGCACATCCATGATTGGCTATACACTAACCATCGCTTGGACCTTCACTTTGCAATCCCAAGCGGGGGACACCCCATGGGGAAATCATGATAAGGTTGACGCCAGTTTAGATATATAAAGATCAAAATGATCCTTTCTTTTCCAAGTCCATCAATCTGTCGCTCTTGTTTCTTATTCACTTTATTATTGTTTCGAAATAATGGCTGACTCTAAGAGCACTGTTTCTTCCCCCGAAAACGCTCGAGCCGCATCGGTGCGAGCAGCAGATATGTCTTCCACAAGGGACATTCCCATGTGGAAGTATATATGGCAGCATAGTTTGACGCAGATGATACTCTTAAGTATTCAAGCTTTTTGTGGTCCTGCTATGTCTGATGCCATTGCTGGATTGGGTGGTGGTGGTCTTGCGACGCCTCAGGTATCAAATATTTCTACGGCTTTGAGATATGCTGCTCTGGCTTTCAGTAAGTATCCATAAACGGTCTTTGAATATTGGTCTGACATGACACTCTAGCTTGCTTCATGGGTGGTCCAATCGTTAACAAACTCGGCGTCAAATGGGCGCTTGTTATCGGATCCATGTCCTTCCCCATCCAAGGATCAGCTTACTACTGCAATAGCAAATTCGGCAATCAATGGGTAAGTTCATGTAAAAAATTCCATGAAACCATCAAACCGCTAATAGCGATACAGTATCTCATCCTCAGTGGTGTAATTGGCGGTATCGGAACCGGCTGTTGGTACGTCGCCGAAGCCGGTGCCATCATGACCCTTGCGCCATCTGGTGCTCGCGGTAAATACCTGGCGCTGTGGATTGTGTCGCGAAACTTGGGACAGCTTGTTGGTGGCGCTATCAAGTAAGTCATGCCGCTACTGCAAAAAATTCTTTGCTAATACTGTACCAGTCTGTCCAAGAACAACGAGAAGGGTGTTAGTGGTGGAGTAACACCCGACACATACATAGCATTCCTCATCATTGAGTGTCTAGCGTACGTACCATAACCTCTCAATCTGCCATCAAGTATTAACACTGCAACAGTCTTCCATTTGCGTTTATGATCACCCCGTTCGAACACGTCATTCGATCTGATGGTACCAAGATCGTCACGGCTGAGACTCTTTCCACGAAACTGGAGATTAAACGTATCGCCAAAACCATGACTTCCAGACTCATTATTTTGTCTTCCATCTGGGCCGTCTGGTCGTTTTTCTACAGGTAAGGTCACACTCTCCTCAATCGCTGTACGTGTGACTAATTGTCGCGACAGTGGATCGTGGTCAACGTACCTCGGAATCTATTTTACCGTCCGCGCCAGGGCTCTCTCATCACTCATCTCACCGTTTTTCTGCATGTAAGTCAAACATCCCTTCAAACCATATTGCCATACTCACCCATCACAGTATCGGCTGCTTCGGTCTTGGCTTCATCCTTGACGCCAAGAAACTCGCTCAACGTCGTCGCGCTCAAATCGGCCTTTACACCGTCGTCATACTCAACGTGGGAGTCTACATCTGGTCCATCATCATGCAAGTTCGCTTTAAGCGCAACGACCCTGGTGCAATTGACTGGGACGATGGCTTGTTTGCGACATCCTTTTTGCCGTATTTCTTTGTGCAGACCACGGGACCGCTGTCGCAGAGCTATATGTATTGGCTCTTATCTTCTTTTGCGACGGATGCACAAGGTACGTGTACGATATTTGTGGAGGAACAGTGACTAATTTCTCTGCAGAGAACGTGCGAAATGGTGCTGCGTTTAGATGTCTCGAGGCCATTGGCCAAGCCATCGCGTATGGTATGAACACTCAGACAAAGAGTGATCCTCTGGTTGGCTTGTAAGTTTCTTCCTCTCTTACTCTGCATGAGACACAGTACTGATGTGTTTAGCTGCGTTACGTTTGCACTTCTCGGCGCTTCGCTGCTGCCAATGATCATGCTTGTCAACACCACGCCTGACAGGATCCCTGCCGATGAGATCGCGGAACAGAAGGCTATGGGTGAGAAGCTTGGGGACATTGAGGGTCAGGCTGTTGCGATTGATGATGGACATGTTAAGAAATGATTGCTTAGTATGGATTTTTGATGAGTAGTGGTACAACTTGGCAACGTGAATTAATTGATTTGGTACATGTAATTTCTTAGTAAACACTGGAAGTGCTATAGATACGCTGGTCAAGTCTTGGAGGAATTGATTTTGCAACGTCCAGTCCAATTGTATTCTTGCTATCATGGCAGTCTACAAGTGTCGCCAGAGCGCGTAGGTCGCGTTGTTACTGGGTAATTGAACAACATCTCAATAGTGGCTGCATATTTGTCGATGCCCAACGGCAGTCAAGAGTTAAAGCCAATCCGCGAAGACCAGATTCTTTACTGCGACATGCACGTAAATTCGAGGGTCAACCAATCAACCAAGCCGTGGATGTCTGTATGCGAAAACACCAGCAACATCCGAGGTCATGCTCCCTCAATGCAATTCTCGCCAAGACACGTAGCGCTGCACTACCGAATGACAGCTTGGCATTTCTCAGCCGCAAATTCAGCTTTACTGTAATTATATCAAGGCCGCATTACTAAGGCCTGTCGTCGGAATGTCGACCAATGCCAACAGGCTTGTTCAGCCTCAGCGCTTACACTGCCGATCGTACCTGCAGCATTTTGAGAATAACCGTAAATTTTTAAAATGTTATTCTGGGATGGAACGAATTTTTAACGATGGAAAATTGACTACAAATGATGTTTGCGCCCTTCTGGTGTTGTTCAATCTGCTGCTTCAACTCGACATTCATTCACGGAACATTCGTTTAATTCACTCTCGTTTAATTCATCACTCGTTTACTGAAAGTTTTCAGTTAATTGAGAGTACAGCTGTTGACAATACACAGTAGCGTCATGTCTTACAACAACTTCTTCCTTCGAATTATCGGCGTCGGCGAGGCCAGATTCGGCATGATCTGGTTCCTGCTGGCCGTTTTAAGTATATCCATCCTCGGAAGTCCATCACAAATTCAATCCCTAACATGTGGACTAGTGGGCTTCATAGCAAATATCGTCGTACTTGTCAGCTGCGCTTCACCTGACACCCAGGCAGTCCATCTCTTCAAAGTTGGAAGTGCAGAGCTTGTCAATGCCACTGCCAACGTAACTGGCATCTCCCCAAGCAAACTTCAGATGGCTGAGCTCCCGGAATATTGGTACTGGGGATTCTCAGGTAAGTCTTTCCCTCCTTTGTCATGCCTAAGGTCTTGTACTAAGACAACATTTTCTCAGGCGTGTGTATCAATGTTGAGACCAGAGGTCTGTTTGAAGATACCAAGTCTGTGTCGTGCAAACCAGCCTTCCCACCAGTCTTCAGCGTCGAAGAGATGATTCAATTCTCCATCAAAGCTCACCTTCGCGGCAGTGCAACTGAGTCACTAATCAAGAAGAAAATGGCACCTTGGAAAAATGCACTTGCAAAGATCCAAGATGACCTTGTTGATCCATCTCGGCCAAGGGATCTCATGAAAGGCGCAGCAGCATTTTGCGTTATCTCAACCATCCTCTCCGCCGTCATCATGATCCTCACAGTCTTTTACTTCACGCTCCTGCGCGGCATTCTACAACGCTGGATGCTTTACGCACTTGCTCTACTCGATGCATTACTTTTTGTTGGGGCTGGTGTCATGGTTGGCTACGCCATGCGTGATGGTCCGCGAGGCATTATTGAACTTGCAGGTCTGCCTGAGTTTGACATATATGGACCTGGTAATGTCGCTTTTACCTTGGGTGCATTGATCAAGTTTGTTGCTATGGAGGTATTTCTTTGTCTTTTGTTGTTGGGTTTGGTACTTGTTCTTTGGCTTATTTACTGTTGTCTACTTTGTTGTGCGCATGATAGGGATAAGGTCAAGGTCAAGGTTGAGTACATTCATCGCTATTTCCCTGCGCAAGACTGATAAGATATCCTGGGGCTATAGCTTCAGATCGAAGGCCCGAAGTTTCTGTGCAGGGTGGTAGCTCTTAGGCCTTTTGCAACTAAGGCGTTAGATAATAAAGGTAAGAGGATAGTTTAATAAACTTTAGCCTTGAAGCTCATTTCTATTTAATGAAGCTCTTTAAGAATCACTTTTATCCTTAATTCCAATATTAACTGTGCAGGACACAGAAAGATTAACATAACGCAAGAAAACATCAGGTAGTCCCTACAGCATCCGGAAATAGGTCAGTCGAGTAACTTTAAATGATCCCACTGTCTAGTGCTCTTATCTGATTGTTGTAATTAGGAACAGTCAGTATTATTGATGCACGTCAGAGAGACTGTGATGGAGGGTACTCGGAGAACATGCCGTTCAGCGATACTTTTATTCGTTCTGGATATTTCTCTTAAATTAGATTTGCATTCTACAGGTGCCTTGGTCATCCATGATCTGAGAACGGGCTCAGCCTCGTCGGGACTCATCGTCCTTTTTGGCCCAGGACTTAGTCTCAAGGACAAAGACAAAGAACCCATTCCCGTTGTAGTAATCAGTAGTCCCAGGGCCTATAAATATTCAAAATGAACTATCAGAGTCAAAGAAGAGGTCTTCAGACTCTGTCGTCACGTCTTCTTCTGATCTTATGGATAAGGACTCTTCGACAGGCCATCTGTTCAGAGTCGCTCGCTGTTTCGCTGACACTGGACAATTTTCTTCCAAAGCATCCCTCACCATCTTTCGAGTCTTAAACTTAAATAGTTTTCGGTGTGAGACCACAAATAATGCTGCGTTGTATGCCATGTTAGTGTCTGCAACGTTTGGATGAAGAAGCACGTATAAAAGTTGAAACGCCGAGTCTCGTGCCACGCTCTTCAATCCTCTAACCGTCCTTCTCTCTACTGGATCCCAATCATCCTTCCCTCTCTTCATGTCTTTCAGGATGTCACGAACGGTGCGGCCATTAGTAACATCAATAGCAAGAGAATCGAGGGTATCGCAAAGTAGATGATACTGGGATAGCTGCAAAGGCATGCGGCGAAAGAACTGTCGGAATCCCTTCTCAACTCCGACGCTGATCAATTCGGAGTAAGGTCCATCGCCATACTCGGCTCTCGGAATTTCCATGGTTCTCTTTTGATCTTTGCTGAGTGTGTCTGACGCTTTTCTTTCCTCAGGTACGCTCGCTACCTTCTTCGCTTGCCTAACACCTCTTGACTCCCATTTAGAATACAAGGAGTGAGGCAACATGTCTCCTTTATCGCCTTGATAAAACAGCAGTTTGCTTCCCCCCTCATATTTGACGGTGACCTTTCCGCCGGATTGTGCTGCCAAATTGGAGATTGTTTTGAGGAGGATCACTAACCGCTTTAGGTCATTCTGATTGAGCATTTCCCACCTCTTGACCTGAGCTCCGACGTCCTCGACATGAGGCACTTGGAACTTCCCCCGATCGTGGTATGCTCGCACGAGCTTTGAAGTTTGAGACACCCAGAGTTGTGCCGCGACATCCTCTATGGGCAGTGGTCTTTCAATTGCTCGGGTTTTGATCTCAATGATTGAACCTGGACGTACCACTCGACCTTCATCCCTGGTAACCAATTTTGAAGGGATAAGTTCGACGTCTGAGACTTCTGTGGCTGACGACAAAGATAAACCTCTCATGATGTCGAGCAGAGGGCTGTCTTGCGAACTTGCTGCTTTGGGTATATTGGCGTTATCGGTGTCTGCAGCCACGTAACCATCGGCTTCGTAGCGTACAATAAGGCTTAAGCCACCAAGTTGATATGCGATGATTCTATGGTGACCAGTGCTATTATTGACTTGCTCCATGGTGAATTCTTTTTCAAACTCATGGCCAAAGCCGCGGAACTCATCTGGCTGGATAATCCTGGTAGGTACCGTCACATCTCGACGAAACAGTGCGGTCGTGCCGATGACCTCAACCCCTATGGTGAATGGTTCAAGATCACCCGGATCCAAGCGGGGATTAATGAAGGCTAGTAGCTTGAGGATGTTGTTTCGATCGGTTACAACGTCGATAGAGCTGATATCGAAAGAAGGATTTTCGAGGTACAGAGCACGGAACAGAGGCTCAAGCGGACTATCTGGATGGCGAGCTTGGTTCTGGTTTATGTAATATAAACCCGTATCTTTCTTTAGCTGCTTGGAAGTCTTCGCGGCTGACCACAAAGGTGGACTTCCTGGGACAGCAATCGTGGCAATGGAACTTTCAATCCAATTGTAGGACGACAAATGTCTGACATTGGTAATCGATGCAGTGATACAAGTGCTAGGATCCCCAATGTCACATCTATCGATCTCAGTGATAAGGCTGGATGACATGGCGAGACCAGATTACTGTAAAAGTGATGTGCTTTATATCTCAAGGCAATTATTAAGGATTGAAAATATTCATGATCAGCTACTCAATATTGGGCAAAACGTCAACCTTTAAGGAAACCTGCTATAAGCGCTTCTTGTTGACAAATCATTTGCTGGGTTCGGTCTGCTTAGCTACGGGGAGCGTTTCCAGTATCCGATTGGCGAAGTGGCCATATATGTGTAACACTACATAAACAACAGCTACCTCATTCGGTAGTCAAAACGCCCAAGATGCAATATTTCTTAATAGTTTCCTGTGGCTGCATATTGATTGGATTTGGTAGTGCCACGTCGGTGGCTCAAACATTCGTTTAATTTACAAAGACATGTGAGCTCTCATCGGTCAATGCCATCCTATATCCCATGTATTCAATATGGATAGCAACTGTCAAGGCTAAACTTCGTAAAGCCTTATCTTGCTTGGCAAAATTTAAGCGTTGATATATGTATTTAAAATTACTATTCTCAACATTTGATCACCTTCGCTGCTTTGAGGGGTCATATCTTCGTGACTGGATATGTTGTACACGATTCAGCCGCGTTTGCACACATCCATTTTCAAGTCTCGATTCCAAGCCTGGGTGTGACTAAATGACGTCGCTGACAATATGGCCTGCGCGGATCTCCGACTCATGCATTATGAAAATACTACTCTAAATCTCCTTATACGTCACATATATTGTGTGGCTTACGGCACCCACCTCTGCTGCGATGTCTTTGGGAGGCCCACCACAGTAAAAGCTGTTTCAGCACCCGATGGCCCCGCATCTACATTTCATGTAATACACTTTGAGAGTTATCCTCGCGTCATTTATCGATAACATGCTTTTTCTTAGTATTTCATAACATGGCTTGCTCGTCACGAAATTGCCTTCCCAATTCTTGCTTGGGACTAAGGACCTAGTTATGGTGAATTTTACCTTCTCAGTTATTGGGTGATCACTGCGTGACTCCAGGAGGACCAGTAAATGAAGTTCGGGTGATAAAGACTGCTGCTCATACGATAAGCATCAGGAGATTCACAGACTTTCTGATTGGTGCGTCTAATGATTCAGATTGAGCGATATCAATAATGAGGCCTTCTGTCTGCAGGTGGTTGTTGACTGCATGATCCTGCTGGCATGAGTGAAAAGGGAAACGGCTACGTATTTTCACGTCTGGAAAATCACGAATGATAGGTTGTGGTAGTCCAGAACGCTGCAGTCATCACTGGTATATGCTGCCTGAAACTCGGAAGGCAACTGTTCCGTTGATAGTTTACTGTCTTGCAGAGCGGGGTGGCAGGGCATGCAGGATTAGAAGATGCAACAAGCTCAATCACAAGGCGTCAAGTATGAAATGATTGAATGAACCTGATACCGTCGGGTAAAAGGTGCCCAATTGACGATGTGTGAATAAGCGCCTGTCGTCCAAAGGTAGTTCTGTAGCATGATCGATAACGAATTTATTAGTAACCTACTTTTGCCTTGCACACTCTGATTACGGTACTTCCATTTTCTTTCTTTTCCCTTTTCCCTTTTCTGTGATCGGTAGCCCTAGTGTCCGAGTTCCCTTCATTATCACTATGGAAACAGATACAGAATTTATTTCAATCGCTGCCACATTAAAAGAGCTGCACGCATATGCCAAGCTGCTTTATCTCCGCGATGGTCGTCAATTCGAAGACAAAACGTTCTATGAAGAAGCTGAAGATGAGGCATCATCAAACGATTCCGGCAACGACGACAGCTCATCAAAGAATGTTTCGCTAGGCAACCTTGATACAGACCATTTGCGTCGCAGGTTCTTGGATAGATTGTCCGAGATAGTTTCGCCAATGAAAGGAGGTCGCCATGTTGTTGCTAGCTATATGTTTTACTGGCCTGACAAGGTTAAGGTCTTCTTAGCAATAAACTCAGGGTTCGTTGAAGGAGATGCAGTGTCTACATTCTTAGACAGCTTGTGTAAATCCTTGAAGGATATCGCTATGGCTCCAGGTTAGATTTGACCAGATACTGTTCAAATGCTATTGCTAATGTCAAATTTGGCAGATTATGAGATTGAGAAGAGCAGGAATGCACTGTGGAAGTTGGTACTTCGTCACCAATCATCAAGACTGACCACCACCATCGTCGATTTGCGGCAAGTCATGAAAAGCTTCCCACACCTCCTCCCACAACGAGCTGCTTCGGATTTATCTAGCAACAATATTGTTTTAGACATCGACGGAAGCATGCTTGTATTCGAGGACTGCTTGAAGCTATTGGCTCAATTACTTTTTGACAATGTCGATTCGGACCTGAAACGGCACAGCGGTCTTATAAGCCTCAGTTACGCTCTCTATCGAAAATTCCGAGTCGAGAAATTTCAGGCTCTCGGTCGACAAGGCGAAAAGCTACGTAAGATAATCGGCTTCTTGGGCCGCCTCCAGATGTCATTCCAGGACCTTGTTACAGCTGCGGGTCAAATTCCTGGTTTTGACGACCTGTTTCTTATTCCTGTGGTTAAACCAAGGCTCGAGAAGAATATCCTTAACGAGGAATGGAGTCTAATTAGGACACTCGGCGCCTTGAAAGTTCAGGTAAACGATACGGCGATTGAGAAGCTGATGAAAACATCAAGCCGAAGGACCAAATGGACCAAGAACAAACTCATCAGCGGCTTTTCTCGAAACAAGTCACCGTCTTGGGAAGTACATGCCGAAATCCAGCTCATAGCCTTTACCCTTGGCCATCCCAATGACATTGCCAACGGAAAAAGGTTTGAATACATTGGTTGTAGCAGGTATACATGTCTGCTATGTTCCAAGTTTCTAGACTATTGGCAAGGGTTAAAAACACGGGGATGTCATGGTAAGCTGTATAACCACAGCTGGACTATTCCCCCTGGAGACAGCCTCGGAAAGAATGAACAACAGGCGCTGCACAGTGCTGCAATAGGAGTTATATCGTGGATGAGAAAGGAGCTGATTGGAACTATGATGCCACCGGCTCGGAGAATGCCAGAGGTCAAGGAATCCACTGTTGGCGGCAGTTCAATTTCTATGCCGGGGACGAGTCAAGGAGGCCTCCACCAAAACTTTGCCACGTCCGAACACCTCCGTCGCCAACGAGCTCAAAACAATCGCATGCCATGCAACCAAGACAGGTAGGTTCCCCAATACATTCTCGTTTCTCTCTACAGAACTTACGGGTAGATGCTAAGAAAGGTTTTGACTAGTCTGTCGGAATCCGTCGAAGACGGTAACTTCTCGACACCTGAAGTCCAGAGTTCGACGCTCCTAATAAGTACCGAGAAAACTTGCATAAGATGCCTCGAAGAAACAACTCGACGATGCTCTCACTGTGGAGAAGGTTTATTCTGCAACGAGAACTGCGAACGCAAAATGCCGTTATCGCACCTACTCAAATGCAACATGCGACAAGTCACGTCAGCAGACTACCTTTTTGAAGATGTTCTGGATGATACGATTCCCACAGACCCCCAGGTACTGGAGGACTACTGGTTTGATCGATGCCACAACGCCAATGAAAAATCGCATCTGTGCGGGCTTTTCGCCGGACTTTTACTCTACCATCCGGATCATATTTCGCGTGAGACACTTCACCAGTGGCGGTCGGAGCCAGGCGGAAACCCATACCTGGTCGCACAGATAGTTGTAAAATTCGACGAGTTACCGAAGGGTAGCGCGGGAGGCTATTTCCCGTGGTTCCTCAGACACCGCAAACGCTTCGAACTAGCAGAAGGTCATGGATCAATACCCCAAGCACCAACCCCCGAGATGCATGTACAAAACATGCAAGCCAAAGCCAGGAGGTACCTAGCTGTTGAAGATCAAAACAAGGACTTCAGGGACTTGGCTCCTTTTTCGAAAATGCATTGCTTTGCATTCTACTCCATTGTCATAGGCAATCAGCACCCACCCCCAATGAACCAAACCGACTGCTTTTGGTTCGATTTCGGCTTCGTTGTGTGCCGAGACCAGTATGAGGAAGCCTCATTGGGCGGTATGTATAACACAATGCTGTTCGGATCGAGATCACAACTGGAATACGCAGAAAGTCTTGGTTCCTCAAGTTCAGCGAGGTTTGTCAAGAAGAGAGATCCCGCCTGTACCTTTGACGAATTCTGGAGGGCTTGGGATAAAGGCAAGCTTATGGCCATATTTGACAAGTGTTGGCCAGAGCTCAAAACCCGACGCACTCATGAAGCTACTGAGTACAGAATTCTGAATCGTTTGCGTGGATTCATAGAGTCAGAGACGCCTCGTCCGTCTATTTGGAAGTTGCGTCACTTCGTTGCACTAGACGATATCTCTGTCGAGTCTTCTGTACCTGACATAGCCTGGGCGGCTCGAGAATATGGATTTTCCGAAAGGTTAGACACGAGACTGACTCTGGAGCTAAGGAGTTTCTATGTGCAGCTATTCAACAAGGCAGAGCCAATGGAAATTTACCGCCAGAGGATAAAAGGTAATTTAGTGCAATTTGCAGAGCAGTATGTTGGTAGTAGTCACTTGAGGATAAAGGAACTACTTCAGGGCCTTTGATTAATCACACTGAAATGACAACAGCAAAGACATTCTTACAGTAACTTTTCTGAGCTGTGTTGAGTTTCACAATCTAAATCCTTAGGAGGGAATTAGCACTTGAATTTCTAAAACTACAACCAAGAGTCATCATCCCATGTAGCTTTGTAGCTTCGCACAAAGAGCTATGCGTTACAGCGGTATGCTGGTCGTATCCGAACACTGCCCCATTTAAGTCAACATTGTTATCATGGCAACTCCCACATTCACTGGAACTGGAATTTCCATGAGCCTCTCGGCCGGTATTCCCTGCGATTTCACCTCATACAGCTTTCACCCAAAAAGAAACTCTGGACAACGTACCCTCAGGAAAAATAGACGATAAAGTAGTGATCTCGTCATTTTATTGTTCGAGTCTTCTTTTTCCTACTATTTGACATTTTGTCCTCGAAGCTTTGCCACTATCCTATACGTAGTAATGGTTGTAAGTCATGGACCATTTCCGCGGCACTTATGCACTCATAAGTGCCGTTTCGATGAAATAGATTAAATCTTGTCGACATGCTGATAGCCTGTATGATACGAGATACCCTCACATTCTGTCATAAGCGTAAAGAGTTATGACGAAGTATAATGGAGTCTGATGATGCGTCTAAAAACACTCTTTTTTTTGTTTTGCTTTTTGCATCGTCTCTTTGTGTGCAACTGGTTATCTTTTCTTTTCTTTCTTCTCTTAACATTTTCCTCGACATCGTCTCCAACAAGTGTAGACCAGCGCTGTGGTCAGGAACGTAACCCATGTTCTAGTCTAATCAACCGAAATTGGTCAATTTCGCTCGCTCCGCTTTCGCGTCCAGACGTCGAGTCTATTGGTGTAATTGGGACCCTTGCTCGCTTGGGGTACATCTGCTGTGGAGTCAGCGGATGCTCAACGTTAGGCGGTCCAATAGGAATTTGCTCAAATGGTCCGAGTCTCTAACATCGTTAGACTGTTCCTGACAAACAATTGCATGTCGGTCGTAGAGTGTCGTCTCAGAAGTGGCGATTTTCTTTCTTCAGTACAAGCCATGTGACATGACTTGGAATCGATGATTATTGGTGGTGATGAATGACCTCCCAAACCATTGAATGGAGGTGGCTAGAGAAGGTCAAAGCGCAAGACAAAATGTAACGATCGCCTTTTAGCCGAGCGACACTCCGCATTTCAAGATTCATCCAGACTTCTACCACTGGGTACATTGTCCAGACCGGCAGTTGGAGAATATAATTGATGAACTCTACAGGGTACCCCGCATTGATCATCTCATTCAATTTTCGTTTTTCCTCCAATCGGAGGCAGTCAACAGAAGAGAACAGCCAGAAATGGACAGCTATTGCCGTTCGAATGAGAGTCAACATTTGTATGTTCAGAACATCATATTCATTCCAAGTCCACCAATGATGTAATTTGACGGGAATGGCAACTCTCCTATAAGACACAATGCCATAGTCGGTGGCCAGTCTTTGACTCTTCCAAGGCCAACCATTGCTCTCTTCAAGATGATGGGCTTCAAGAAGAGCGCCATCTTTGGCCTCCTCTCCTTCCTGGCAGCAACAACCGCCCAGAAATTCACAAATCCCGTCGTCTGGGAAGATCTTCCCGACAATGAAGTCACCCGCGCAGGCGACGCCTTCTACATGACCGCCTCAACATTCCACTACTCCCCCGGCGCTCCCGTCCTACGCTCCTACGATCTCGTCAATTGGGAGCACATAGGCCACTCCGTCCCCGTTCTCGACTGGTCTCCCAACTACAGTCTTCAGAACGGAGGACGCGCCTACGTCAAGGGCATTTGGGCTTCGTCGCTGAGATACAGAGAAAGCGATAAGAAGTTTTACTTTGTCGCTTGTATCAGTGGCTTTGCCAAGACGTATGTTTACAGCGCTTCGAACCCCATGGGGCCTTGGACAAAGGGTGGCGAGATCAACAAGTGTTATTATGATGCTGGTTTGCACTTTGATGAGACGGATACTCCTTATGTTGCGTATGGACGTGATGATATTCATGTTGCGCAGCTTAGTAAGGATATGACCCGTGAAGTCAAGGAGCAGGTTGTGCTTAGACCTCCTCTGACGCTCGAAGGAGCGCGCTTCTACCAGCGCAATGGAAACTGGTACATCTTCTTGACTCGTCCTCCGGATGGTCAGTACATTGCCAAGTCCACCAATGGGCCCTGGGGACCGTACGACAACCGCATCATTGCTGACAGACTCCGACTGTCCAACGTACCCAAGGCTGGATCTCCTCACCAGGGAAGTTTGGTTCAGACTCAGAAGGGTGATTGGTACTACATGGGTTTCTCGGACATGTATCCTGGAGGACGATGCCCTGTTCTTGCACCAATTACTTGGAAGAGTGACGGTTTCCCCCAGATCACTACGGTCAACGGCGCTTGGGGCGACTACGATTACCCTCTTCCTCGTCGCGATGTCGCTAGTCCAATTGGCACAGACAACTTCCCTGGTTCCAAGCTCCGACCTGACTGGGAATGGAACCACAACCCCGACACCAACGGCTTCACCGTAAACAACGGTCTCACCCTCCGCACCGTCACCGTCACCAAAGATCTCTACCAAGCTCGCAACACACTCACCCACCGCATCCGCGGTCCTCAAGGCCAAGCGACAGCCGTCATCGACTTTTCCCAAATGGCCGACGGCGACCGCACCGGTCTTGGAGTCCTACGCGATCAATCAGCCTGGATTGGCGTCGAGCGCGAAGGCAACAGCTTCAACATCGTCATGGTTCAAGGCGTCAGCATGAACAAAGACTGGAGCACCAAGTCCACCGGCAGCGTGGCTGGTCGCAGAGACAATGTTTCTTTCCGCAAGGTGTATCTTCGTGCTAATGCCGATATTCGTCCTGGACAGGCTGGTAGTGCGACGTTTAGCTACAGTACTGATGGAAACAATTGGACTAGTTTGGGAAGTCGTATGACTTTGGGTACTTATTGGGAGTTCTTCCCTGGCAATAGGTGGAGTATTCATAATTTTGCGACGAAGAAGCTTGGTGGTTCTGTCAAGGTTGAGAGGTTTGATAACAGGTAGATTGGGACGACGCCTTTCAGATTGTATATAGTTTGTGAGATCGAGAAGTAAGTGAATGAAGAATTGAAATTATGTGCAGACTGTATCGTACCCGATCTGTGATCAAATGACAGCTTCTAGGTACTTAACCCTTTGTGCGTAAAGCTGTTCAATTCATCATTTCAGTTTCACTTCTATTTGAGCTTTTTAAAGGTCAGTCTTCCGGTCTTACAGTTCAAATCAATACAATGAACATGTACAGACAAGAACTTGACTGCTAGCTCTTGGACCCCAGACCTCAACGCCATCATCAAACTTAACCAGTTCTCTGACTCTTAACCTCTTGTCATTTGTGTCCTTGGCCTTAACATAGCAATTAGGTCTGCATTTACTGCAGCATTTATTCTTTAACTTGTAAACGCGATGACATGCTATCTCTGTGCACAACCACATTATGAAGACAACGGTGGTGAGGACTTTTTTACTTGGTGCAGAAAGAGAAGATAACATATTCATTGATCGAAAGTGAATGACATTACAGTGTACTTTAAGACTTTATGTCCGCTATGAAGGTCAACGGCGGGACTTGTGAAGATGGCTGCAAGACGTATTTGACAAAGTCACTTTTAATGACACTATTCGGGAGTGACTTTGTCAAATGCTCGTTGCGGACTTTTTCACAAGTCCCGCCGTTAGATCGCAGATACTTAACTGAGCATACTCGAGATAAAGCCTAGGTCCATCTAGTCCTCAACCAAGAATTCCAGTAGGACTGTCAGAATTGGCTTCCTGAGCATCCTCACTTAAACTGCCACCAGTTGAAGTTAAACAAATAATCAGACCCCTCCCCAGTAAACTTCAAGAATAAATCACTCGTCCCAGTAGCACCACTAACAGGACACTCAACCGTTCTCCAACTCTGCCAACCCCCAGTCGAAGGCACCGTGCAAGTACCAACAACCTTACCAGCCTCGCTTCCCAACCTCAACTCGATCTTTCCGCCCCGACTATTCGCAGAAGCAACGCGGGCACTGAAGCTCTTGGCACCGTTACCGAAAGCGACTCCCTTGACTTTGATGTAATCTCCGTTGTTGATGAATGCAACATTCAGACCGCCTTCGCTGCACGTTTCGGTCTTGACGCCGTTTGTCCATGCGATGGTCTCTGCTTCTTGACGCTTGTATGGATCGAGGGGCCTGACTTGTGCGACACCAGGTGTGGTCATCTTCATTTGAGGAATTAATCCGTTGGAGTTGTAGGTGAAACTTTCCACGGCGACAGAACGCGTGTAACCACTTCCACCAGGAAGAGCACCATTGTGATAAAAGAAGTAGGACTTGTTCTCGTAATCAATAATGGCGGGATGGTTGGTGAAGCTTCTTCCCTCTTTCGCCATTACCACGCCGCGGTATGTCCATGGTCCAGTCGCAGTAGGACCAGTTGAGTAACGGATATCTTCAGAACAGCAATTCGCTGCGTAGATCATGTAGTACATTCCATTGCGCTTGTACAGCCATGGTCCTTCCTCATAGTTGGTCTTGCGATCAGGATTGTTGGGACGAGAACCAAACCCAGCAGTGGTGAGCTCAACTTTAGTGACGGCACCACTGTAAGAGATCATATCCTGGTTGAGTTTGATGTACCACAAACCAGGATTTCCCCAGTACAGATAAGCCTGGCCATTGTCGTCAATGAAGACAGTGGGATCAATCTCATTGTTCTCAACAAGAGGTTTACCCAGCGCATCCCGATACGGCCCCTCAATCTTATCACTCACACCAACACCAATAGCCATACGTCCATTGCTCTTCATACTAACAGGCACATAAAAGTAAAACTTTCCATTTCGAGCGACGACTTGACCGGCCCAAGCTCTATCGCGCGCCCACGAAAATGTCTGCAGACTCATTGGAACTCCATGGTGTTGCCAGTTGACCATGTCGTCTGACGAAAAGAGTCGCCAGTCTAGCATGTTGAAGGTGGTGGAGCCATCTTCGTCGTGGCCTGTGAAGAGGTAGACGCGGCCGTTGTGCACGACGGGGGCTGGGTCTGCGGTGTAGAGGGTTTGAACAATGGGGTTGTCTGCTTTGACAAAAGAGGTGGTGAGGAATGTGCTGAGGAATACCAGGCCTTGGGTTATGGCCCAGATGTTGGCTTTGACCATTTTGTCTGCTGCCAGTTGCTCGTCTTGGATTGAAGTGAGACAGTGAGGCCGTGTCCAAATGGTATAGAGCAAAATATAGAGGCTGTATTATATGGTCGCCCGTCTGCAAGAAGGGCATTCCAAAAGTCCCATTCAATGATGAGATGATTTCTTGTAGAGTTGCATTCTGACAATCCCTTGCGTTCGTATAAGTCTCGACTGACACGATACGACATCACATCCAAAGAGACAAGACCCTATTCGAGCGCCTGCGGATTGCCTCTCCATTTCCCGTTCAGGTACGGATCCCATTTAGGATATGCCGGTTAAGTCAAGGTCATCTGGTCATTGAAGACGCATGTTGTCGCGGATCACTGAGCCAGGTACAGACATGCGGGGAACCTTGCCATTACGATTGCCGTTCCAATCAATGCGCTGGACGTATTGCATTTCGTCCGAATCAGTATTGCGATTGTCAAACGGATCGACCTTTTTGATCCAGACTTATACCCCAGAGACTTGGCGTTTGCGACCAAATGACTGCGAGTTTGTTCTTCTGGGGCGCTGCACCGGTGTATGCTCGTGCCGGCAGATGTCCCTCCGATATTACCCAATTCGTATACGAGGTACAAAACATAATGCACGACGATTGAGAGAAGATGACATCGTACCCGAGATAGAAGTAGCAATCGCGCTTGCATGCATGAATAGCACCAGAGGCAAAGTCATCTAGATGAGAACAGTGTCGGGGTGAGTTGACTCCCAGAATGAGAGTCAAGACTTGCGCCATTGCGGCTTCCAACAAGCAACATGACGCTGTTTGTCTCCGACCCAATCATCGCTTCAATTGAAAGGAATCGAAGTTGTAGGTAGCGCTGTCTCATCGCACGAGCGCGATGAAATTTTGGTCAGTACAGGGTAATGCTATTGAGCGTGATGCGATTGAAGAGAAGCAATCGCTATCGTGCGATAGGAAATGGACAATTCTAAGCCATACTCAGAACTAATCGGAACACACCGTATATATCCCGCTAAGAAGTTCTCAATTCGTGGGGATCAGTGAAATGCGCTTGCTCTGGATGCAAACTTTTTCCACCGTGACGTTCATTTTCATTCGAGGCACCACAGCCACTCCTCCGTTCGTGGCTGTCTTATCTATCATCTTATCTTATCTAATCGATCATCTTATCGTCGACCTGCTATCGCTTATCTCGTATCGGCTTATCTCTTATCATACTGAAACAGAACCGCGGTGGATTTACCGACATCGCCGGTCGCGGAAATTCCGTAGACTGTTCCGGTGAACAAAAAGAGGAAGTTCAATTGAAATTTGACAGTCAATCTCAATTCTCCCTCTCATCTCTCAGTCTCGGCGTTCCAATTATTTTGAGAACCTCCTGTCGAATTGAGAAAGCAAAGGACCTTGTGCGACAACATCATGCCTGCCCAAAAAGTGGATCCCGCAGGTAAGCGGACACATGAGAACGGAGTGATGCTTCAATCAATTGACACAATTGTCGGGTTCAGATGCACTGCAACTTGCGGCTATAACGTTTGACTGGGCAGAGAGCTTGGATACAAAGGTATGCGCCCGTTGTCTTTTCGGCAAATTGACATGGATAACACTGTGTATAGGACTGGGCGAGATTGGGAAGCATCTTGGCTCCAGAGCTTACTGTAAGTGCCACCTCTCAACAAATGACAGCACTGTAGCTACTGAATTGATTCGAAGGTCGATTACACCGAAGTGACCGGTCAAAAGTGGGACGCCATGCCAGCCCAAGATTTCGTCGCCATGGTTTCAGACAAAGGCTTCGTCGGTGACCCTCTTGTCGACTCGCAGCATTTCATCGGAGCGTCCAAGTATGAGACCATCTCGGAAGACTGCATCGTGGGAAGTCATCAACTCCGCGCTGCTCATCAGCGATACACCGCTCCCGATAAAAAGATTGTTGAGGCCAAAGGTCACTGTCATGCTTTGATGCAGCATACTTATATCCGGATTGGAGGGAAATGGAAGTTGGGAGGATTGAAACCGAAGATGTATTGGACCGAGTTTGACTTTGACAAGATTTTTAAAGGTGGCTCGTGATGCGATGGCCTGTGTTGTAAAGGATAGTTACTTGGAGATAAAATTGACACATATCATTATTTGTTCCGAATCAGTTTCCAGTTAACTGTCTGATTCGAGCAACAGTGTCGCATTTACTGATGGGTGACATGCGCGACCAGTCGCTTCACTCTTGACTTTTTCGTCTGTCGCATTTCAATCACTTCGACATGACGATAGTCTGCTGCCGTACAGCATTTCATGCTACGACAGAACAGTACTGGAACCGGAGGTAAATTAGCCTCGAGTCGCACCTCAATTGACAGAGACTCTGCAGTACGTATCAACATGTTTTGTCCAAAAGTGTTGGAGGATCTTTTGCATTTCCAAAGGTTGCGGCGAGTGTTGTCGCCAATTGACAAAGTCATCGCAAAAAGGCTGAATAGAGTTCCCCGATCTGACACACAAGAGAGCGCATACGATTGATCCAGCTTGGGGAGCATCAGTTACTTGAATGCAATACAAAATGCGTCGGAAGTATCGATGTCAAAGGTGGCTGGTCGCGGCGATTCTTGTACAAGGCTGTTTGACTCAGCTTCCAGGCCAGCCTCGACCGGGTTGGGAAAATCAAGCTGACCAAACGAATTGAATTGACACTCAGAACGACAGATCTACTTGAGCTTTTCGAGATCAGTTATCAAATCGTGCAGTTCTACTCAGGGTTTGCTTGTGACACATCTGGTGATAAGATAACCCGCCATGCGTACTTGATAAAACAACACTTTAGTTAAACTCAACACATTTCGCATCAACGAATGTGTCTATCTTTGACGACCGATTCTGGAAAGACCGTGGTACAGTACACAGGGGTAGGAGACGGCACCGAGAATCCCTTTATTCAACCCCCTATAATATTTGCTATAGATAAAGCAACTTAGCACTAGGTAATTGCAAGGTGAAAAGAAGGTCTCTATAGAGCGGAATAGCGGAAGATGTCTCTTCACAGGTCTCCGGACTGTATGATGTCTTGGTCGTCATATTGTCTGGTTTGATCCCCGCAATGTAGAGGCCAATCTGAACAAGCCGACGATGTCGAACTTTTCATTTGGTAATGAGTCCTTGGTTTAGGCGGGGCACGACTATTTCACCGACTGGCAAAGTAGACAAGCGATTGAGATGTCGCAAGAGAAGGGTCGGCCAGTTGTTACATTCAGAACAAGATCGTTGGGACTCCCCGGCAACCCAGGTGACAAGATGCAGCCAGGGCGGGCTACAATGCTTGGCACGGTCAGCTCAACAGTATTCCTGAAACGCCGGAGGTACCGCCGGAATGAAGAAAACCATTGTGAGACACGTGAGGCCATACGGACCAAAAGGTCGTGATGTGCAACTTAATTGTCCGACAGAAAGCTACGATGCAAAACTCTGTTCCCAGTCGGGTCAGTGTCTACGTGAATGAGACAACGGGGCGAGCGATCCGTCCTTAGGATGACGTTGAAGGTTGAGGACTCGAAGTTGAAAGATCAATTGATGGTGAAAGTGTCGATGTGAATATGACCCTCATCTCAAAGTGCAGGATCTGTTTCCGCCTTACACAGTGCCACCGCATATTGGTGGTTAGAGGTAGTCACAAAGGGCTCGACTAGCGCTGCCTTGAATGTAGAGAGAAATGTTCTGAAATCCTGTGCCGTAAGCTTGATTCGTATAAATCTGGCAGGGTGATCGGGTCCAAAGCTGTGGCGTTGCCTGGGCAACGACGAGTCTTGCCGACAGAACAACGAGCATCGCTCAGTGGGGCCCTCGGACAATCAGCGCCCGGATCCAAGTCAATGATATCGTACATCAAGACGATGGTGCAGACTACGATCAAAGGTGTCAGTCTCGTCTTTCTTTTTCCAACGCTATGTCCACTGACTTGCCACTGGTTCGGCGAACAGTGCACACGGAAAAAAGAATTTGGGTTAGCACTTGCCTTTGTTCTACCGTTGTGCTACCGTTGTGCTCTGTCGAATCTCGGCATTCTGATCCTCTTGTTGCACGGCGCACATCTTTCTCTTCTTCTTGCGTGAACGAAGATGATAGTCATTGTGATCATCTTCCTCTCACCGTATTCATCGGTCACACAATGGTTTCATGAAACTAAGATAAAACACCGATAGACTTTCCGCCGTGTTGCGGGATTGACTATTGATGAACAGAGCTCTTCAAATGGTACACGAGAAGTCCCCTTCACTTTCCCTTCCATTGTACCGACGTACATTCCAGAAGTAACTGAGCGCATCAAGTCATCTGAGCGGAAAGTCAAAATCGCTAGGTAACAGCTCTCAAGTCAGGGACCTATCGCCGTCCATCTTAGGTATGAGGGTACTGCTTGAACAGTTCACTCATCGTTGACTGCTCAGCGACTTCCTTGGCCCAACCTTTTGTTCCACCGTTCGGGAACATGGGCTATTGTTTGCGCCTTCTCCTTGGTCAATATCCTGATTGATCTCGATTCGCACTGAACCTTAGCCTTCCCCGGTAGGAGAAGCAGCTTCAATCTTGTTCATGAAGACCGGCTAGATCAGCAACTAGAGACCGAAGTGGCTGCTCAAGAGAGCTCCCGTACCACTCATTAATCGAAGACATTCACATCTACTGGTGAGAGAGGGCTCAGATGTGCTTCTTACGGAATATCCGGTCACGTTGAAGCTTCACTCATCCACATATGACGACGCCCTACCCGCAAATGCTGGTCTGAGTTCGTTAGAGCAAATACCTCTGTGCCATATCGAGACGTGGTGGTTCCTTGGACGGTATGAAAGAGCAACCATCAGGTCGCAATGTGTTTTTCGTTCCAGAGCCAGCGGCTCCCACGTGAGCCATGTATCCACAGCAACATGTGGGACCAATGCCAAGCCAAACTATTGATTACAATGAGCCCCTACGCGGGTGACACAGCAACGTCACTTACTGTGGGTGGGGACTCTGCACAATATAATTGCCAGGCGTAGTGTCTCCCAGCGTCCCAGGAACTCTCCAGCACTTTCTGGCTAGTCAGCCCTACTTTGACTAGTTTTCATGGCACAGATCAAGTTGCGGCCGGAGACGAATTGTCTTGATTTGAACTGTACGACTTGATGACTGAGCTTCAAAAACCTTAAACAGTGGCCAGAGATGGTTTGCAGCGATCTTCAGATATATCAGCTGTCAAGTGCGCTTTTCCCCCTGGAAAGAGGAGTAAGCATACCAGCTCTTTGACCACAATCCTTTGCTGAGCCATTCTCAGCAAACTCCGTTGTGTCAATACCATCACAACCCGGGTCTGACGATGGATCAGAGGCCTCTCTCGGCTCAATACAGGGAGCCCTTCACCTGCTACTTCCTGTGCCCTGACATGAGATCATTTCAAGCTGAAACTCGTTCGACGACGTTGTTCAACTAAAGTTCGGATTCACTCCCGGTTATGATTTCGTAGTGTAAACGACAGATTTCAACAAGCGGCAAGTCGGACATGCCCTTTAAGATGACCCGGAGGCGCAGAAATGCTATTAAACAACTTCCTTCTCCCGATCCACGATCGTTTAGTGCTGAAGTAGCGATGCGAACGCAAGGGTGGTGACGCTGCGTTGGTGAGTGACAAAAGCACTTTGTAGCAAGTCGCAATTCAAGTACTGCTACAAGGGTACGCATTCGATTGTACAGCGAAAGACGGAACGAATGACAGATCAGATGGACAGCGCGGTGCATTATCGTAATTACTAAGAGACAATACATCAGCATCACTGATCATGTCTAGCATCGAAATTCCTGAGAATAATATAGGCAACTCGAGAGTCATAGTGCGGAGAGTGGATACAGAACCAAGGAAGCCGTAGTGATAAATGAGTGGAAGAATCCGGCTGGGTTTAAGCACAATATCGACGACAGAATGTCGCCCAGTTTCACGATAGAAGTCAAGTCATTCTGAGAGTGTTCGTTAACTGGACAAAGGGCACTTCTCAAACCGGTGCATGTCTATCCGACAAAGACAAGAGCAAGTTCAAATCGCGATATATTAGGTCCATTGATGTACTCGAAGGCATTCTTGCATACTTTAGACCAACACTGGAAAGACAGTCGCCAGGAATGAAGACCTCTTTGAGCGTGCTGCGGAGGAGACTGGCAATGTCTGCCACCAAGGTCTATGTAGTTCTTCAGGCACCACAAAGCCAGCGTATCAATTACAGCAGCACAAACCATCAAGCGAGCAGCTAGTCAAGGGCATATGTGGCCACTAAGCCAGGAAAGAAAGAGATTGTAAAGTTTGCAGATAATGACTCTGCTCAGCAAGTCCCTAGAGCAGAATCACAACAGTTTACAACAACTACGTCTAGTGTAATCCCGACTGAACTTCTGTCAACTCAAATCCCGGCTCCAGCGTCGCCTCGTTATCTCTCATCAGGTGCAGGCCGTAACACAGCCTCGAGGAACTGTTGACATAGAGATTGTTGACCGAGATAGTAACGAAGACATAGCTGAAAGTCCCTCCGTACATAGTAGATCAAACTTCGATCTTATGGTATTGGGGAAAAATGTCGGTGCGCTTACGGTCAACATGTTGGATAAACACTTGTGTTACAGACTTAGCTTCTACCACGGGAGGCCAGGCCCTAAAGGGGCCGAATGCTCGGTGACTGGGCAGTACACCCAAGTTCACGCCTAGCTAGGCGGTGAAACGAGAAAAAGCAATGTTGCTAATGGCCGACGCTGTGGGAAGCTGATTCCACTGATGTGTTAATCGTTTGTCTATGCAATCTGAAGCGGACAGAGCTGTAACCATACCAGTCATCGAAAGGCAGAGTCGCAGACCAGCTATTGCTGTGGTAGAATAGAGGCTTCCCCTGTACCAAGATGTGGTCGACCCAGAAAGCAGGGCGAGTGGAGAAGGACCTCGTTGCTCTTGATCCTCAAGATAGACGGCGAAAACGTTATTAAGCGAGATTGCGCTGTGGTGGGACGTTATGACTTACCCTATGTAAGACCATGCCGTGTCAGCATAAAGGGTACTGAGGTTCTCTGCA